TAAAATAGTTCATCTAGTCCAATTCCAAGCCTAGAGATTCTCTTTGGCTTTTTGACTCTGTATAGTAATAACTTGTATTGGCTAACATGTATAGCCGTTGCTTGTCATTTAATGACTGATCCTTCATGTTCGCCTAAAGATACCTTTTTTTTTTTTTGGTAATTATGCAAATAAAAAGATATTAAGTAGTTCACTGGGTAAGAGAAGTTGACAACTGTGATAGTATAAGGCAACAGCACTGTGACCTATAAAAAGAGTACGTGATTTTAACTTGATATGACGTTCGGAATTACTAGTAGGTAAGTTTATGTAAAACTATAACAGTTCAAGTAATCGATCGGTATACGAGGACTAAGTAGTAATACAAGAAGACAAAAAGTCGTCAAGATTTGTTTTACTAGCGAGCGAAGCGAGCTAGTGGAGCACTTACTAGCTTGTTACAACACTCAAGACGACTTACTTTAAGGCCATCTCTCTCTCTCTCTTTATCTCTATTTTCCCTCACTGCAATACTCATTTATTGAGCATGTTTGGCCTTTAAAGTGCCTTACATGTAAACTTTTGCTGCTCGTCTTCAGAGATGTATATGACTAGGTGGTGTCATGAGAGGGAAACAAATTTCCTTCCCTTTCCCTTTCCTTTCCTTTCCCTTCCCTTCCCTTCCCTTATCAGATTTGTAGTATGTGCGCGATGAGCTAACACCGAAAAAAAAAAAAAAATTATTTCTAAACTCATCTCATCTCATCTCTCGTCTTCCTCCCTCTGCCCCCCAGTAACAGCAAATAACAAGCACCAAAGACCGTAATAAGATGCAGTTGTCGTGGAAGGATATACCGCCAGTACCAACGTCGAATGACATGTTGGACATAATCTTAAACAGAACCCAGAGAAAGACGCCTACGGTGATACGTCCTGGGTTTAAAATCACCCGTATTCGAGCATTTTATATGAGGAAAGTCAAATTCACAGCTGAAGGTTTTGTTGAGAAATTTAACGACTTACTTAGCGGATTTCCTAATATCAATGATATTCACCCTTTCCATCGTGACTTGATGGATACGTTGTATGAAAAGAACCACTATAAAATTTCATTAGCAGCTGTTTCGAAAGCAAAGACATTGATTGAACAAGTTGCTAGAGATTATGTACGTCTTTTAAAGTTTGGTCAGTCATTATATCAATGTAAACAGTTGAAAAGAGCCGCATTGGGTCGTATGGCTACAATTACCAAGAAATTGAAGGATCCTTTTATTTATTTGGAGCAGGTTAGACAACATTTAGGTAGATTGCCCAGTATTGACCCAAATACGAGAACATTGGTTATTTGTGGTTACCCAAATGTCGGTAAGTCTTCCTTTTTGAAGAGTATCACTAAAGCAGATGTTGAGGTTCAGCCGTATGCATTTACTACAAAATCGTTATATGTTGGTCATTTTGACTATAAATATTTACGTTTTCAGGCGATTGATACTCCTGGTATATTGGACCGTCCAACAGAAGAGATGAATAATATTGAAATGCAAAGTATATATGCCATTGCACATTTGAGGTCCTGTGTTTTGTATTTCATGGATCTTAGTGAACAGTGTGGGTTTTCAATCGAGGCACAAGTTAAGTTATTCCATTCTATAAAGCCACTATTTGCTAATAAGTCAGTTTTGGTTGTTATGAATAAATCAGATATTATTAAAATCGAAGATTTGAACAAAGAGCAACAAGATTTGATTGATACTTTAAAGGTTGTTCCTGGTGTTGAAATTATGGAAACATCGTGTTATGAGGAAGAGGGTGTGATGCAAGTGCGTAACCATGCCTGTGAGAAATTATTGACGGCAAGGATTGAACAGAAATTAAAAGGTTCCGCAAGGGTCAATAACGTTTTGAACAAGATCCATGTTGCCAAACCTCAGAAAAGAGACGATGTTGCTAGATTACCATATATACCTGAAGGGGTCAAAGGACTGGTTAAATACGATCCCGAGGATCCTGAGAGGAGAAAATTAAGCAGGGATTATGAAGCGGAAAATGGAGGTGCCGGTGTCTACAATATTGATTTGAAAGACAAGTATATTTTGGATGAAGAAGAATGGAAACAGGACACGATGCCAGAGTTTTTAGACGGTAAGAATGTGTATGATTATTTGGATCCAGATATTGCTGCTAAATTGCAAGCTTTGGAAGAAGAGGAAGAAAGATTGGAAAGGGAAGGATTTTATGATTCTGATGATTCTGATGAAGACGATGAAGACATGGAGGAGAGTAAGGAGGAGATAGCTGATATCAGAGCCAAAGCACAATGGATCAGAAATAAGCAAAAGACAATGATAATAGAGGGGAGAAATAGGAAATCGTTAAAGAATAAAGCAATAATGCCCAGGGACCAAGTAAAAAAGACATTCAGCGATATGGAAGAACACATGTATAACATTGGACACGATACGGACAAATTGAGACAAAAGATTGGGAAAAAGAAAAGAGATGATAACGATGGTTCTCTTTCAGGTGTTGATGTTCTTAGACATAATCAAGAGATTAAAGCCAGGAAATTGGCCAAGAAGAAACAAGCTCTTACTCAATCCGATAGATTAAATAATGGTGTTTCTGATGGTGCAATGAGATCGCAAGCTGAAAGATTAGCCAAGATACAAAGAAGAGAGAGAAATAGAATGGCTAGACAAGGTGAAGGTGATAGACATTCGACTGCTGCTTTACCTAAACATTTGTTTAGTGGTAAAAGAGGTATTGGGTCTAGTGATCGTCGTTGATTAATTTGGTGGATATATATATTATATGTGTAGCGACGCTAGTGAGCGAAGCAAACTAGTGGAGCAGTATGTAGAGAGTAGAGATGCAATCAAACCCGTGTGGAGGGGGAGACAATTTGTATACTTTTTAACAAGTTAATTTTTCGTTTTCTGTAAAAGAGGACCGACACTAGCAACACTAGCAACGCTAAGCTCGTCTCGCTCTATCACAACATTGTTCGATGTTTCACAACGAGGTGATACGACACTATCGAGCAGAGCGAGATAGTGGAGCATACTAGCTGTCACCTACACTATCAACACTATCGAGCAGAGCGAGATAGTGTTGTAGTGTTGCTCCATAGTGACAGGAGGGGTTGTTTTCTGTTTTGGTGGAGTATACACTACTGTGGTCATGCTGATAAGCAATTGTCACATCTACACATTTTTTTTTTCCATGAAATTTAATCAGTTTAATGTAGGTTTTTTTTTTTTATTAGAGAGTGAACAAGCTTTTAAGATAAGAGCCCCCCTCTTATTCTGCAACAATAGCTTTTTCCTCTAATGAATCTATAAATAATTTACACTGATCTTCCTTCCCTCAAGTTTATACTCTAGAAAGTTTAGTTTTTTCAAGTACGGCTCCAGCTGTAGATATATTCACCTTGTTGAGATACTATTGAAGATAAAATAATAAGGCTCATAAATTCCGTGTGTGCGCTCAAAACTGTAGATAAAAGGTGATCTATTTTTCTTATCAGTAAAACAATCAGAGGTTTTTTTTTTCCCTTGTATTTGCCCTAAACAAGAGGGTGAAGTTTGGACACCGTAATACCAAATGAATCTGTGCAGCCGATAGAGATTAATGAATTACATTTTGCTTGGTGTATCATACAGAATCATACACCATAATGCGCAGCAGATTATACACCATGATGCGCAGCAGATCTTACACTTTCTTTGCTTTTCCATATAATATATTAGATTTCTAATCAACGGTTTTTTTTTTACCCTTTTTTAATTTTTTTTTTTTTCCTGTGGCTATATCTCGCTTCTTATTGACAAGGGGGTATTTTTTTATATATTAGATTAACTTAATCTAAGCTTTTAGGGTTTCCCATGCTTTATTCTTTCTCGATTTGTAAGCTTATACTCTTTGCAGACCTACTCACTACGAATCGCTTGTTGCTAATTGCTAATTGTTAATTGTTAATTGTTAATTGCTCGTCTTCCAGTCATCGGAAACAGGAAGAAGATCGATTAAAATCAAACAGAGGGGAAAAAGATAGGCGAGAAAAAGATAGGGGGGAAGGATTGAGGGGATTTCGGCAAAAGTAAGAAGATTGATTTTGAGATAACGACAGAGGGAACAAAACAGCAAAGACAGCAAGACGAACTCGAAAGTCCGACCATTCCCTTTGATTCATTTGATATAAAGTACACTTTTTTCTTTCAAATTGCTCATATATTCTTTGCTCATATATTCTTTGCCCATACATTCCTGCCCATACATTCCTGCTCATACATTCCTGCTCACACATCCCCACTCACACATCCCCACTCACGCATCCCTGCTCACACATTCTTGCTTTTTTATCTAATTACTAGCAATGAATGCACCTACAACCCCTTATCAACAAGAAAATTTAAACTTTGAGCCAATTGCAATATTAGATCTACCCAATTCAACAAAGCCACAAAAACACCAATCCACTTTTACCAAGTCTAATTCACACAAGCTCAACAAAACTTGCAAAACCTCAAAGACTTTGATGCTGCAGCACCTGCAGCACCAACACCAACACCAGCAACAACAACAACAACAACCTGCTAATACAAACCAACATAAAGCCACAAGGTCAATAGATTCAAGTGAAATCAGTGCTTTTTTTCCACCAAACTCCGGTCCTTTGGGTACAGTTTTAGTAACAAATAGCTCACATCCAACAGGCACTACTAATGGTGCCAGCAACAGCAACAGCAACAGCAACAATAGTGGCAAGAGTTTGAGCCATGTTCCTTGTAAGTTTTTTAAACAGGGAATATGTCAAGCAGGCGACTCTTGTCCATTTAGTCACCAGGTTGAAGGTGCTTTATCCGCCGATAAACTACCCTGTAAGTATTTCTTAAAAGGAAATTGCAAATTTGGCATGAAATGTGCTTTAGCTCACTATTTGCCTGATGGAACAAAAGTAAATGCAAAAAATATATTACAGGAGAATAATGATAGTTACGCTTACGATAATATTGGTAACGGGAACAAGAACCGCGGCTATTCGTCTTACCAAACACAAAACTCTGGTCATAATCAATACTTGATGGAAAATTTTGATGATTTCTCCGAGTATGAAGGCAGAGCACTTTACCAAAACAACATGGTATCAGATACAGCTGCTATTGTCAATTCCAAAACTGCCTTTAATCCTTTCGATTTGCAACAACAGCAACAATCACAACGAATTATAAAGCCGCAACTCCAAATCCCAATATCTCTAAACTCAGTTCAAAGCGAAAGCCTTGCCAGATCAAACTCGTTAAATCAACGTAATTATTGGCAGTCGCCTCCACAGAGATTTGACTCTCAAAACTCCTCCCCTATTGAGCAAATAAAACAGTCAATCGGCCAGCATCAGGATATGCATAAATCACTAGATTCACTGCTGCTGCTGTACTCACATCATCATCATCATCAACATCATCATAAACATCATCATCAACATCATCATCAACAGAACAACCACCAGACCCTTAAGCTAGGTCCAACAAATTCTTATTACAATAGCAGCGCCATTCCATTTGTTTCAGACTATAAACAGCCCAGTAGTTTCCAGACACAGTCTTGGGTAAACACGTCTTATTCACACACTGGGTTTAATATCCCTTTGGCGAGCTCGAGCTTGTCACCTCCCCAGTCACTATTTGCTGCAAACTTTCAACCAGTCAACTCAACATCAGCTACACCAACCTCTAAGTTGCCCTTTGGATCAAAGCTTTCAGCATTACATTCGCCATTTTATCAGAATTTCGAGTCTGTTCCAAGAGATACTTTCCAATATTATCAGTATCGGAAACTATTGTCTTCAAAAGTTTTTGATGATGACGACGAAGAAGAAGAAGATAGGGAGAAAAACGGAGGTGTTACGAATAATTCTGATCTTCTTGAGGAAGCCTGTATTGATCAAACGAATTGCAATCAGGTTGTGTTTGAGGAAGATTTTTTACCTAGCTCGTTGGCTGATGTAATTTTGACGCCTCAAGAATTGAAACATCGTGACTCCCGATCTCAGAGTGGTACTCTAAGTATTCGTCCCACTTTTGATGGGTTTCAATCGCATGACTCTAGGTTTCTTCTTAGTGACAGAGGCAAAGAACAATTATTATCACACCATGAAGATGTCTTTTTGATGGAGTAGAAAAAGCAAAGGAGAAAAAAAAAAAAACTGGCTGCGAAATTTTCAGGGACTTAGTCATCAATTTTCAATATAAAAATAGAAAGCTGTTTGCACATTTAGAGTAAATCTTATTAAGCTTTTGTTGGTTGGTTTAATAATGAGATTTTTTTAAAACAAAAAATATTGGTGAGGTTGGTGAAAACCGAGTTTTTACTTCTGTTTATTGGTTATTTCTTTTCTTTATTGCCTTAGATTTAAATCGTTTTATAGATTGAATGGATAAAAAAATTGTTTTTAAGATTAATTAATGGTTGAATTATATACAGTTTCTATTTCTTCTTATCAACACTTGTCCAGGCCATCTTCTTTTCTTCTTTCTTCTTTCTTCTTTCTTGTTTTCTTCTTCTTTCTTCTTTCTTGTTTCTTCTTCTTTCTTCTTTCTTGTTTCTTCTTCTTTCTTCTTTCTTGTTTCTTCTTCTTTCTTCTTTCTTGTTTCTTCTTCTTTCTTCTTTCTTGTTTCTTCTTCTTTCTTCTTTCTTGTTTCTTCTTCTTTTCTTCTTATTTTTTTAATTGTTCTTCGTCTAGGACTAGTTCATCTGGTTTTTTGCATCTATTTCAAGTTGCTTCCCCATTCAATTGCTTTTTCCTTGGATCCTCACGGTAAATATCAGCTGACTCAGTAAGGAACTTTTCCATTACCAGGTTGTTGAAAACATCCAAGTCAGATTTCATACCTCTACTTGCATCACTTTCGAACAACTTCCCAACTAGCAAAATCCGCCCATCCCATGGGTTCATTGTGTACACCAAATAATCATCTACTTTAGACTCGGTTTCTGTGATGATCTTATTAGGGTTCAACCTATCTGCTATGGTCAACTTTTGGGTAGTTTTCAAATTCATCACATATTGAACATACATACCAACCCCGTCTTCGTCCGGGATGACGTTAAATGTAACCACTTTGGGATTGGCGTCAATGGAAATCAAATCCCATGCTACTTTCTTATCTGTTTGACTTTGAAAGTTCAAGACTCTAGTGCAAAGCGCACCAATCAAATGATTTCCGCAGGATTGATTTAATTTCAAATTTATTAAATTGAAAACCTCCTTTGTTGGAGATAAACCGAGATTGTTACATGCCTGAGCAAAGATCTTATTGGTTCGCACATAGCATTCTATAGATGTGTCCTTCCACTCATTGAACTGCAAAGGTTTGCTAATCTCTCGTTTGAATTTGAGGATATTGTATGTGTTGAAACCAAACACTAAAAGTTTATTCAAAATGAGTTTTGGCCATTTGATAATGGAGGTGCGCAAGAGTTTAGGCGAGATATAATGGTCCGCCATTACACCTATATATGAAATGGGGATTTTTGCTATACTTGTGCTATTCTTTTTCTTTTTTTTAGTCGTCGTCGTCGTCGTCGACGACATTATCTTGTTTACATTGGGATTCCTCGTTTTTTCTGTATTTGTAGAATAGCATTGGTGGAAAGTGAGCCACGCTTTCTCCAACTTGCCATATCGTTTTGGAATTACTCCAATAGATCTTCGAATACCGAGCATCATAATGGCGAGAAAAGGAGCGTCAGAAAATACGTACACGGCGAATAAACCCCCACTCACTTATTCACTTGTTATTAAACTTGTCCCTTCTATATATATATATCTTTTTTTCCTCTTTCTCTCTCTCTTTCTCTCTCTCTTTCTCTCTCTCTCTCTCTTTAGTAATAGCCCAATTGTGATTTGAAAAATTTGAAAAAAAAGAAAGATGCCATTGTCGTATTTTATTGTCGCTAATTATTCTCTTATCAGTTAGAGACATTGGAAAGAAAAAAACTATTCAAGATGACTTTGATTTGGATAAGTTATAGATAAATCTCTTTAACCCTTCTTTTTGAAAGAGTACCAAACCCGTGTAGAATGCCTTCGCGAAACAAGGCTAAACAGGTCCCTGAGAAGGAGAGGTTTATACAGTGCTGTGCAGATATATCACTTGAGCTAGTGGCTTCGCTCAAGTCGTCAAAAGATATAAACTTGAATGGGCTCATCATCAGGTATGCCAAAAAGCATAAGCTTAAAAGTCAACCAAGATTAACCGATATCATTTCGTCAATACCGGACCAACACAAGAAATACCTTATCCCCAAACTAAAAGCCAAACCAATACGTACTGCTTCTGGTATCGCCGTTGTGGCAGTAATGTGCAAACCTCATCGATGTCCTCATATTGCATATACCGGGAACATTTGTGTTTATTGTCCAGGTGGGCCCGATTCGGATTTCGAGTATTCTACACAGTCGTATACTGGATACGAGCCTACCTCGATGAGGGCGATTCGAGCAAGATACGACCCGTATGAGCAAGCTAGAGGCCGTGTTGATCAATTGAGGAAATTGGGTCATTCAATAGATAAAGTCGAGTATATCATCATGGGTGGTACGTTTATGTCATTACCTATCGAGTATAGAGAAAACTTCATAACGCAGTTGCACAACGCTCTTACCGGATTTAATGGGAAAAACATAGATGAGGCTATTGAGTTTTCTCAACAGTCTCAAACGAAATGTGTTGGTATCACTATTGAAACCAGACCTGATTATTGCACAGAGACCCATTTAAGTGATATGTTGAAATATGGATGTACGCGGTTGGAAATCGGTGTGCAATCGGTATACGAAGATGTGGCAAGAGACACAAATAGAGGCCATACGGTGAAGGCTGTATGTGAAACATTTGCTGTAGCTAAAGATGCGGGGTATAAAGTCGTTAGTCACATGATGCCCGATCTACCTAATGTTGGAATGGAAAGGGACTTGGAACAATTTAAAGAGTATTTCGAAAATCCCGCTTTCAGAACCGATGGGTTGAAATTGTATCCCACTTTGGTTATTAGAGGTACCGGATTATACGAACTATGGAAACAAGGTCTATACAAGTCATATAATGCTAACGCGTTGATTGATTTGGTTGCGAGAATTTTGGCGTTGGTACCACCTTGGACACGTATTTACCGTGTTCAAAGAGACATACCTATGCCCTTGGTTACGTCTGGAGTTGAGAATGGTAATTTAAGAGAATTGGCATTGGCAAGAATGAAAGATTTTGGAACTTCATGCAGGGATGTAAGAACCAGAGAAGTTGGTATACAAGAAGTACATCACAAGGTTGTACCGGATCAAGTGGAATTGATTAGACGTGATTACTATGCAAATGGAGGATGGGAAACATTTTTAAGCTATGAGGATCCCAAACAAGATATCTTGATTGGATTATTAAGATTAAGGAAAGCCAGTAAAAAATACACTTACAGAAAAGAGTTCACTAAGCAACAAACATCAATAGTGCGAGAATTGCATGTTTATGGATCAGTAGTGCCATTACATTCAAGAGACCCAAGAAAATTTCAGCATCAAGGTTTTGGTACATTGTTGATGGAAGAAGCTGCAAGAATAGCCAAGGAAGAGCACGGTTCTAAAAAGATTAGTGTTATTTCTGGTGTAGGTGTGAGAAATTATTATGCAAAATTAGGATACGAATTAGATGGTCCATTCATGTCAAAGATGCTTTGATTGAAATACAATATTATTTATATTCATTACTTGTAGAGAAAAAAAAAAAAAAAAAAAAGGGAAAAACATTTTTGAGATGAAGTCGTTTTCATCCTTTATTATTTTAACGATTGATAAAGTTCTTGTTGGCTGTCAGAAAACCTCCTCTATGTAATGCCGGAGCTCTGCTAACTTTACCTTTCAACAAAGAATGAACACTTTCAACGTTAGCGGGTGGTCGAGGTACTGCCACTGTCCTTTTGGTTGAAAGTTTATTCTTTGTATCCTCTTTCAACTCGCTTAATCTTTTCTGCACCATTTTATCGAGGTGAGTTTCCACACCTCTGTATTTTAGTAACCAGGGATGTTGCAATAAAGCACCGTACGATGGTCGAAGGTCGGGGTTCTTGTTGAGACACGATTTCACAAAATACTGTGCCTGTTTTGAGAAAATTGTGGGATCTAGTTTTGGAGGCTCGCCATCAACTATGGCACTCAATTGTGAAAATATGTTACCATATGTTTCTGGCGGATAAGGGTAATGACCAGCTGCAATCTCCAATATCGTCAAACCAAGAGACCAGATATCAGATTGCACCGAATATGTCGCTTCATCTGGTCTCGTGCTCTTGATTCTTTCTGGTGCCATGTATGACTGACACCCAATGTTGGTTTTAGCCATAGACGCTACTAAATTACCCGAAACACCAAAATCACAAAGCTTCACCTTACCCGATGAATTCACCAATATGTTTGTTGGCTTAACATCGCGATGGATAATGTTATGAACATCCTTCAATTCTTTTAAGCCTCTAATCACCGACTCGGTTATGTAAGCCAACACAGCTTCGTCTTTTACACCAGTGTTGCCAAAGTTTTGATCCAATGACCCGCCATCCATATACTCAATACACATGTAAACTGCTCCTTCAACAAAAAATGCGCCATAGAAATCAACAATGTAGGAGGAGTCACATTTATGTAGTATGTCCAATTCCATCAAGATTTGGGTGAACTTGGTCTCATCCAACTCCAACCTCACCTCTTTCATAGCCATCAACACACCGGTTGGTTTATGTAATACCTTCAGCACTGATCCATAGTTTCCATGTCCGAGTTCTTCTAAATATTCAAACTCTTCAAGAGAGACTCTAAATGATGATCCCGACAGAAAATCAATACCTTTAGAATGCAAAGATGCCTTCCCAGCAAAGTTGAGCTGTCCCGATTTTATATCAATATATTTTGAGTAGTTTGCAAATAAACCTTGTAGTTGAGGCTCACCTCTGCTTTCTAAATCTTGCGAATCTTGACTACCATTAGATGATCTTGCAGACCTTGACACACTGTTGCTTCGAGACGGCACATTGCTATTTGATTCATCAAGATTTAACTTAAAGTTAGGTTTGTTTTTACGTTCTGATAATCGCCTAGACAATTCATTAGGCGTTCCGAGTTTCTTCCCCATAGATAAAGCAAATGGAGAGTTTAGCTCTTCTCCTGGTGATTTATTATTTTTGTTTTCAAATTTTATTGCAGAATTAAGTGTAGTTGGAGAACACGATGATGACGGAGTGTTTATAGGACTGGCGCCTAGTGGAAGGGACTCGGTGTTTAGTTTCATGCCTCTTCTTTGCGATAACGAAGGCTTTTTCTTGAGCTCCGGTGTATTTGCTCCTCCTTCTCCTCCTCCTCCTCCTCCTCCCAAAGAGCCAAATCTTGGTGACATGGAATATGCTCGACTTCGACCATTTCCAGCTAGTTGTGGTGGTGGTATTGAAGATGCTGATGCTGATGCTGATGCTGTGGCTGTGGCTGTGGCTGTGGCTATGGCTGATGCTGATGTTAATGCTGATTCTGATGCTGATGCTGATGCTGATGTTAATGCTGTTGAATGAAGAAAATCTGCTTTGGTGTCATTAGCAATGATTGTGTCTTCAATCTTGCACTCACTAGCAGATGTATGCGCCGACTCCGGTGTAGGTACTGTCGCTAGCTTTATAGTTTCTATAATAGAATCACTATTTGAAGATACGGTGGTTGGTGGTGTCGATTGTACATTTTGTGGATTATACAAGTTGACAGGTTCAGATGCAGGCTTAGACCGTTTTTGCTGAAAGGCCATTAGCCTAGCTTGAATATCGCTATTTAGAGGGGTGTGTTTTGGAGTCAATGTGGATGCTGCTGCTGTTGCTGTTGCTGCTGCTGATGCTGTTGAAAGTGAGTCGTTGTTGAGTACTGGCGAGGATACAATGTGTGGAGGTGCAGACTCCAATTGCTGGCAATCAGCATCCTTTGGAAGCTGGTCTAGACGTAAACCATGAAACTGTGTGTCTATATCCAGGAAACACTGCTTTGTATTATTACCATCAGAAGACATCGTTGGTGGGTGGGTCTAGCAAGGAACGACTTGTCAAATATACCGTTTCTATCAAGGAAAAAAAACACTTTATTTTAAGGGCTTGCTTTTAATGAATACCTCCTCTTTGTCCATTTATTACTTGAAACAAAAAGATGTAAATGAAAAATCTACTTTTCTTCTTCTTGTGTATTTTTTTTCCCAGTACTTTTTTCAACTTGTTATCAAAGGGCCAGGTTTAGATGAGATGAAATGTAATGAGTTATAGGGGTGAGGGGGGGGAAGAAACAGAAAAGAATGAAGAAAAAAAAGAATAAAAATATGGGTTAAGAAGATGATAAAAATGGGTCAAGATAAGTTAAGATGAGCCTAGAAGATGTAAGTAACAACCAGGTTAAGCACAAACAGTTGTGTACCTAACCTAATCTTTTAGATCGATCCAAACGCCGTTGTTACTACTAAACAAAAAAAAAAATTACAAAGTGACAAATTTCACAAACAATAATTTCACAAAGAACAATTCTATAGTGTTAATTCAAAAAGAGGATAATTTAGAAAGAGGATAATTTCAATACAGGAATATTTTACGTTTACTATTGCCTTACAAGCTGTAAAAGGGAGACTATTGTCTTAGCAACGCTGAAAAGAAGGCAATGATGAGATAGAGGATAAGCCTTTTCATGTTTGTGTGCTTGGATTCACCCTTTTTTTTTTTTTTTTTTTGCAAAACCGCCTTGGAAAAAAAAGAAAAGAAAAGAAAAAAAAAAAAATTTGTTAAGCTGCAAAATTTTTATTTTTCTGACAGCAACTGTGGAAGATGAAAAACAATAATACAAATGGAATTCCATTGCTATAATTAATACACGGGTATTGTTGTATCCCTTTTTTAAAAAAAAAAAATTAAGGGGTTAACTTTCCTAAAGCAAGCAGGATTTGCATGAATATAGATTTTTCTTCTAAACAGATGGCTATTTCTGTTTAACAGTATCAGGAGGTCTGACTAATTCAGTATTTGACTTTTATACTATATAATATTGGAAAATGAGTTGTTGTACTTTTGGCGCTACCGTGTCGTGTAATAGACACTATAAGCACTATAAGACACTATAAGACACTATAAGACACTATCAAGCAGAGCGAGATAGTGGATCACACAATAAGACATTATATCTTGCTTTTCTCAACACTATATCTCGCTTTTCCCAATAGTGAAGGACACTATAATTTCGCTCTGCTCAATAGTGTCGAATTTTTCAAGTAAATTTTTGCTTGAAACTCAATTGAAAATTTAAAAAATGCTCGTTTTATTTTCTGTTTGATCCATAAACCCTTTTACTACAACGTTGCACCTTATTGTTTTAATGCATTACTCTAGTAGCCCTGTTGTTTATCAGTGCTTCTTATTTAGAGCCCCATTTTTGTACAATTTTGCCGCTCCCCCCTCATCCCCAGCCCATCCCCAACGCAGCCTCTCTTTCCCTCTCCCCCAGCCCATCCCCAACGCAGCCTCTCTTTCCCTCTCCCCCAGCCCAGCCCCAGCCCAGCCTCTCTTTCTCTTTCTCTCTTTCTCTTTCTCTCTTTCTCTTTCTCTCTTTCTCTTTTTCTTTTCCCCTTTCCCCCTCCCCCCAAATCGAGCCAAAATTAATATCTGCTCTTCTTTTTTAAGCGCTCTTCCTTTTTAGAGCTCCTCTTTTTTCAAAATTCTATTTTTGTTTCTGTAATGAGCTCGATTCCTTAGGATGAGTTCGCCATATGTGGTTCCCCTATCGACACCACCTCCACCTTATCAGGATAGGTACGGATTCAAACAGCAGGAACTCTCATCCTGCACTGATCAATATTTACACCACCAACTCAACACTAAAAGGAAATGGGAAAAACTAATGAAACTATCAGGGCTAGACTATAGTTCACCTAGACGGTTCCCACCAAAGTGTAACAAGGTGAAGAGACTTATTCAGAAAGGAGTACCTCCAGAGTGGCGTGGGAACTGTTGGCTTTTTTATCTGGGTGCTTATGACCTACTGATGAGAAACGCAGAGGTCTACCCCCAGCTAGTCGAAAGAGTTACTCAAGGAGATCTCAAGACTATTGGCAATGATGCTGATCTAATTGAAAGAGACTTGTATAGAACCTTTCCTGATAATATTCACTACAATCCCAATACTAGAGATACTGGATTGAACAACAACAACAACAATAACCATCCTGTTGAGCTGGCGTTTGAGAGAAGAGGTGAGGATACAAACCCGTGTGTAGCCTTGCCGCCATTGACACAAGAACCACTCTTGATACAACGTCTACGTCGTTTACTCCTTTGCTTCTCTTTGCATTCTCCTTCCATTGGTTACTGCCAGTCCCTTAACTTTATCGCAGCATTACTCCTCCTATTCATGAATGAAGAACACGCCTTTTGGATGTTGAACATTATTACTACTAGAATAGTGCCTAATGTGCACAACAGAAACTTACTGGGGCTTACAACTGACTTGGAGGTATTGCTCCTCTGCGTGAAACGGTACTTGCCGGATGTGTATCCATTACTTAGTGGCGGCAACGCCCCCACGGACAGCACTATAAGTAATGCCCATGCTCCTTCTTCCCCGGGGACAGCCACCACAGTTGGCGCTGGCGTTGCCGTTGGTAGTGGTGTACTAGCTGCAACCCCTTGGTTCATGACCCTTTTCATCACTTCCCTACCTTTAGAAACAACCTTGCGCATTTGGGATTGCCTATTTTATAATGGTAGCAAGACTCTTTTTAGAGTTTCGCTACAGATTATAAACAGAGCCTCTAAGGAAAAGGAATTTCCTTTAAATTTACACCCATACGATATAGACCCAAATACATTACTCAATCATTTTAAGGGTGTATCACAAAGAGATATAGACACGTCTCGTATCTATGTTGAGAGGAAAAGAAGTCTTTCTACAAGCACCACCAACAAAGCTGGTGGCGCAACTACCAAAGGTGCTCTCGCCATCTCCCTTTGGAACAAACATCTCAAAAGAAAACAAAAGGGTAAAGCACAAAACACACAACCCACAACACATACATAGTTGACTATCGACACTATCGACATTATCGACACTATCGACACTATCGAGCAGAGCGAGATAGTGGAGAGAGACTAGACGTATAAAATATTCTCCTCGTTGTCGTTGTTGTTGCTATATACCTATTTCCTAAGTATACCTCTTTCCTTACTATACCTCTTTCCTTACTATACCTCTTTCCTTACTATACCTCTTTCCTTACTATACCTCTTTCCTTACTATACCTCTTTCCTTACTATACCTCTTTCCTTACTATACCTTCTCATCACCAAAATACCAATTAATGCTACCATGTGTCTTTTTTTTTTTTGCCTTACTCAAGAGATTCTGTTATCAGTGCCTTTGGGCAATAAGGAACCTTGTCTGTCTGTTGCTTTACTTTCTTCATAGAGATCGGCCAATGAGAGCACCTTTATGAGCATCGAAAAGGATTTTCACAATGTTGTATCTGATGTAAGTTCGATAGACTGGTCTCATCGTGGCGCCACTTGTCCATCCCATTTGAAAGTCCAAATTAATGCCTACGACAGCTACCAATCACCTCCTACAAAACTTGATCAACTATATAGTAAAGTATCACAAGTGCCTATTATAAGGATATACGGTTCATTAACAGTCGCACATCAAGCCACCACTGTGAGTAACTCTCCCTTGAAGAAAGAGATCAAACCGGAAACAGATGGCGATGAGAGGTTGCGGCTGCTGCATTCCCTGGTGTTTAATGTTGTTATCCATGTTCACAATTTCTATCCCTATTTCTACGTTGATTGTTATGACACCGATTACGAAAAATTGCAATCCCCAGAGTATATTGTCAAGGTGACCAACTACCTCGAAAGAATCATGGAACATTCATTCAAGTCGCGTAAAGCTAGGAAAGGAACGGAAGCACAAGAACTAGAAAGCGACAATAATAATAACAATGATGATGATGATGATAATGATGATCACGTTGAGGAAACCGGGTCCAATAAGAATGGAACAACTCCGAATTTGCGAAGATACATTGCAAATGTCTCAATATGCAAAGGCTTGCCTATTTATGGATTTCAATTGGGTTATAAATTGTTTTATAAAATCTCATTACTATCATCGTTGTACAAGGGTAGGCTTGCCAGAATGTTTCAGAAAAATGAGATCAGTTTAGTTAACTTTGACAAACTGCCACTTGAAAACGACACGTATAAGCCATATTCGTACACGTATGAAATACACATTCCTTTTCTTTTACAATTTTTGACAGATTATAATTTATTTGGATGCGGGTGGTTGTATATTGATAAAGACACAATCAATGAAGGGCCACAAACACGTGGCTTATACTTTAGAACACCGCTCTTCACCGAGCTTCACAAGCGGACATATAATAAAGCGCAGCTAAGTTGCCTCGTGAGTTTTTTGCAGCCATACATCCTTCCCGATAATGTTTTGGTGGATGGTAATGGTGGCGGCGGCAAGACTGGTAATTTCTGGGGCTTCAAAAGGATTGGGAAATCAATTTTGGAGTTGGATATTACAACGAGTAGCATAGTTAATCGCAGTTGGCTTACCGCAAGAGAATTGCACGATGATTTCACAGAACGTAAAACTTATATTGATTATCAAACTGACTTGAAACTTCTTGGATATCCAAGGCATGGTTATAAATACGAGTCGGACGGCACTCCAAAAATTTACTTGTCATCCTTAAAGCATATATATAACGATTTGAAGTACCAATCTCGTTTAAAGGATTCCAAGTTTGATGTTGCGGTGGATATTTTAGAATCCTCAAGTAGGTGCTACTTTGGTACGGGGTCTACCCCATGGTCAAATCAAGACCAATTAAACGAGTTATTGGAGTATATGGTTCTCATCAATGGAAAACTGACAACGACAAACTTTGACACTTTTGCAAACCGATTTTTCAAAAATAGGTATCCTCCTCGCAAAAGTGATATTATGAACAGCTTCCCAACTTCTTTCGACGCTATTGATGTTGAGAAAAAATTGCAGTACCATTCTCACAGAATGAATTTTGTTGAGGACATTGTAATGTGGGGAGACTACATGAACTTGTTCAAAATGCTGCAGCTGGTAATTGAGTCATCGTCGTCTCCTCTTACTAATCGATTTCGAAATATGCAAAGCTTAAAAGAAGGAGATGAGGATGAAAATGAGGACGAAGATGAAGAAGAGGACGAAGATGAAGAAGAGGACGAGGATGAAGAAGAGGACGAGGATGAAAATGAGGAAGAGGGTGAGGAAGAGGGGAAGGAAGACGAAGGGGAAGAAAACGAAAGTCTGGATGGTCATAAAAAGCAGGATGCTTTCTGTAGCAAGACTAATGTAATGGATAGGATAACACCAGGTAGTGAGAATGACAAAGTACAAAAAGAGACCAAGAAACAAGAAAAAGACCCTATGGGAAACGACAGTAACAAGGTGGCATTTTCTCATGATAATTCTCAACAACAACAACAACAACAACAACAACAACAACAACAACAACAACAAACTAGTGATTGCGACGAAATGGAAAATCATTATTACAATTCAGTTCAAGAGTTTGATGAAATGATCATAAGGTCAATGACACAGGCAAGATCTCAAAACAAATTTGCTACAAAGCCGAGTGAAGATAAAGATCTTAGCTCAACCAGTTTTACTCCCCTGCAAGGTGTTTACTCTCTTGGAATTATTGAGGCAGAATCCCACACTTACGAAGTAGTAATTCCTCCTGAATTGAAGAAGGAAAATTGGAAGAGTATTTTTGAATCTTGTGGAATTTCAAACATCAACTACAAAGATCCATTTTATAACACAATCTTTGATGTTCCTAACAAACCTTTTATCTTTGCAAATCAAAAAATTACCGTACCAGTTCGAAATGAGCAGACCATTCCGTCGTTGGATGTTATTAGGCCAATACACACCCAACCAACAAATTGGCCATTAGAATCTAGCTATTCATGCAATTGGCAATATCTTACCGAGCCTCCATCAAAACAAAGTGTACTTTTTTGGTTGAAGGAAGAGGAAAAGAAACATCTAAAAAAGCAACAGGAATACAAGTCCCAATTGGAAGCAGGTGCCACCACACAATCCAACGACATTAAATTCGGTCATAGTCTCGAAAAAGTTTATCGAAAACCTGATGAATTCAATCAAATAACTAGCTTACATATGGAAGTCCATGCAAGTCCTCCAGATTCAAAACTTGCTGTGAATCCCTTGTGTGACCCGATATTATTTATTTTTTACTCCTATGACGACGCTAATGAAATGTTTCGAGCATGCTCTTTCAAATCAGGTATATTAGTCTACAACCGTCATCAAAAGTATAACACCGATTTGCTACGGCGCTTGGGTAAACTGTTGGGTCAATATATTGATATTTTTGACGACGAACAAAGCATGATAAATAAATTTGTTGAATTAGTTGAGATTTTCGATCCAGATATTCTATCAGGTTATGAGGTAAATTCTTTATCTTGGGGTTATATTGTGGAAAGATCGAGAGCAGTCTTTGATACCAACATCATGAGTGATTTGAGTAGAGGTACGCATAAAAGTAATGGGAAGCTTGGAGATAGATGGGGCTATACACATACATCTAACATCGAGATCAATGGTAGGCATATTCTAAATGTGTGGAGGATCTTGAAATCTGATATAAATTTAACCAGCTATACTTTAGAAAATGTTTGTTACCATTTGTTACATAAAACATTGCCCAGATTTCTGCACCATCAATTATCCGTATGGCTACAAATTGGAGACTTTCAAAGTTTATACGTTGTTGTTTCATACTATCTCAAACGAATTGAGCTAACCATGAAGGTAATTGAAGTCCAGGAACTAATTACGAGAAATGTAGAGCATTCGCGATTAATTGGAATTGATTTCAACTCAAATTTCTATCGTGGCTCTCAGTACAAAGTGGAGTCCATTTTGGCAAGAATAGCAAAGTCGGAGAATTTACTATTAAACTCACCTTCCAAAGATCAAGTTCATCAAATGAGACCAATTGAATGTATTCCATTGATTATGGAGCCGAAATCAAATTTTTATAAATCGCCCTTGGCTGTCTTGGACTTTCAATCATTATACCCTTCGGTTATGATTGCTTATAACTACTGCTATTCAACATTGGTAGGGAAACTACACAACTTCAAATCCAAGAAGAATAATATTGGATATTTGAGAAATTTACAGTTACAGCCAGGCTTAGTAGACTTGTTAAGGAAAGACGATGCGATCAATGTATCTCCCAATGGTTTTGTATTTGTAAAGAGCAGTATCAGAAAATCAATTTTGGCCAAGATGTTGGAAGAAATTTTAAACATTCGTATAAAGACGAAATTTGTACTGAAAATGTTTGACGATGATGCTGAGTTGAGAAAGCTATACAATGCGAGACAAACTGCACTAAAATTAATAGCCAATGTGACGTATGGCTATACATCTGCTAGTTTTAGTGGACGGATGCCCAATTCAGACATTGCTGATGCGATTGTGTCGAGTGGGAGAGAAATCTTGGACAAGTCGATTGATTTGATCGAGGGAGGTGGATATGGCGCAAAAGTGGTTTATGGTGATACGGATTCTTTATTTGTTTACTTTCCGGGCCAATCCCGAGCTGAAGCATTCAAGCTGAGTAGAGAAATGGCTAAACTTGTTACTGACTATTTTCCTGATCCTATACGACTCCAATTTGAAAAGGTGTACCATCCATGTGTTTTACTTGCCAAAAAGAGATATGCTGGGTATTCCTATGAGTCAGAGGATCAAAAAAGACCAAAGTTTGATGCAAAGGGTATTGAAACTGTGAGGAGAGATGGTATACCAGCACAGCAGAAGATTACCGAAAGGTCATTGCGAATATTGTTTGAAACGCAGAACTTGTCAAAAGTTAAAGAGTACACATTGAAGCAGTTCCAAAAGATTATGGAGAACAAAATTTCGATAAATGACTTTTGCTTTGCCAAAGAGGTAAGGTATGGAACCTACAAGGATGAGAGATATTTGCCGCCTGGTGCATTACTTGCAAGCAAAGCAGTAGAGGACGATCCGAGAAAGGTGCCGCAATACAGAGAGCGAATACCCTATGTTGTAGTGCGCGACACGTCAAAGGTACGAATCAAGGATCGTGTGATGTTTCCAGAGGATTTCATCAACTCTCTTGGTACGTCAAGACCAATGATGCTTGACTACGAGTATTACATCACAAGAGTCCTAATTCCGCCATTGGAAAGGATATTCAACTTAATGGGCGCCGATGTTAAGGATTGGTATAACACGATGCGAAAATCGACCAAGAACAATATCACAAATCCGTATGACGACTCCTGTTTGGTTTGTGGCAGTAAATTGGATGGCAATCAATGTGCTTGTCTAAAATGCTTGGGAGATCCACAGCAGTTGGCTACTGATATTATATTGACGAGCAAGAATGCAGAACGCAAACGGCTAATGATTGAGAATACCTGTACAAATTGTGGGCACAATATGCTTCTCAATGGAGGATCTTTGTCTCTGTATAGGAATAATTGTACAAATCGTGATTGTTCTGTGTATTTTAATAAAGTGAAGGTCGAACAGGAGACAATGCAACTAACTTACAAGAAGGATAAAGTATTGAAAGAATTGGAAATGTTGCAAGTGTCGGAAGATTGGGAACTCTTCCAATATGAGCCCACTAAACAAGCATGAGCTACACAAAAAATGGGGGTCTACACATGCATAGCTTTCAGATCACGACACTATCGACGCTATCGACGCTATCGAGCGGAGCGAGATAGTGGAGCAGTACTGACTTCACCGACACTAACAAGCTACTGTCAGTGTGCTCCACTATCTCGCTCCGCTTGATAGTTCGATAGTGTCGCACTGACTTCACCGACACTATTCAGTTTAGTTCTGTTTCCTTACTTTGGTAGAGTCCAAGTCCCAGCGTGAATAGAGCATCTACACCATAGAGCATACCAGCTCTACTACTCCTCATCGCATACACGTCGTTTTAGTCTTTGTATGTATGTATGTATATATAATCTTTTTTTTTTTTTTTTTTTTTTTTTTTCACCTATTTCATCTGAGCCCACAATGTGAAGGAGCTTTAGACTCAAACCATTTGGCCTCAAGACGCAGCCTATTTGCTTTATCTGCTCAATTTGTCTCCTGTTCACTTCATCGATGTCAAAACATGAGACAGCAGACAACGAGACACCCCAAGGTGTCAAGAAATATACACTTTTAAATATATGGGTTGTTTCATTAACTCTAAAGCTTCTTTTGATGGTAGGCTACCATTCAACAGATTTCGACGTTCACAGAAACTGGTTAGCGATAACTCACAACCTACCACTTTCCAAGTGGTATACTGAAAACACATCGCAATGGACTTTAGACTACCCTCCCTTTTTTGCAATATTTGAGTGGTTTTTATCTCAATTTGTGCCCTCTTTTGTGAAAGCAGATGGATGTTTGGACATTGTAGAGATTGGCCAATATGGTCTACCAACGATTTATTTTCAGCGATTGACTGTTATTTTGAGTGAATTTGTTTTGTTTATGGCATTTCAATGGATAATTGACACTTCTCCAACTTATGCGGTAAAAAGAAGAATGTATGTTGCAACTGCAAGTCTTGCATTGTCCCCAGGTTTATTATTGATTGATCATATACATTTCCAATACAACGGCATGATGTATGGAATTTTGTTATTTTGCTTAAATAGTGCAAGACTAAAGAGGTACCTTCTATGCGGATTCTGGTTTGCTGTTCTATTATGTTTCAAGCACATTTACTTATACTTGGCCCCGGCGGTATTTGTCTTTTTGCTCCGTGCTTATTGTTTGAACCCTCATTGGGATAAGAGAAAGAGTTACTTTGGCAATATGGTTGCTCTTGTGCAATGGCAAAATTTGTTCAAATTAGGATTTGTTGTTACCTCAGTTTTTACAATTGCATTTGCTCCATTTTACTGTACTCTACCTGAGATGGTGAGTCGTCTTTTTCCCTTTAGTCGAGGCTTAACTCACGCATACTGGGCACCTAACATGTGGGCATTATACTCCTTTTTCGATAGAGTGTTCATTCAAATCTACAAGCGCATTCCAGTATCACGCTTTTTTCTACAAAAGATTTTCCAGTTTGACACAACACTATTAAGCAATGAGAAATTGTTACAGACGTCAACTAGAGGAATAGTCGGTGATATCGAATATTTTATACTACCAACAATAACCCCCAAGCTCACATTTTTATTGACATTATTTTACCAAATTATGGCATTGATACCATTGTTTTTCCAGCCAACTTATAAACGGTTCGTAGGTGCAATAACCCTATGTGGATATGCATCTTTTTTATTTGGATGGCACGTTCATGAAAAGGCGATTTTGTTAGTGATTTTTCCAATGACATTGATTGTATCGGAAGATAGAACTATGCTTCCGGTATACAATTTACTTGTTATTTGCGGTTATGGGTCTTTATTTCCTTTGATTTTCACACCAAATGAATGGTTGGTGAAAGTAGTCTTTACTTTGTTGTGGTACATTATTTTTTACTTTAATTTCAGAAAAATAGCTAAAGTGCCAAAATCAACGGCACGCGGTGTCCTAGTTGATCGAATGGTAAACGGCTATATTTTGATTTTTATTGCAGTTGTAATAGTAACAACAATAATTGATGTTTTAAAAAATAGATATGCGGTTTTGAAAAATTTTGAATTTGCCAATTTGATGATTTACAGTGTATATTGTGGAGTTGGTGTCGTCAGTAGTTGGAATGCATTCTCGTGGCTATATTTTGTGGACGATACCATTTGGATAGAGGATAAAGAGTAGTATTTTCATAAATGGAAAATAGAAAGTAAAAAATATTCAAACTTTTGGCCCTTTTTTTTAAAAAAAAATTTGGTCTTATTTTGGTGCAAAAAAAAAATTGTAAACTATAATGATATATATTTATAATAACCAACGACTATCATAGTGGTACTGTCTTTTTTTGTAACCTCAAGATCCATTACATATTTTCTCGATTGGTACTACTACTTTTCTTTCTCTTTTACACTCTTCAATCACATAGAAGATGAGTCAATTGGATGGGAGAAACAACTTTGAAATGCACTTGCCTTTATCACTTTTGAAACTTTTAACTGATAGACTAATCTTCCCCGCCATTTTATAGATTAGTCAATAGCAAAAGATCCCAAAATAGAATTTAACATATGAAACAGGTTCCGTGGTCTAGTCGGTTATGGCATATGCTTAACACGCATAACGTCCCCAGTTCGATCCTGGGCGGAATCATTTTTTTGCATCAATTATCAATGATCCCTTATCAATTTTTTTTCCCCTTCCAATTCAGGTTGGTTCCCCGTTACAGTTCCGTTTTGAGTAATTTAAAAGATTGCAAAAAAAAAAAAAAAAAGAAAAAAAAAGAAAAATATGAAATAGGAGAAGGACCAACGAAAAACAAGTTGTAGTCGGTGCCAATTTTGATCATTAGCGGTTGGGCCGGGTTAGTAACAGAAATGACGTTATATACTATCTAAACTCATATGGCCTAAGTTAACTCTTGGTCTAAAATTTTTCTATCTTTTGTTCTTGTCTTTCCCCATTATAGCAATTGTAGCAACCGGAAAATCTAAACTTTAAAACATTAAGAAAGATAGGCGGCAGTACAGCAGTAGCAGCATTTTCACGGAGTTTGCTATAACTCCCCCCCTTCAAGTCCCATCTCTCCCATCTCACCCATTTTCACGGAGTTTACTATAAAAACAAGTCCCATCTCTCCAATCTCTTACATCTCCCCCCTCTCTTTTTATCTTACATCTCCCACCCCCCTCTTTTTCTCCTTCTCTTTTCTTTGAACGATCATTTAAAGCTTTATCATCCTACAATAAAAGCAATGTCCGGAGAAGAAACCATTACTTTAGGTCGCTACTTATTTGAGAGATTAAACCAGAAACCAATTGGCATCAAGAATGTCTTTGGCGTTCCAGGAGACTTTAACCTCGTGTTATTAGATAAAATCCAAGAGGTAGAAGGGATGAATTGGGTTGGTAATGTCAATGAGTTGAATGCAGGTTACGCTGCCGATGGTTATTCAAGAGTCAAGAATGCATTTTCTGCTGATGGGTCTTCAATTGGTTGCTTGGTTACAACTTTTGGTGTTGGCGAGCTACTGGCTGTGAATGCGATTGCTGGTGCTTATTCGGAACATGTGGGCTTGCTTCATGTTGTTGGTATTCCATCGACAGAGTCACAAAAGAAGGAGTTGTTGTTGCACCACACATTGGGAAATGGAGATTTTACTGTTTTCCACAAGATCTCGTCGCTTATTAGTGTTACTACATCAGCCTTGAACGACTTGGCCAATGCAACAGCTGAAATTGATAGAGTTATTGAATCAGCGTTTATAAACCAAAGACCAACTTACCTTGCATTTCCTTCAAACTTCTTTGATAAAAAAGTACCAAGAAGCAAATTGGATAAACCTTTGAATTTGTCGCCACCACCAAATAATCATGAGGTTCAAGAAGAAGTGTTGAATGAAATTCTTTCAATGATTTCAAAAGCAAAAGATCCTGTTATTATTATTGATGCCTGTTGTTCTAGACACAACTCTACATTTGAGGCTAACAAATTGATACAGTTGACCAATTTCAAGTTCGCCGTAACACCCATGGCTAAAGGTTCTAGAGATATCGATGAAAACGATCCGAAATATGTTGGCGTTTACCTCGGTGACTTGTCATATCCAAAATCAAAAGAATTGGTTGAACAATCGGACTTAGTCTTGTCATTAGGTGCAGTTTTATCTGATTTCAATACCGGGGCATTCTCTTATGCTCTTCCTACTTCCAGAGTGGTTGAGTTTCACTCCGATTATACTAAAATTAGAAATGCACAATATCCTGGTATTAGAATGAAAGAGTTGTTGCAGAAGTTACTTGAGAGTGCCAAATTGAAGGAACTTGTGGCTAATAACAAACCTCGTGACACTACACCATTAGACTTGATCCAACCAATTAAATTACCCGATGATCACAAGATTACTCAAGCTTGGCTCTGGTCTAATTTGAGCTCTTGGTTGAGAGAAGGTGATGTTGTTGTAACGGAAACAGGAACCTCCAGTTTCGGAATTGTGCAAACAAAATACCCAAAGAATGTGATTGGTATTTCACAAGTTTTGTGGGGTTCAATTGGCTATTCAGTAGGGGCTGCATCAGGTGCTGTAATTGCAGCTGAAGAACTTGACCCCTCAAGAAGAGTTATATTATTTGTTGGTGATGGATCATTGCAATTAACCGTGCAAGAGATATCGACAATGGCTAGACATCATAACAATACCTACATTTTTGTTTTGAACAATAGTGGTTTCACTATTGAGAAATTGATTCACGGAAGAGAGGCTGGGTATAATAATATTCAAGAATGGGAGTACACTGACATTTTGAAGACTTTTAAATCTACTAATTATGAAGCATTCACTGTTGGTAACGTTGGCGAGCTCTCGAAATTGTTTAAAGATGAAGCTTTTGCAAAAAATGACAAAATTAAATTGGTAGAAGTCAAATTAGACACTTTTGATGCACCAGAGAATTTAATCAAACAAGCCGAAATATCGTCTAAGACCAACGACGACTAAAAAAAAAAAATCTATTCCCTATAATATATATATATTTGTTTGTATATATATATATCAGGATGCATTTTAAAAAGCAACTACCCTTTCTTTGTTCTTCAATTTTTTTTTTTTAATTTTAGTTTTTGGAATGAAAGATGTAATCCGGGAACAATGATTCCCAATCTTCATTGAATAAATCGGAAGTCATAAGTACAGGTGGACCGCCTAGGAAATCTATATTGTCTTCTAGTACTAGTTCTGCAGTGGAGAAGTTTTGTGAGTCGACACTTGAGATGGGTGATGGTCTGATTGCCGTTGCCTTAGCACCGCCGTCGCCGCCGTCGCCACCACCACCACCACCACTAGCACTATTAGGAAGAGCAGTTGTAAAAGCAATGGGGTTGTTTTTGATTTTTGATTTGGATTCTACTGTAGAAAATTCAAACTTGGTACTTGAGCCAAGTAACTTTTCTTTTTGATTCCTAATATCTTTCAGCTCTTCCAATTGAACACTTTGCTTTAATTTTTCTTTAATTAAATTGTATGATTTTTCAGCTAATTTCCAAGTCCTTGAGCATCCACGTAAGACACCCATAAAGAATCGTAATCTTTTACTGTGCTCATTCGATTGAGATATGGTTGAATTGGTTAGCAAAATAATTGAAATGGAAAGGATTGACGCATAAACGATGAATATAGAGGCTCGTTTCAATCCATATTCCGTTTCAAACTTATTTATAGATCCGTAAAGATCATCAATCGCATTTAGGCAGATAGGTAATGGGGATAAATGATTATTTGTGGGGAAACTCTCTGTTTCTAGTCCAATAAATGGTCGATTAAGACATAGTATCAATATGTAGTAGTAATATCGTATACCAGAATATGTTGGATTTTCGCCCGTGTTAATTAAGGTCTTCCTATTCCATTGTAAATTTGCAGGCAAATCTTCTTTCCACCTCATAATTTGCCAGTTGTAATCAAACACTTTGCCTAATCTTGATGTAAGGTCTAAGTCCTCGGTACTATGATGGTTACTTCCCAATTCTGACTTTGTGAAAATGTCATTTAACATGTTATCGCTTATGTTGATGAGGTTTATAATTTGGTTCAAAGGATCTCCAATGTATGAAGGTGTTTCTGAAGAGACAGCACTAGTGGTCGATGATGATGAAGAAGAATAAGAAGAAGAAGAAGACGACGAAGAAGAAGACGAAGAAGAAGAAGAAGAAGCAGCAGCAGCAGCAGCAGAAGAGGGAGTTGTTGTTGTTGTTGTTGTTTTTGCTGCTACTGCTGTTGTTGTTACCTCCTCCATTTTCTTCTTTTTCTTACCTTTCTCATTCTCCTTTTTCTTTTTCAAGTATCCACTATATGTGTAGTCGTCAATCCATTCCAAATCAGGCAAATCCTTAGTTTCTGGAATAGAAGCATCAGAGAACTTCAAAATGGAAGGTCGCCCCAAAATCATACTGATGAAATGATCAGCCATATAGCAGCCCCAGTAAATCCGTGATCGGATTTCAACATCTACTTTGCTAATGCTTTCCTTTGATTTAACAAACCAAACCTCCGGATTCAACTGAAATCCTATATCGAACCCCATTCTCATTGCATTCCCAGATAACATCCAACCGCTCGAGTTTGCTCCATTGCAAATGTCAAAAAACGCTAGCAATAAAAAGCTCTGAAAAGATGTGATTGAAGGCTGGTTCATGGAGTTAAGTAGAAGTTGTTTCAGCTCTTTATAAAACTGCCTTGACTTGCGATATATTTTATCATCCAAGGACATGCGTGATCCAAGTGCACAAATGCTCAAAACCAAAATTTTCGAGCAATACCGGCTGGTGGATGATGGATTAAAGAAATCAATAAGAAAAGATTCCCGGAATATGAACATGTTGTGATCGGGGTATTGCCAGGTGAAGAATAAACGAAGACACTCTAGAATTTCTGGATCTTTGTTCATATGATTAATTATCAGAACTTCATCATCTTTCCTTGTTATTAGGCTAGCTGTGTTGTTGGTGTTGTTGTTGTTAGTGATGATGATATCATCGTAAACCGAGGTTGGTCCATAAATAGCCTTATTTTCGTCTACATCATCATGATGGTCGCTTTGATTATGGTGCGACGGAAGTGAGCTAGCAACCCCGCCACTCCCGTTATTATCACCATCACCATCACCACCAACCAATCCTGATAAATCAACGTGTTGTAGAAATTTCACTTGGTCCTCAACATTTTTTATTTTCTGGAAATCTTCAATAAACTGTCGAATATTGGAAATTTGCGTTTCCAACTTTCTAACGTATGTAGCAGGCGGCCTTTTTTTCCTCATATCCTGGGTCGTTTCAATACAATCAACTCCCAAATTTTTACAGTTGAAGCACGGATTATTGAAATCACATCGCATCTTGCGTATACGACATCTTTGACAACTTAGTTTCTTGACAGCTGCTTTAGGCTTGAGCTTGCGTTCGGTATCAGCATTGGATCTGGTGCATTCCTCATCGAAAATTAGTACAGACTCATCCTGCTCTTTGAACGGTCTCTTCTTCTCAATGGGCATTCGGTCTTATCCTCAAGACGAAAAGTAGTACCCTTCGGAAGTAATGCATTGTTTTATATATATGCACCAATGGTTTTTCTATTTTTATTTTTTATTTTTTTTATTTTTTATTTTTTATTTTTTATTTTGTTTTTATTTTTTATTTTAATTTTTCCGTCTCTCTCCCCTCTTTTCGTTTTGCAACCAGGGGCAGAAAAAGAATAAAACAAACTGCAATAGAATTCAAATGAGTCAGTTGACTTGTCAGTTGAGCAATAGGATGCAAATGTGTCAGCCGACTTGTCAGTTGAGCAACAGAATGCAAACGAGTCAGTTGACTTGTCAATTGTCATGTTAGTCACCTTAATAACGTAGTGTTTCAGTCTAAATAGCTTCTATAAATAAATATATATATATATATATATATATACTAAAAAATAAAAAACTCGAGTCTAAAAAAGTCCTTTTCCCTCTAATTTAGAATTATGATTTGATAACTTGAATAAATAACAGTACATATACCCACCACAATCAATAGATAGTCACATAACAGTACCCAGTGATCGAATTTTGTTGATATCCCCTTCTTTTCCATAGATTTTAGGTGGATCATCGGTGGATAGATGTATACCAACGGAATACATGCAAAGCAACCGTTGAATGAAACAAACTTGTCGATATTGTCGGCATTCAAATAAGCAATGAGACAAATAAACATTACTGCCAATGCTCTGAATCCGTTTTTGAGCCACTTGACATGTGGATTATGCTTTCCTGAATGATGGTACAATTTCCCATCAGAAGAAGAAGAAGATACCAAGTTTCCGTTCCCGTTGGCGTTTGCGTTACTTTTACCGCGATGTCTGAATAGTATAGATTCTCCAATCTTTATCGCAGGGAATAATTGCAACGGGCCTGATAAGAACACAGCAATAGAATAAAGTAATAGAATCGACTGTACTGCAATACTTCCTTGGGGCAAGTTTAATATAACTATAGACTTGACTTTGTCTCCAAATGCAGTATATCCAATTGTTCCAATTGCCACGAATATCGCAGTAATTACAGCCATACTAACTGATAATACCATGGGGAATTTCTCAGGTTGCGCCATTGATGCTTCTATAGGGAGTATCAATCCAATACCCTCAAAAGAAGTCACTGCAACACCAATTAACATTGTCCAACTATTTGGATTAAAATTTTCTATATTAGGTCCAATTCCATCAAGATATATCTTCAAGCCCGAAAAGTAAAAGATTATCAACAATCCCAATACAATAAAAAACGATGAAATTAAGGAGACCACTGATAGCTTTGTCAAGTTTCTAATCAAGACTAAAGGAATCATTAAGCAACATTGTACAATGACGGCGTTTGCTCGGTTCAACCATTCGGGCCTAACCAGGACAAACTGATCAATAAATGCAATCATATTCTCCGAGGTAAATAAGATATATGTGGCAACGAATCCCACTTGACTTAGAAGGATAGATACTAATATTGAATATTTTAAAGGTTTCCCATATGTCCTATAACCCAATTCACCAAACGATGTCAATTTCAAAACTTGTTTGGATTGTATTAATACCACGTAACAGAAATATGTGAGTAATCCAAATAGTGTAAGCACGATTATTGAAAATAACAACCCACCATTGTAGAAAGCTTTTGGTAAGAATAGTACTCCCGATCCAACTAGTGCTTTAAACACCAAGAAGAATGTCTTGGCAACGGTTGCTGTTCCTCGTGGCATTGGTGCTTTTTTCCTTGGTGGCAATTGTTTGGGTAACTGGGGCATTGTTGTGCCATAACCTCTTCTTTCATTAGGCGGTAGCACTAGCAAATTAGACTCTTCATCAAACACATCTTCGTAATCATCAGTACTTCCGCCTCTATCACTTATGCTTTCTTCATCTTCCTTTTCCAGATCTTCTTCACCATCTTCATCACTGAAATCTTCACCAGCAAAGTGTCCATAAATGCTCAAAAACTCCATAAAATTCTTGGTTAAGAAATCTGGAGGCTTTTGGTTTTCTTTGAGTGATTTTTGAACTATAAATTCTCTTCGAAATCCCCCGGGAACATTAATATCACTTGCGGTTGAGCCTCTTCTCACGTCTTCCAAATATGAAAACGAGGTACTTCTTGCACGAATTTTTTTTGGCTTACCTATAGCAATGCCACCACTTGTTGCATGATGGTCATCGCCAGGCAGATCAGAAACGTTTTCCATCTGATGATATAATCTGCGCGTTATATCGCCACCTTGTTGCTTTAAGCTCTCTTCGGGACTAACTAGATGTTTTCCAATTGTTTTCAAATCTATATTTTTCAAAGACAAGGGGTTATTGAATTGGGAAACATGGTCATCGTAACTTTGTGCAAAAGAAGACGAGGAATTTTGAGAATGCGCCGCTTCCGCGATTGAGGTTAGATTCGAAACCGAGTTTGAATTTGAATTTGAGTTTGAGTTTGAGTTGAGAAATGGGTGGTGGTGGTGCGGCTGGCCAACTGGCGGAGTTGAATTTGAAGATGAGACCATTCTCATAGAAGATGGAGATGCACCATTAGTAGCAGAAGACAGGGATGCACCATTAGTAGCAGAAGCTGTAGTATCTGCATCATTATCATGAGCACTTTCGCTATTATTCTGAGTCGACCCGCTATTTTTGTGAAATACCGAATGTGAATTGGACAGAGCCATCCTTTTTTTTTTTCTTCTTTTTTACTTTATATTTCTCTCTCTCCCTTATGATCTGACCTATACCATATACCTTGAAGAGTAAAGCAACTATTATCTAACAACTAATCTAACTTTTGATGTATATAAAATCGTGTGCATTTGTGGATGCAATGGAAAAAATAAAAAAAAAATTTAGAAACTGTGGTGTGCATATAGAACGAGATTCATTATCAATGTGACAATGATGACATTCTTGAGCCATGGTATTGGATAAGCTGTTATCGACACTATCGACACTATCGACACTATCGACACTATCGAGCGAAGCGAGATAGTGGAGCAACACTTAGTAGACACTACCGAGCGAAGCGAGATAGTGGAACATTACTAACTGGCATCGACACCATAGATGCCATCGACACTATCGAGCGAAGCGAGATAGTGGAGCACCATAGATGTCATCGACACTATCTCGCTTCGCTCGATAGTGTCGTTGATAGTGTCGTTGATAGTGTCGTTGATAGTGTCAATTTCTTATTACCCTATTAGTAAAAAAACAGTTTTGTGATTTACCCGAGAATAGATGCAAAAAGCATAAACCGTATATGTAGCCAACAAAATTTGTACTTATTCCGAAAAAGAAAAAAAAAAAGAGCTGTGCTTTGATGGATCTTGCACTCAGTATGGAAATACTAATAGGCTATAGGCGGAAGTACTGATCACAAGTATTAAATGGAAAAACTCAAAATTTTTACTTTTTTTGGAGAAGCAATAAAAGGGGAAGATAAAGAGCGGAGAAAAAGACGAGGTAGATATTTTTGCGACTTTAGACTATGCTTCTTCTTCTTCTTCTTCTCTTTCTACAAGTAGAAATGTAAACGTTACTATAGGCTTACTTCCTTCCGCCTTGTTCGGTTTTCCCCCACACTTCTCACTCTCTATGGGTTATTGTTTTCCCTTAAATGAGAAAAAAAGGAACAATTTTCAAAAACAACCAGGTTTTGTAACTTTCAAGTATATAATGCTGGTTAGTAACAGGTACGTTGTCTTGTTGGTTAGTTTGTTAAATGAACATTCAGTAGTATTGTATTGTTCCTCGGACTGTAATTTCAGATGGGAAGAGAAAATCAAGGGAAGGTGAAAAAAAAAACAAAGAAAAACAAAAAAAACAAACGGAGAGTGAAAGAAGAGACATTGCAATTTGAAGCAGAATTGTTGTTAGTTAAGAATAGAGAGCGTTATGAGCTTGAAAAAGAGGCGTTATGAGCTTAAGGCGGCATATTCTCTATTCGGAATTTAAAAGGAAGGTTTTAAGCCTATATATTTAGGTAGCTTTTTTTTTCAATTTATTTTTTGTGACACTAAAATAAACTTAGTTCCGGAAAATCTTTTTCCATCGTTTTAGTGTGCCCTTTTCTACTTTTATAGTTTGGTCCAACTGGGTTTCACTTAACGACGAAGGTCATCATCGCATAAATGTATACCCATAGAATGAACAGCGGTACCCAATTAAAAAAAACAACAACCATTCCTAAGGTTCCGTTTGTAATGACTCTGCATTTTTGGTAATAATATACTGGATAATTCCTTGTTGCCACAAGTTCTTTTTCGAATTCCGGTTTCAAGAGATGATGGGCTATGATCGAAACATTCACAAAATCAAAACTTCAGGGAAATTGATTGTTTCCCGAGGACCACAAATCTGTATTAGACGAGTTCGATGTCACTAAGTGCATCGTAAATGCACTAAAAATTGATACTACACTAGGCAATACTAGCAGTGGTTTTTTTTTCATTCATTTATTTTCGATATATTGTGCCTCTAGCTTCGATCTTAATGGATATTGAAGCAACAAGGATAGGTCACTATACCGTTACATTCATATATCGACGATGCTGCTACATTATTGCCTTTTTTTCCGTTAATAGCAAGAATATACATAATTAACAGGTTTCTTTTCTTTTAAATATGCAAAATAGATGATGAGGAAAGACACTTACATACATTTTGCAGGACGAAAATTGGACGTTATTGCATGCGTTAGTTAGATGCAACTGTGTAGTAATTGAAATATAGCCTGGAAACCATGCCCTCTTGTGTATCGGCTCTTCAACCACCCCCGTTGTCTCACAAAATGTGGAGATAGTTTTGATCACCTGCTAGAACCAGATAACTCACTCTCACTATGTTGCATCCTCGTACTTTTTTTCTTCTTCTTTTGTCTCAGATAGAACAGAGAATGTTTCAGAATTTTGTTTTTCATATTTATTTTACCTGTGTTCCATTTGTTCTACACAATGTTAAACTCGAAGGCTTAACCTGATATATATGCCGAAGCAAGAAAAAAAAAAAAAAAAAAAAAAAAAAAAAAAAAAAAAAAAAAAAAAAAAAAAAAAGAAAAGAAAAGAAAAGAAAAAAATAGAGGAAAAATTGACATAGATCTTGGATCAAGTGTCATTAAAAGCTATTTAGGATATAGTAAAGAGAATCAATAGCGAACCAAAGAAGAGTTGCATTGAGTACAAGGAAAGATGGCAATAAAGTATATGTAACTAAGGTTTTGTTTGTCGAAAATATGTAAAAGTGTAGCGATCAAATAGTAGTAAATGTACTCTTTGTACTGAATATTTCAAACATCCATACCAGTTATGTGTTTTGCCACCACCACCACCTCCTCCTCTTTCTCTTTTTCATGTGAACCAAAAGGAATGTGAGACAGAGACATAGAGAATGACCACTAATCTCTCTTTTTTTGATCTATCAATCAAGCGAGAGAAATAATAGAAACGAGATCGCCTTTCCCCCGCAATATGATAAAAAAACTACAAACACAGCTTCACTTATTATCTAGATATATATGTTGTTTTTTTAAAAAAATATAATAGAAAAATGTGTCCAAGTTTGGTCACTTGAGTTATTTGGGTCATTGATTATTTGAATTTGATGTAAATCTTCGATCTCGACGCTTTTCGCCCATAAATATTCTATAAGTGTTGTTTTTTTTTTTTTTTTTTTTTTTTTGAAACTATTGTTTTGACAAGGATAATGGGGATATAACTTGTAGCAAGAGACTTGATACAATATGACCAGTAGTTGCAAGAGGAGTTAATGAGCAATAGTTGCAAGAGGAGTAGTGAGCAATAGTTACAAGAGGGGTTGACAGTAGTAGCAAGAGTGTTAAGATCGACTAGAGGAATATAGCATAGAGGGCATTGACGTTGAACTGGATAATCGATTATCCAACCTAGCATAAAGTGGCTATATCCGGGTAATCGATATTGAAATGTTTTTTTTTTTTTTCCCAATCTTATTATCTTTTTTAAACTGTATAGAAGGAATTCTTTACCCCATACTCTTCCCGAACAGTATAGTATTTTTGTGAGAGTAACACAAAAGAAAAAAAAACTAAAAATAATGTATTGATTGTAAAATTTCACGCGCTTAAGTCCACATAGACATAGGTTCTGCATAAAAGCACTTTTAAAAATAATTAATAATAAAAAAAAATCATTCTTTTAAGTTTAGCCGATGGTATTTTTTGCTTCTGCTACTGCAACTGCTATTGGTGGTATTTGGTAGTGCTTTAATACTACAAGCTACAGGCTTACAAGCTACAGACTTACAGACTTTACAGGCAAACATACGCATACACACATTTATTTACAAGAGTATTTTATTGTATATTATAATTAAACTTAATGTAAATGGCTCATCCAGATTTTGTTACTCTCTATATCTAGAGATTTGGAGATACACTTATTAATATTTAATATATATATATATATATGTACTAGGTTTCCGCCTATCTTCTTCAGCTTCCTTCCTACAAAGTGTTGAAATCTCATACTACTATACTTTTTGTCTCCCACTCATTTATTTATAACAGATGTTGCACTTTCTAGATGATATGATCTTAGGCTCTTCTTTCTATACATCTTATATCAATACAAAATTCGACCAAAATATAGATTATTTGGAATATGTACCTCAGATATCTTCTTCAACAACAGAACACTATTTACAGGATAACTCAAATCTAATAAATTTCATTAAATATATAAACTCAGATCCTGATTACAAGTATGGCAATCAGTTTCTTTACACTAGATTACAAAATATATGCTGGCGAAGAATTTTCAAGAATCATAAGAACTTACCTGACTTGAATCCATTGATTATAAATTGGGATAAGAATTCTGATATTACTTGGTTATTTGGTCCAAGAGTAGAACTTGACTTACCGGCAGTAGCAACGTCAGCAGCATCATCGCTAGCCAAATCTTCAAAACAAGAGGGGAAAACATTTATAACTACAAAAAGCCAAAATCAATATTCTCTACAACAACACATTCCAATACAAAAATCGGTTAAAGCTAATAATGAAGATGAAGACGAGGATAAAATATCTGTATCGTCTTATGATTCAGATTCATCAATGGATTCACAATATAGCCAAGATTTCATCCACACTTCAGCAGCTTCTCTTCCAATTAGAAAAGATTCAAGTTGTTCTATAACATCATCGTATTTTGAAGAAGAAGTAGAAGATGACGAAGAAAAACAACCTGTGGATGAAATAACAGTTCCCGCCGTGAAGTCAATATTGAAGAAACAGAGCACAAACATCAGTGATGACGGAGGAGCCATCAAGAGTAAGAAGGAACAAAAAAAAGTAGTTTCCTTTAATTATATTATAAATACGCGAGAGATTATTGATAACATATCACTAGATTATAACTTTTTGGATAAAAACTGTATCTGAGGTAGAAAGAGAGAGTGGGAGAAAGAGAGAGGAGAGGAAAAGAGGGTTCAAAATGGATAGACAAAAAGTATTAGCTATCAGTACTACCACAGGGTATCACATTTTCCTGTTGCATAGATTTCCCTTGAGTTAATTTAGTTGGTTTTTTTTTTTCCTGGCACAAAAGTTATAGATATAGCAGGCCTACATCTTTATCATTAACACATAGACACTTTTCAATTACACATAAACACACATTTAAAAGAAATATATACCGCGAGGTAGAGAATCGGTAATTAAATAATCCTAGAGTTTACATAGAAAAATATATTTTGAAAAAAAAAAAAGTTACTATTAATATTTTGGTTGGTTTAAGGTTTAGAATAAAAAGGCTTTTTCACTTCCCACTAGTGGATTATTCTTCTGCTTGTATCAAAATTTGAAATTTTTCTGACGTTTAAAAAAAAAATGCCAAACATGTATACCAATTATTCAATTCAGTCCGTCATTTTTAATCAAAACATAGAACTTTGACTTTCTCAACAAGTATTGCCTTTTTTTTTTATTTTTTTATTTATCCTTTTTTTTTTTGCAATTGTTTCAAGTCTTAATGCCGTATACAGCATGGCTAAGATAGTTGATGTAAGAAGGTTACAAAAGTCAAAAAAAAAAGACCATATTCAATTTACACAGCAGTTGCAGTGACGATAATGTGTAATACGTTTTTGAAAAAGAAGTGATTGGTAGAGGGGGTTGAGAAGGGCGGAATGAATATAGTGTCGCTCAATAGTGTCAGTCAGTGCTGCTCCGCTATCTCGCTCTACTTGATAGTATCGCAATTTTTTCCCCTCCTTCCAAATAACTAGAGACTAAATTTTAGAAATTGTAACAGATGTAAACTATGAAGATGCTCTCTCTCTCCTCCTCTTCCTTCTATATAGATATTCGCTCTACTAAAGGAGAACACTTTGTCACAACAGAAAGGCTAGATCTGAAATTAAAAACACTCTAAGTTATGACCCCCCTTCCCCTAAGGTATGGCATGTGAACCTCAAAGACAATACGCAGTAAAAAAATAAATAAAAAGAATCTATACAACATAGCAACCAATCTAGTACGTTTTTTTTGTTAAGAAGGGAGAAGGATTAAAGGATGAATTGAAGGAAGAAGGATTAAAGAAAGAGAGATTGCTTTTCCTATCGTGATAGTTGCTATGTTGTAACGTGTAATGTTAAAAGTATTAAACACATCTAGACCAATTCGATTGTTTTCCAACTAAATCCTGTCAGTGGCAGTCAGTGCTCCACTATCGAGCGAAGCGAGACGTACACGTGACTTGCCGTGGAGGTCGTGAGCCGCTTGATCCCAAAATAAGTCAAAGAAAATATGAATTATTTTTTCAGCCTCCACCTCTCTCTCTATTGGTGAAATGTTAACAATTGCAATATATAACAATTGCAATATATAACAATTGCAATATATAACAATGTACAAATTATGGAAATGTACAAAGAAAAAGGACCTGCAATTTTTCATGTACGGGTTTGATTATTTTTTTTTTATTGTTAGTAGCGCATTTTTCCGATGCATTTCCACACGGGTAAAATCTTTTTATTTACCCATGGAACGTGTTTTACTACTTATGAATTGACCTTTGCTGAATTAATACACACAGCTTGAATCCTAGTGAAAAAGCAAATTCAAGTAAACTCATGTGTGAACACTAGCTGCCACCACATTCAAAGATAGAACAAAAAAAAAATCAAGTCTCATAGTAAGAAAATATAATATTGGGGGGGGGGGGTAATAGTTTACCAATTAGTCAATTTCCGCTTCCTTAACATGTTTCCGCTTCCTTAACATTATTTCCACTTGTCCTTAATTTTATTTCCACTTGTCCTTAATATTATTTCCACTTGTCCTTTTTTTTAAGGGGCTGCAACTACCAATCCCCCAGATAATTTGTTCTATTTGATTTTTATTTTGTCTTATTTAATTCTATTTCGTATTATTTTATTTAATTTTATTGTATTTTTCACATTCTTTAGGGTTATCACATATGCTAGACAAAAGAGATGAACTAGCCAACAGTTGCATATTTGAGTCAACTCTTGATACCAGGTATCCAAACTCAGCTACAATTGTTCCAAATAAATGGAAAAAAAAAATAAATGTATATAGAAAATTGTTGCGAAAAGATAAGAAATGTAAACAAGTGCTATCTGTATTCCATGTTAAACTCTACTTTGAAACCTGTAGGAAATGTTGTTAATGGCGCTTTTAGAGAAGAATTGTTTGTTACTTTAGGCATATGAGAGTCCCTTTTTGAAACGCCATTATTTCTTGTTAAATATTTTCCCGAGCTGATATAAGCTTTATCAGTCATATCCTTTTTTCTTTTTTTGTAAAGTTTTCGACGGAAAATCATTTACCCAGCAAGTGTTGTTCGCCAAAGGAAAGGAAAAAGAGTAATCAAGTAGTGTGACCGTTTATTGATTTTTCAGACTTTTAACAATTCAATTCAATTTGTTGAAATTTGTTATTCAAGTCGATGTCACTAAATCTGTTATTCAAGTCGATGTCACTAAATCTGTTATTCAAGTCTCGATGTCACTAAAGTGGTATTGTTTAGCCTTGCAACACCTTTCATCATGACTTGCACAATCAATGTTATTTTTGTCTCACGTGACACAACTGAAAAATTTATCAAAATCTTCGCAGCATTTGCTAAAAGGAAACGATTGTTAAGGATAAACCCAAAGTTGAGTTTTTGTTAAAGGATTAACCAAAAGTTTGATGACGCTACCTGTCAATAGATTACTACTGCTACTGCTACTACCTAAGAGGCTAATTTCCAAGAGTTCAAAAATATGTGGACTGAGGGAGTATGTGCAATTTAGTCCCCCAACCACCAGGGCAAATGAAACTAACAATAATAACACATCAAACAGATTGCCAAACCAGTCTCGAAAACAGTACGACTATAACAGTTTCACAGCTCGAAATAACAATGGCAACTATAAGAGATCTTCATCATCATCATTGCAGCAGCAGCAGCAGCAACAGCAGCAACGCCAACAAAAATATCAACGTCAATCTCGAAATGGATTTGATCTTCAAAAAATACTCGAAAAGGGTTCAGAAAAAGTACAAGATGCTTTTATATCCGTTCTTTCTAAAATTTCTCAAGCATCACCTAATTACCAAGTCGAAACAGTTACACCGTCGGGGTTGGTCAAGGTTCACTTACAGGAGATTTTAAAAGATTTGAATTTATCCAACGAAGGTATCCAGCTTATTCAACGGAATTCAAGTAGCGACCGTGGAGGTCGCTCTTTGATTCTCCCGCTCGTTAAAAAATGTAAGACTGAAGAAATGATTAGATCATATAATGAAGAATTAGCTCTGCGTAAAGAACTAGAGTTACTTAATTTGGGATCAAGAAAAACCATCAAGATGCTTGATCAGAAACTAAAAGCCAAACAGAAACAATCAATGGAAAAGACAATCTTCATTACGTGGGGGATATCACTTCGTGATTTGAAATTGCAAAAGTTTAATGAATTAAAGACAAGATTATCTAAAGGTGAGAAGTTAAACTTGTATATAGTTTATGATAAAAGAAAAATGAACCTCAAAGTGGATGAAATTTATAAAGATAAGGAATCGTTGGATTTGGAAATGAAGAGGCGCGAGTTGGTCAAATCAAGTGTTGAGCTGTTGTTGGATGAAGAGGACTTGGACTGGAAATGGAATTGTGAAGGGTCATTACGAACAAAATTGGTCTACAACATATCTGCAGCTAACGTGCCAGAAAAGCAAAAGAACACACCAAAAGCAGTCAACACCTCATCAGAGAAAAAGACAAACAAAATAGAAAATAAGTCGAGGAAGGAGAAAGTGAACGAAGAAGATCTCGATGCATTGTACTCGATTAAAATAGAGGATTAAAATCTTAAGAAGGAGGACCCCAAAGAGTATTAAATTATTGTAAATAGGACAATAAATAAAAAAACAAAAAAAAAAAAAAACAACAAACAAACAAACTTCTATACAATGCTTCCATATCGGTAACTTTGATTCGACAGTTGTATTTTATCTATGTTATTGCTACGCTTTTGTAAATTTTGTTGTCTCATGTTTTGCTGTCGCTGTCTCAATTTTTGTACTTTGAATCCATAGGCATGACTGTCCAAGACACCATCAATAATAGGATAGTTTAAAATACTCTTTGTGTGAGGATCTTCTAAAGTATAGTTCCCTATTGTATCAATCGCTTCTTGATAAATTACTTCATCCTCATCAAATCGCTCGTCGGAGTAATCTATTGTTGACAATAATAAATCATTATTGATTTGCTCCTTGATAGAAAGCGAGGCAGTTGATGTAATTGACCTAGTTTCCTCTTCAAAAATGGGTGACCCCGGAGGTGAATTTTTTGGCGACGTGGAATACATTGCTCGCATTGATGTATTGTTCGACAATATAGAGGCGTTATCAGGTTGAAGTGCATGGATCTCAGATGTACTCGGTATTACACCTGGTGAGGTAACAACACTCAGACTATCGGGCAACCAGTGCTTATGTTTTCCATCATAATGATACCTTAATCCTTGGTGGATTCTACTCATCCTCCCCTTGGAATCAGGATGTGCAACCATAGCTTCAACAGAGTCAAATTGTCGATAATCTTTGTAATGTTCACCATCGAATGTCTTTTGAAAATCAATTATTAAATCTTTAAAGCCAAGCCAATCTTTTAATGCATATTTGAACTTATATCTTCCCCAGGGCAATTGCGATACGGTAAATGGATGATAAGAAAAAGAGTACCAGTGACCAATAGCAAATGCAATCAACTCAATACAAAGTAGCGCACTCTGAATCGAGACTCCAATACTGCCCCCTTCGTTTGTATCGTCGCCACTTCCAGGTAATACTTGAAAGAAATTTAAAATTGCCAATATGACACCTTGCCAATAAGATGCAAAAATTATCAATTTAACACAAAGAAATTTTCCACCTGGTTTAAACGGCTTCAAATCATCCCATAATACTTTCCAAAATATAGCCAAGCTGTATAATGATAAAGTAACACTGGCATTGTAAATCAAAGTCAACCACAAGTAAATTGATCCCCATGTCATATCATTTACATTGTACCAACCGATTATTTCAAAAAATAAAGTAGCAAAACATATGATTGGCTTGAGCCACACATATTGTAATATACCCCTTTTAATGTTAAGAAATGTCCTTGAATCAGAGATGTCTAATGGAGGCATGATATACTTCATTATTCCCGGATGTTGCACTGGCCTGCGCCCACTTGTCATGATAATTATATTCCTTTCTCCACCAAGCATATCTGTCAATAAAGAAAAAAAAGTATAAATAACAAATGCCTCGTATACTTCCCTCAACGGTTCCAAGACAAATCTGTTAAAAAGGGACTTTTGATTAACCAACATCGAGTAGCAAGAAATTGCAAAAAGCGGCACAATCAATTGAATACGAATCATTAATCTCTGCTGAAACGGTTTTCTATAGTTGAATAAATGAAGCAAGATGCTCAAAAAGATAATTATCGCCGATGTCAAGGAACAATAGAATGACACGGTGATCACCCAAGTTGGAAGTTTTGGAATGGGCGTGGCGCCTTCATTTTGAAGAAAAACGCTCCTCAAATAGCTACCGTTATTGTTGTTGTTGTGGCCATTGCTGGTAAAAGCATCAGTAAACATCACTCTCTATAGCATGTATAACCGTGCAAAAAAAAAGAAACAACAAAGCCTTATAGCGTGTTGAAATGTTGTTCCCAACCCCGCGTGAGCTAAATCGGTCGAATTTACCTGCTTCAAGCGGCGGGCCGTTCTTTCCTACTGTTGGCCTAAAAGGAAAAGATAACTATGTTTAATCGTAATTCCATACATCTTTGTTTTTTTTTTTTTTTTCGTTTGTGTGCCTCACTGTATTGTTGTTATTCATAGAGCGGAGTTGAATACTAAAATGGAAATGAATTGAATTTTTACAATGTTTTAAGTTACTTATAAATGAAGAGGAAGGGAGAGAGAGAGAGAGAGAGAGAGCAGGGGTGGGGCTAGTCAATGTGCTGCTCGATAGTGTCGCTTTCACTCTCAAGCAATTCCTGCTTCTTTCAATCTCTTTACTCGATCTTTTTCCTGGGATATTTTCTTCAAATCTTGTTCTGAAACCAAATGATGTTGATGGTCATCACCAGGAACGGATTGTTCATCAGGTTGATGTAGATTTATAACAGTACAGTTTTTTATAGATTGCATGAATGGATCATTGACAACATCTGGCATTAGATACCTTTTCTTGGGATCCAAGATCAACATATTTTTGATCAATGGGCGTGAACTCAGTGGTAGTAAGCGGAATAATTTCTCTGGACCAGAAGAAGGATGGTGCGAGTGTCTATCTTGGTGCTGGTGCTGGTGCTGGTGCTGGTGCTGGTGCTGGTGCTGGTGCTGGTGCTGGTGTTGGTGTTGGTGTTGGTGTTGGTGTTGGTGCTGGTGCTGATGTTGGTGCTGGTTCTGGTTCTGGTTCAGGTCCAGGTTCAAGTTCAGGTCCAGGTTCAGGTTCAAGTTCAGGTCCAGGTTCAGGTTCAGGTTCAGGTTCAGGTTCAGGTCCTGGTGCTTTTGCTTTTGCTTTTGCTTTTGCAGGTGCTGAGACTGTCCATCTATGTGCATATTGCTCACACCGTCCTCTATTGATCCATCCAATTGAGGACCGGCAAATGATTTATATGAGGGATCGGTCATCTTTGGGATTTTCCAAGGAAATCGTCTTAGTATCATACAACAATAGATGATTGCAATCGACCAAACATCAGCTACTCTTGGGTCGTAGCCAAGACCCATGGGCTCAAATACTTCTGGCGATAAATAAGGATCAGAGCCAACAACACCTCTAGCTTTGATCAATTTGTGCTTCGGACTCAACATTATATCGTCTTCAGTAACAAAATAGCCCAGTGGAACTTCTTTTCTAAATTGTACTGCAGAGCCAAAATCAATCAACTTCAATATCCCATGACTAGTAACCACACAATTGTCCAATTTCAAGTCACGATGAGCTAACCCATTCTCGTGCAAAAAAGCAACACCTTGAACAATCTGCTTAAAATAACAGTACACTTCATTTTGGTCCATCAATTCACTCATTACTAAATTGAAAAAATCATATGGACAATACTCCATAACAATGAAATAATCAGGATCTACAACCTTGGAATTTGTGTTTGAATAGTCCTTTATGAGCTCATAAGTGTGGATTATATTAACATGTGTCAAATAGTCTCCAACTTTGTATTCATTTTGAACTTTAGTTTTATAATCAGCTTCTTGTTCTGATGGTAGTCTACTTCTAAATTTTTTTACCGCATATATTTTCAGTGGATCGCTCTTTGACGAAAGTAAATTGACCGAGCCGCTTGCACCTGTTCCCAACAACTTACCTGGCTCTCCGTATTTCTTAAACAAGTCGGCAGTTGCGTTAATGGGGTCTGGCCGACCAGCACTTATTTGCCTGAGTTTTTTTGACGACGAGCCGCTATTTTTGAACTTTTTGAGAAACCTTGTAAGTGATAGGGAATGATGATGCTCTTTTTGACTTGACACATCACTGATGGAAGAAATTGGCGACGTATTGGGAATTGGCGACTTGGGTTTACTTTCGGTACTAGCGGCTGTGACTGCGGGGGAGGCGGCACTAATACCGTTATTGACATGTTGCTGCGGTACAGGCTGCTGCTGCTGTGGAGATGCTGCTATTGCTGCTGCTTGTCCATTTTGTAACGCTCTTTTAGAATTCAATGAGCTAGTAGTCAGCAGTGAAGACATCAGCCTTGGTGAATCCTTCTTCTTCAAAAAAGATCGATGTGACGTTGAAGAATGTCGATCATCTGCTAGCGACGAGGATGAGCTAAACAAGTTCTTGAACGGCATGGAGAAATGGAGCGAAGGAGTGTATGGTAAGCTATAAAGGAAAAGCAGTCACTTAACTTGATGCTGGGTACCCTCAAAGCAAAGTTTTTTTATTGAAACTTTTTGTAAGTAAAAGTAGTAGTTTATTTTTTAGTCTTGTATGTAGTGTGAAATTGAATCTGTCAATTTTTCAGCGTATGTTTGAATATATCAAATAACAGTTCTGTGCCTCGTGTTGTATTAAAATTTTGATGTATAATATCGTGCAATTTTGAGCGAGTTTCAAAGTGCAAAGTTCTGCAAAGATTCACTCGAGGGAACAAGAACTGGTCTATAGACAAAAAGAGTTGCTATCGGAAATAATTTATTACAGCATGATTTCAATGCCTCAATGCCTCAATGCCTCAGTGCCTTAATGCCCTAATGCCTTAATATCAATGTCTCGGTGCCTAAATCCCTCTTGTAATTTCAACTGTAGTGCGCAAAACCATCGTGCGCAGATAATAAAGAGAGACCCACTATCGAAACCACTATCGAGCGAAGCGAGATAGTGTCATAGTGTCATAGTGTCGTAGCAGTCAATGCCCCACCATCTCGCTTCGCTCGATAGTGTCATAGTGTCATAGTCTCGGGTTTTTCTTCCCATCTATATTTCCGATAAAAACCCCTATAACCGTTACAGAACCGCAGAGAACATGACTTTGTCCAAGAAGAATTTGATTAGGGATTAATTGCCACTGACGCATTAATTGTCACTGAGGGGCCTGGTTTTAAAACGCGGGGAATGTAGAAATAGTACTAGAAGAAAGACAAGGCGGGAGAGGGGCAAAGGAAAGTGACGGTGTAGTGTGGTATCAGTGGAATCGGCTCAAAGGCTTTTTTCTCTTTATTACCGAAACTTTATTTAAAATACTAAAAAAGGACAAATTTAAGTTTAAGGTTTTGTTACCCAGAGACACAGTTTCATTACTCGATAAGAAAAGCTGTTAAAATGTGTAATTCCTTGGACCAACTATTCTTTTTCCTTGCACCAACTATTCTCTCCTTGCACCAACTATTCTTTTTCCTTTCTGGTGGTATTTTTCATCCTAGAACAATAGACAACCATGCAGTTTCAGGTATTTATATATATATAATTGTAAAACTTTATATCAAACTACAATTTCAATTTGTTACAACGACAAAACAATTTTGAAAAAAAGCGGAAAAAAAAAAAAGAAGCTACTTGCCAATGGGCTGCTTATTTCTACCAGTAGTAACGCTTGACTTTCTTTTTGAAGTGGCACTACTAATTGAAGAATGCTTCGAACCAGATCCATTCAACAATGGTCTACTTTCTTCACTTTCTTCGTCACTCATTTTGTTCATACTAAACGATTCTGCCCTCTTAGTTTTGTGCTTACCGTTTTTCTTCATCATCATCGTCGTTGTCTTTTTCTTCTTCTTTTTCTTGTGTTTATCTTTACTCAGTACCGTCCCGTCAACTAGCAATTGATCGTCGTCTTCATCCCCATCATCTCCATCACTGACATTTTCAATAATAGTTTTATGAACTCCATCAACATTTACAACCGATTCAATGATACCACCAGTTCTATAGGATCTAGATTCCTGATGCTCTATATCAAGAGCTCCCTCGGATCCCGGTCCTTGGATCAAGTCAGACTTTCTTGACGGTATAGAAATAGCTCCATGGTCACCTGTATGGTAGTATGATTCACCACCTTGAATTTCAGAAACATCAGCTTCCTTTTGTTGTTGATGATGTTGATGATGTTGTTGATGATGATGATGTTGTTGATGATAATGATGAAAATGATATTGCGGTGATAATGGTGATGGAGATTTCATCTCACTTGATCTTCTTTGTGCTTCATCAATAGCACCCTGCTCGGTTGGAAAAACCTCTCCAATTTGTTGAGATGGTTCACGTTCTACGTGGTCAGAATGATTAGGAGTTGGTGAAACAGCTTTTGTAAATGAATCAATAGCGCCTTGATCGGGTCTTTTTATAGTAACGAATTTCTTAGATGTTTCTAGTGGATTCAATGCAGGATTTTTAATCTTCCATTTTGTAGTTGTGCCACTCGGTACACCATGTCCTCCACCGCCACCTCCACCTCCAGTGCGAGCTTCCGCAACAGTGTCATTCTTTGAGTTGCAATTGTTTGGCGTCGAGGAAATAATTGTAGCTTCACCATTGTGACCTATCAACCTTTCTCTTAAATCTGCGGGAGGTTCAGCCGACTCCAAGGAGTTTCTATTAGAAGGAGCATCGCCGGATCTCTGGTATAAACTGTGCAAGTATGCAGTCAAGTTTCTTTTTGATAAAGGGCCCGGATGTTTTCTCTTGATATTTTTGTTAATATCAATATACACATCCGATTCATCAACAATTTCTTCCCCAATTAACTCTTCAATAACATCCTCCAACGTCAAGACACCAAGTGCACCAGTTGGCTCGCCCGGCGTTTCACTAACTATGATCATGTGAGACTTACCTTCTTGAAAATAGTTCAAAATGTTCAAACAAGAAGTATCAACGCCTGTTTCCGGAAGAGTAGCTAATGGGAAAGACGCCACTGGTAAGGCATCTTCGGGATCATAGCTGATCAATACTCTCACCAACAACATTCCAATAAAGTTGTTTGGTTCCTTAGGTAAGTGAATTGGGATTCGTGAAAAACCAGCGTTAAAAATTTCTTCAACTGTTTTCTCATCTAGCAAAGTATCTGCACTCATGGTGTAGACTCTATCCATTGGTGTCATGATACTACTAACGGACTTTTCTTTCAAGTCTAAAACTGCACTAATGATTGTAACTTCATCTTGATTCAACCTCTCGACACCCATTGTCTTATGCAATGTAACCAATGTTTTTAGCCCCGATTTCTTATAAACTGTACCATGATCTTCACCCAAGATGTGGTCCAATAACATAGCACAGGGAAATGCCACGGGGTACATAATGTACATCAACACCAACACAAATGGAGCAAACAAAGCACCGACTTGTAATCCGTATCTGACACAGATTGATTGGGGGATGATCTCACCAAAAATAACAATAGAAACAGTTGAAGTAACAACGGCAGGCCAGCCACCACCAAGACAACGGTCCAAAACGATAGGCAAAGTTTCATTTGTGATAACGTTTGATAGAAGCAAAGTGACCAAGACCCAATGTTTTCCTCTTCCAATCAAACTCAACACCTTTTTAGCGTATTTGCGCTCATTGCGGTCACCACTAGTTGAGATGACTTTGAGATAAACTTCGTCTTGGCCCATCAAACCCAAGGTTAAACCTGCAAAAACACCACCTGCCAATACTAGCAACATGGAAACAAACAAATTCAAGTAATACTCTCTTGGAGTGAGCTCGCTTCGTTCACCCTGTGAAGAATAGTAATTGTTGTCATCGCGACGCGCCCCGTTGATAGGGATAGATTGCACTAATTTGACCAAATTGGTGATAACCAAGATAACCTTAGTTATTGCATTATTATTAGCAGCATTTAAAGAGACGGTAGTACCATAATTCCTTTTTAAGGATAGTTTGCTTTTTGTCATATATGTTTATGAAACACCTGTATAGGAGGAAAAAAAAAAAATAACGTCCAACGTCTATTCTGGAATTCGGCTTCTTATTAGTAAATAGGAGTTAATGAAAAAGTTTAATGATAATGGATTGGAAAAATTGAAAAGAATGTGTCTTTCTCAATTTTGTTAACAGCTGCGAGACGCAAAAGAGAGAGCTTCCTTTGAGCCACCGCCCAACTTTTTCCTTTGCACGTTTTAAGGGCAGGGCCGAAACGATTATTTTTTTTCCCCTCCCCCGCGACTGCGCCACCCCGCCAAGACATCGAGAGCTACACTACCGAGCGACACTACCGAGCGACACTATCTCGCTCCGCTCCATAGTGTCGCGATACTTTGTAGGTTGTTACAGCACTATCGAGCGACACTAGCTACAACACTGTCGAGAGCGAGATAGTGGAGCGATACTTTGTAGCTTGTTGCAGCACTAGCTACAACACTGTCGAGAGCGAGATAGTGGAGCGATACTTTGTAGCTTGTTGCAGCACTAGCTACAACACTGTCGAGAGCGAGATAGTGGAGCGATACTTTGTAGCTTGTTACAACACTGACGATGATTTGCACAAGGTGTTTCCCTTTAAATGATCCATCTCTGAACCATTCTGAACCGTAACCATTCTGAACCATTCTGAACCGTAACCATTCTGAACCATTCTGAACCGTAACCATTCTGAACCATTCTGAACCATTCTAATCCATTTCGTTTAAAATTTTCAACTTGGTGTAAAAAAAGTCTACGTTTAAGTCACTAGATAAGGAATTTGGCTGCGTGGTTGTGAAGTAAAGAAGAAGAAGGAGGAGGAGCCAATTGGGAAGAAGTAGGTGGCAGAAGTGTCGATTGAGAAGAAGGAGAAGAAGGAGGAGAAGAAGAAGAAAAAGAAGAAGAAGAAGAAGAAGGAGGAGGAGGAGGAGGAGGAGACTATAGGGAAGGTGTCGCTTGCAAAATTACTATAGCTGGTGATGGCAGCTAGTGGTGGCAGCTAGTGTGCTGCTCCACTATCTCGCTCTGCTCGATAGTGTCGTTCTGCTCGATAGTGTCGCTACCAAATTATCATCAAGTATCTAACAAAAACTCTTCTCCTTACAAATTAACTCTTTACACCATCATTAAAGTTTATGGCATTAGATTCATTCCAATGGCCTGATCTTGTTCTGGTAAGATTGTCTATAGTTCTCGTATTAGCCACGTCTCTCTTTGTTTTGGTATTCTGGTTGGTTGACAAACTAGTGGTTCAAACATATCCATTTATCGACGGCTCCTTTGTCGCTCAGCCGTCTACCAAGATTTCTCAATTGGGGAAGCAAACAACAATCCGGCTTTATAAGGATAAAGCATTCTATAAGCAATTGAACAATAGCTCCCAATACTTGAGACGCGACTCGTTCCTAATAGATGAGTCTAGACCACAATCGTCATAATCAGCAACAGCATCAGCATCAGCATGAAGAGCCGCTTCACATTCAAATATTCATTCCTATTGATTTGAAGAGCAGGTTCAGGAGCAATAATGTTGTTCTCCTAGGTTACAAGATGTCAAATATATTGATTATCTTTGACTTGAAAAGCAAGGACGTCAAATTACCGAGCGCTGAGTTTCCAGGTTTGCAAGAAATAGGTACGCTTAACTGCAACAGCAGCAACAGCAGCAACAGCAACAGCAGCAACAGCACGAGTGAATCTTCCCAGATGTTGAATTTACATGTTGACACAAAGACAGGTGATATCAAGTGCGGTAGAACTGCTACTATCATCTACTTTAATCCACCCAATTTCACCAATTTGGAATATTTTTCAATTGAACCTATCTTGTTACAATCAATGGGACCAATAGGGCGAAAACTGAAAGTATTGAGTCTCAGTCTTAAAATGGAGGAGTACTATAAGCCACATTTTGACTCCCAGTCAGTTCAGATGTGCATATCTAATGATACAGTGTTGGAAAAGATTAATCAAATATATAGAACGCGATTGAAATATAGGGAGCCAACATCAATGCTTCCATTTGCAAGAACAATCAAGAGCTTTGTGAAACCTGCCATTATCTATTGGCTCGTTCCTTTTATCCAAATATTTCAAAAAGTGCTCATTCTTTTCATTGACATTATCAATTATGATGTGTACAGTTATTCACTAGTCAAGATGTCGAAAGTATGTCGTCAACTAGATTTACGACTAAAACAGTTGAATTACTTTCCAATCCAGTTTTTGTGCTATTACAATAAAAGCATATTGTACCAGGAGAACAACTCGCTTATTGTACATGACTTGAAATTGCCTATATTCAACAGCAATCTCAATATAAACAACTCAAACTACATCAATTTATACAACTCAATTTGGCTCATTTTCAATGACATTCTTATAGGAATCACCATTCATTCAATTATTGCAAATAATCAATATCGAATATTTGATTTTATTCAATCTCTGCTTTTAGAAAAGTATCTTTTTTCAGATATGGTATCATTGATCAATTGGGTTTCAACCAAGCATCCAGCGGGATTCAAATTGAACACTGATTTGGGGAGGTTTCTCGGAGATTTATACGTGTGGACGGTAGTGTTTTGGAAGTCGATGATGGACAAGTTACAACTAACTGAGAACAGAAACCTTATACTTTGCATTGTTCGAATTTTATCTACTTTTGGAGGGTGTTCTTTTCTTATCAGTTTTGTTCTCGATATAATCAATATACTCACTTTTCACATTTATGCATTTTATTATTGTGCAGCCAAGGTATACAAGCGCCAAGTACTAGTCATTAAATCATTGTTTCAGCTTTTTAGAGGCAAAAAGTATAATGTGTTACGTCAAAGAATAGACAACTTGAATAACTACGAAGAGGAGTCTTGTGCTGATGGTTTTGAAGTTGACCAGTTGCTAGTAGGAACCCTTTTGTTCATGATTATGATTCTCCTACTTCCAACAGTATTTGCATTTTACATAACGTTTTCTACACTTCATATCTCAACATTGATGGTTCACAACTTGTTGGAAAACTTACAGATTGTGCTTAATTTCACTCCAATATTTGTTTGTTTACTAAAATTGAAAAATTCTCGACGGCTACAAGGTGGTATAACTTTTGAATTTGTCAAGTATAACAAGGAAAGTAAAGTAACAGAAGTTTGCATGTCTAACAAGTCGCTCACATATACGGAGATTTTTGTCAATTTTGTTACGTTGACCAAAAGGGCAAAGAATTTTCGAGATTCCATCATATGGAACTTTATAAGTGGTGATATTATTTTGATTAGGTACGACCACAGTTTGAAGTTTTTATATTTGATGCTTCCCGAAGAGTATAGAGAAACCATCAATGTTTGGAAGTATATATAGATACACTATCGAGCGAAGCGAGATAGTGGAGCATTGACTGCCACCGACACACGAATAAAGGGTGCAACCGCAGACAACATCTAAATAGATTTATCAATCTACACAACTAGGTCTTACCAGAGTTTGGTAGTTACTAACTTATACACATATTAGAAGAAAAACCAAATTTAAGTATATTTGTAAGTGTCGGTGGCAGCTAGTGTGCGCCACTATCTCGTGTCGCTTGATAGCGTCGCTTGATAGTGCCAGTGCCGTATACTATACAAATTTAAGTATATTTGTAAGTATTGGTGGCAGCTAGTGTGCTCCACTATCTCGTGTCGCTTGATAGTGTCGTTCTGTTCGATAGTGTATCACGTGTATAAGGATAGGGCTTTCCTCACACCTATGTACAATTTCTAAAGTAGTGCAAAATTCAAGAATGTAATTTCATTTTTTCATTCTTTCTCACAACTGAAAAACTACTAGGGACGACCTTAAACTGTCGATTTTAATGCCATCGTCGTGCGAAAAAGACGGACCTCGTCCCGAGCAGTGCGACGTGGTCGCGCAAAAGTCTAGTACAACTCTACATTTCTTCCCCTGCCCACGGATTTTTTTTTTTCCTCTTCGTAGTACAAGTCAATACTACAAGCTCTATACAATTTTTTTTTATTTTCTTCTATAGGAGGAGGAAAAAAAAAAAAAACCAATTTTTCAAATTTTTCTGAAAAAACTCAGTCTCTTGATATATACTTAATAACGAACAAGGTCATACAGTTTCATTCAAGATGTCATTACCAGCCTCATTTGACTTAACTCCAGAAGATGCTAAGTTATTGTTAGCAGCCAATGTTCATTTGGGATCAAAGAATGTTCAAGTACACAACAAGCCATACGTTTACAAGACTAGACCAGACGGTGTTAACATTATCAACATTGGTAAGACTTGGGAAAAAATTGTTTTGGCAGCAAGAATCATTGCCGCAGTACCAAACCCATCAGATGTTGCTGTTTGTTCATCGAGAACTTTTGGTCAAAGAGCCGTTTTGAAATTTGCTGCTCACACTGGAGCCACTGCCATTGCTGGTAGATTCACTCCTGGTAACTTTACCAATTATATCACCCGTTCATTCAAGGAGCCAAGATTAGTTATTGTTACTGACCCAAGAACCGATTCTCAAGCTATCAAAGAATCATCATACGTCAACATTCCAGTTATTGCATTAACCGATATGGATTCACCATCTGAATATGTGGATGTTGCTATCCCATGTAATAACAAGGGTAAACACTCTATTGGTTTGATTTGGTGGTTATTGGCCAGAGAAGTCTTGAGATTGAGAGGTATCATTGCTGACAGAACAACCGAATGGTCAGTTATGCCAGATTTATACTTTTACAGAGATCCAGAAGAGATTGAGCAAAATGCTAATGAGGAACAAAAGGGTGAAGAAGTTGAAGAAGTTCAAGCTACTGAAGGTGAAACTGAATGGAATGGTGAAACTGAAGAAGTTGACTGGGCTGAATCAGGAGTTACCCCAGCTGCTGAAGATGCTGCTGCTTCGAATTGGTAATGCTGTTTTGAACTCTAAAATAAGAGAGAAGGAGAGAAAGAATGGAAGAAAGAATGAAAGAATGAATGAAGGGATAAATTTTTTAATAAAGAAAACAATTCATAAAGAAGTCGGAGATGTATATACTATTGGGTGATGCATCAAATGGCAAAGGTATATAAAAGTGTGTTTATATATTTTAGGGGGGTAAAGTGTATTTTACGTATATTTTCAATAATATCAAATCATACGATCTAGATTTGTAAATGCTCCCGTACACTTGCAAGTTTGTCCATGATAAAAGCTGGTTAAAAAAGTCCCTACTTAATCCTTAGATTTGTAGAAAAAAAGTCCAACCTAATCCCTAGCATTGTAGTTCGCGATAATTTTTCATAGAGTACAAATATTTTTTTTTTCCAATTTAAATTTTTCACTTTTTACTTCTTCTTCTTTTCTTTAATTTGTTTACCACGAATCGTGGTTATCATTACTTTTGATGGTGAGCAACGACTGGATTCTTATGAAAACAGTCAAATTTCCTGTTTTAGGTTTACTTGCCTCGACGTTCATCACTATATGATAGCCCTTTCCAAAGCGAAAAGAACCAGTTTTTATATCGTACATTTTCTCCATTTTTTTTGATGAGATCTGTACTTCATGCACTGGTTACATTTTGTGAGGCATGTTGCAGATCAAGTTGCACTCGATTTGCACTTTGATGCTGAATTGCACTCACGCTATTTGCAGTCTCTCACTTGAATGCTGAATTGCACTCATTCTATCTATAGTTTTCCTCACCCTCTATAGTTTCTCACTAGTTCTCACTAGTTTCTCACTAGTTTCTCACTCTAGTTTTTTCCCCTCTATAATTTTTTTCACCCTCTATAATTTTTTTCTTATACTAGATTCTCACCCTTTATATTTCTCACCCTTTATATTTCTCACTCTCTTTATAGTCTTTATTGATTTTCTCTTATATTCTCAGTATTCTCTTCTCTTATACTTGTTTCTCAGTATTCTCTTCTCTTATTAGTTTCTCAGTATTCTCTTTTCTTTAATTTTATATAGCCTTTTATTGCCGTATATTTCCCCATACGGAAGTCTAGCACTCTTTTCTAGTCGCGTAATTTTTTTAGCTTTGTTTTTGACATTGATCTTCCTTACTCCACTTGCATCGGCTAGAAAAAGTAGAATACGAATCAATTGTAAAACTTTAATGGGTTTACAATACATTTATGGTTACTGTTTGTAAGCTGAGAACACTTGTAAGACATTGCACTATTGCGCCATCTGCCGGTTTCATAAAATCTTACCCACTTTCGTTAAAGGCATTGCTTTTACAGAACAGGCTAGCATTGACACCTGTTTAAGCCCCAGTTTCTCCCAAATTTTTTTTTTTTTTTTTTTTTTTTTTTTTTTTAACCCGATACTTCCAAAAAGTTGGAGAAAGCTGGACTGGAAACTGATGAAACTAGGACAAAAGTTGCAAGAATTTATTTACTTGCTTAGTACAGATGATAAGTACTCGGAATACGACTCTAGAAAGTCCTTCAATAGAGTGAATAAACCAGATACCGAGAATTTACTCGGTGTTTACACTCACCATAATCAGTCTTCATTGGAAATGGTCACTAATCACAATTATACAAATACTAATGGGAGTAACCGAATGAATGACATCGGCGGTGGTCCTAGTGGTAGCAGCAGCAGTAGTAGTAGTGATCAAATAAGCTCTATTGCCGGTGTTCATGAGATGAAACTAGCCTGGAGACATATTAAACATTGGCTAATTAAAAATGCCCCAGATATGAATAGTTCGCTACTTAGTAAATGCACATCAGATGACTTGGTGGATTTTCAAAAAGATTTGAATATAAGGTTACCGCTTTGTGTTTCTGAGTTCTTTAAGATTACAGACGGACAGCTGAACTTTAGTAGCAGTTTAAACATGGAAACAAACGGATTGATATTTGGATTAAAGTTGATGTCTCTTGATGAAATAATGATACAAACAGAGAATTGGAGAAAAGTCTCGGATTTCATAAACAATGAAATAAGGCAACAAAACTATAAGACAAATGAGCTAGATAAATTGCCTATATCGCATGCAAATATGATCCAGCACAAGAAAACCCTTGGCTTGGGTGTAAATGTAGCCAACAACATTTCACCCGAGAAAACATCTTTTGATATAACAGAAGACATGTTTGCAAGAAAAGCCTCCATATCTTCATATGAATCGTCATCCAGTAGCAGCAACCACCATCACAACCACCACCACCACCATGTTTCAAGTTATCACAAGATGCCCAAACAAAGGTCTATTCCGCCAGGCACCATACATGAGACATTTGCTCACCCAATGTGGATTCCTATGATCACCGATGAAGTTGGAAATTACATTGGTATTGATCTCTCGCCCGCTTCTGAAGGAACTTGGGGACAAGTTATACTATTTGGAAGGGATTTTGATTTTAAATTTCGAATTGCTGAAACATGGGGAGATTTTTTGCTTATTTTTGCTAATGACTTGGAAATCGGTAATTGGGACATTAAACTAAACAAAAAGAATAATGACGGAGATTTATTCATTGGTAATGAAGGAGAGTTGGTATTTGTTGATAAGGAGTCTACTTTGGAAATACCATATTTGGAAATGTTGAAAAGAAGAGCTCTAAAGAAATGGATGCTCACTTTAGAATCCGAGGAAAATAAAGACACAATCAATCAAGATTTACTTGCTGAGTTGAAAAGTAATCAAGTCTCCATTCTCCTGTTGCAGAACAAAAGTTCGCAATCTATTGATACTTTCATAACAAACAATTTGAACCTTATTGATAGTCTAAAGGGTCTGGAAAAGATTGTTGTTAAAAATGGGCGGACAACATCACTACCGAAAAGCGTGAATGACAGCAAGTCCTCACTATTGCCAAAAAGAACAGGAAAAGTTTCAAACAAAAGCCCATTGTCACAAGTGGTGACAGGAAGGGAAGAAGAAGATGAGGAGGAGGAAGAGGAGGAGGAGGAGGAGGGAGAGAGGGAGGACAGGGAAGAAGAGGAGAGAGAAGCCAAAGAAAAAGAGGTTAATGATGACGATGGGAAGCAGGAGGAGGAGGAGGAGGAGGAGGAGGAGAAAAAAGAACAGGGCCTGGCGTCAGAAAACCCCATCCGGGAGCTTCAAGATATAGACATCAAGGATTAAAATATATGACATTTTACATATACTTTACATATACAACATTACGGCTTTATACCTATAGTATTTTTTCTTTTCTTTTCTTTTCTTTTTTTACTTTCACCAGATAATCCTTTGTATTCTATTTGGCTCACTTAACCAGGTGAATTCGTAATGGAAGAAAATATAGCTGGTAGTTAAGTTTATTATGTTTAGCCAAAAAAATTCAATCAAGTTGGCATATTCATACGCAGAATGGATATGCAACCTGAAAACAAGCAATGGGATGAGGTAATATCTTGGTTCAAATAGTGGTGATGGGACAAGTGTTAATACTGCAGCGGTGAAATAAGCAAGTATTGTTATTGGCGATAGGTTTAGTTTTTTGGTTCTATAAAATGACCTGACCATATTACATATTGAAAAATGATACACTGGTGCAGCTATTATTGCGCTCAATTTGTGCAGAAGGAGTCTCTTGAAGATATAAAAAGTGTAGTGCCTATTATCTGCAAGTAAGAAAGGGTGCACAACGGTATAGTTTTGAATAATGTAGTAGATACAACCTAAGCACAAACCATTTATTGCAAAATTCACGCCATGATTTGTTTTCCAAAAGCGTATGTAGCTTTGAACGGATCGTTTAGTAAGCCAAACGGGCCATGTAAAAAAGTTGATAAATGCAAAACAATAGAATAATTGAACAAGATGCAACTGCATTTGATGATTGTCCTTGTCGCCGAAAGTAATTCCTTTGTTGACTACAAGGAAAACAGCAAAAATACCAAAGCAGGTAATATATCCTGACATATTGGTCCAGTTCTGGAAACATTTTTTAACAAATTGAGATATCCTGTTGGGGACGCCACTGTCTCTAAGGATTTGACGATCGATGTAGACAGCAGCGATAAATGCAAGCCAAATTATATTTGTTTGTCTCATCCATAGACTTAGGAATCCAAAACCTGCACTCCAGTACGGTCTTTGGCTTGATCTTGTATTTATCAACGTGAGTGAAATCAACACAAAGATAGCAGACCAAGTATCGGTGTAAAACAAAAAATAGTATGTAAATATCAATGGCTGAGCAATGACGTTTACAGTCCAAAACTGATTGTAATTTGACCGTTTGAAATTTTTTAGCACAATTGGTAAGATAATCAATCCGCCAAATAAATTCAATGAACGCAATACATTATAGCTTTGGCAAAGGTTCTTTTGGGCAGTAATGAAATCTAAAAGCTTTGAGTACAAAAACCCCAAAATATATAGTCCTGGCGGCGTGGTTATCTTATTGTCCCAGTGCTTGAAGTTCAAAGAACAATACACTTGACACTGTCGAAGATGAAAGATTTCATCAATAAATGGGTCTTTGACGTGTTTGACAATGTTGTAGAACACGACACCTGAAAAAGTGTAAAAAAGTATTCCACTTGTGTATTTTACTATGCCCTTCATATACGCTTCACGGGTCAATACCAACAAAACCATACAAACCTTTTTACCTCCTCTAATGACATTGATTATGATAGTAATGATAATGATGATAATTGTTCACTAAATTCTAATAAACACTTGGTAGCAGTTTTTGCAAATCGATGGTATGCGCGCATTCTTTTGTTTGGTTGCAAAAAGAAACAGAAAACGGAAAACGGCGAGGGGGAGAGGGGCACACACAGCGAGAAAGGGACGTCAAGTGGGGCCAGCCAAGGAAGCGGTATTTCAGAACACGGGGAAAGATAAAGATCCATCACACAAATAACACAGCATAATTAAAAAAAAAATTAAAGAGGAAGAAGAAGAAGGAGAAGAAGAAGAAGAAGAAAAAGAAGAAGAAGAAGAAGAAGAAGAAGGTTCAGCAAGTTGAAAAAGGGAAGTTAGTTAGGCTTTTTCTGCTAAACTAATTTATTGCTAGTTATTCAATAAAAAAAACTTTATTTGAAAGTTGTTGTGAGAGTCTTTTAGGGGGGTTTCCAGTAGACATATATTCCAGTGCCTGTGAATTAAAGAAGATTAGGTGGAAAAAAATGGCAGTTACTGGTGCTGCGTTCATGGGGGATAGGTTTATCCCAATTTCATCTTCATTACTGGCTTATAAAGTGAGCTCGAATGCATCAAACACAGTGATGAATACTACTAACTTAGACCTTCTAGAAGTGAGCCAAGTTGACTTGTCACTTCGAGACGATTCCTTCTACGGGAGGTCAATTTTGCAACCGGATCCCAACTCTTCCCTAGCATCGCAGAATTCGGCGTGTTCGTCTGTGAAAAATGCAAACTCGTCGTCATTTTGGAGTCCTATGGATCTACATCAAGAAGTAGTTGCTGAAGCATTGGATTTCAAGTATTCCTCAAGCGTGTTGAAATTTAACACCCACTATACCTATAAGAAGCAACTCGGTAACAGACCCACCAAACCTCGCCAAGACTCAGACCAAATTTCTAAATTGATAAACAAATTGAATGGAGGTAAAAAAAAGGAGCCGTGGGTGCGTTCTATTTTAGCAAACGATATCTTGCAAGCTCCAGGATTAAGAAATGATTATTATTCAAATTTAGTAAGTTGGTCAAGCAGAACAAATAGAGTCATTGTTGGGCTTAGCACAAAAATATACGTTTGGGGAGGCGACGATTACGTCAAGTTAGTCAGTTGCGATAATGATGAGCTCATAACGGCAATCAGCTGTGGTCCAGTTGGATTCTTGGTCTTGGTTGGCACGGCAAATGGCAAGATATTTGTAGTTGATCAAAAAAACGATAGAAATAAGGTTGTTGGGGAATACCAATTAGGCGATGGTAAATGCTTGTTTTGTTTTGCATGGTTTGATAACGAACGACATTTTTTAGGTGGCGACGACAGCGGCGAAGTATTCATTTTCAAAATCACAGTACTAACATACGGCGGCGTCAAAATAGAAGTGGTAAACAGTTTCAAATGTCACCAACAACAAATATGTGGTAAGTACAAGATAAACTGCTTCTCCTTTGATGAAAAGAACTTTTGCTAACCTTTTTCTTTTTCTTTTTCTTTCTATTATATGTATCTACAATAGGCCTCGCATTGAATATGCAGAATAATGAAGTTGCAGTGGGTGCAAATGATAATTGTTGCACGATTTGGAACTTGCAGGATTTGAAAGCGCCTGTACTTAAGTTTGTTTTGCCTCACAATGCCGCCATAAAAGCACTTTCTTATTGTCCATGGACAAACTCGTTGCTAGCTACTGGTGGTGGTTCCAAGGACCGTAAGATAAGATTTTGGCACACTACAAGCGGTACCTTACTAAATGAATTTTACACCGATGGTCAAATCACATCATTAATTTGGTCTAAATACAAAAAGGAAATAGTGGCCACCTTTGGTTTCGGCGGTTCAACAAAATCCAATTTGATGCGCGTTTATTCCTATCCCGATATGACTCCTACAGTTGAGGTAAACTCTGCTTGTAATTTAAGGATTCTTAGCGCTGCTACGAGTCCGGATTTTTGTTCAATTTGCGTTGCTTCGAATGATTCAACTATTAGAATTTACGAACTATGGCACATTTCTTCGGAGATTGCTTCAAATCCAAGTTGCAGACTTGCAGGTGCATTTGGAAGCGATATAATTGAGTTAGTTGAAGGAATACAGAAATCGTGCCCTATAATAAGATGAAAAACAACATGTTTCTTTTGATGAAATGACTGCGAAAATTTAAGAAAAAAGATCAAAGAGATAAAAAGAGGGTTGCACAGTTTTTTTTTTTTTTTTTTTTTTTTTTTTTTTGAGTTTGGCATACTCCTTATCCGGTTAATATTCGGAATAGTTGTCAAATTATTCGTAAAGGCAAGTTGTGAATACTAGTGTGCAAATTAAGCAGTGCTCTACAGTTATAGGCACTATCGAGCGAAGCGAGATAGTGTCTGTGGCAGGTAGTGTGCCCGATAGTGTCTGTGGCAGGTAGTGTGCTCGATAGTGTCTGTAGCAGGTAGTGTGCTCGATAGTGTCTGTAGCAGGTAGTGTGCTCGATAGTGTCTGTGGCAGGTAGTGTGCTCCACTATCTCGCTCTGCTCGATAGTGTCGCTCGATAGTGTCGATTGTTCATCGCATAACCCGTATTATTTTTCTTATTCTTTTTTGTAGATCATATAGGCTGTGGTAGCGTGAAGGAAAAAAGAAAAAGAAGGTGATATCCTTCCTTCCCCCTTTAAGTAATTCTTTCCTTTCACAGATTTTTCAGTAACCGATTATTGTCATTAGATCAGGCTAGATAAAAAGAGACGCTGATACGGAAGAATTTTATAAGGAACTGAATAGTATATCTGAAAATGTCGGCGGCTTTAGTTAATCGCTCCTTGACCACGGTGAGAACAGAGTTGGAATTTTTAAAGGACTCTGATGTTATAACCGAAGAACTATATGATGCACTTGTCCAGGCCATACCTTTGAAATACCAAAAAGACAAAGAGCCATGGGGTATAGATGTATTGAACCCCTCCAAGAAAGGTCCCGTCAACTATGCAAGCAATGATGTGAAAGTTTCACAACCAAACCGAAACCCTTCTTCTTATGAGGAAAAAACGAATAAATTAACTGAAGCTTTTGCCAACACATCACTAAAACCTCCAGCGTACCCGCCCACACCTGTTCGCAAAGAAGAACCACTAGTTGGTTACTGTGTTGCAATGTATGACTATAAAGCCCAGGAAGCAGACGATTTGACTCTTTATAAGGGAGATAAACTAGGAGTTGTGGAACATTTATCAGAAGATTGGTGGAAAGGCTTCAAGTCAGGAGAGAGCCGTGATAAGATGGGAGTATTCCCATCAAATTATGTGGAAATTATATCCGAACAGGAGTTTAGTGAAACAACGCGTGTGCCGGCAGCTCCATCTTTATCGTCACAAAATTCGTATGCCTCATATGGACCACAAGCTCAATACGGTCAAGCCCCTATTCAACAACAGCCCTCTTACGGTGGTGGCTATGCACAATTCCCTCCTCCAAGCTCCACTTACCAGCCCCCTCAACAGTACCAAGTAGTAGAACCACAACCACAAGCTGTTGTACAGCAGCAGCAGCCACACTCGTCAGGGCATGAAAAGGTGAAAAAGTTTGGTAGTCGTTTTGGTGAGGCGGCATTATTTGGTGCTGGTGCCTCGGTGGGTGCAAATATTGTAAACTCTATTTTCTAGTTTAATTTTTAACGTATTGGATTTTTTGATAAATGTTTATTGGATTTGAATTATAATGTTTATTTGTACTCTTCAACTTGCCCTGTCATGCCCCAAAAGTGTTTTCAAAAACTATATTTTATTCTCTTCAACTATATATATACATCTAAGAAAGAAAAGAAGAAGAAGAAGAAGAAGAAGAAAAACATAATCTGATAAACTTAACCCTATTTACGGCTATTACGGCTGTCAATCACGGTGTTCAATAACAAGGTATCATTGTCCAATAAAATTCTATTTGGAGATGATGATAAAATGTTTGCAATCTCTCTTGCGGTATCTAATCTTTTCAATTCTACGTAATCTCTTGATTTCTTAATGGCTTCACCAATCAATTCCGCAGATTTGGCTTCACCCTGAGCCTTTACCACCAATTGTTGTTTCTCCTGTATTGCTTTATCTACAATGAATGCAGCTCTTTGTGCGTCTTGCTGAGCAATCTGCTTGGCTTCAACTGCAGCGCTAAACTCGGGTGAAAATGTCATATAGGTCAAGGAGACATCATCCAAAGCAATGTCAAATTTAGCAGCACGACGTACCAAGTTCTCACGCACCAATCTCGAAACTTTTTCTCTCTGGGTTATTAATTGTGCCGCATTGAATTGTGCCACAACCGATTTCAACACCTCATTCACAATAGATGGTAAAACTCTTTCTTCATAATTTTGTCCCAAAGTTACAAAGATTCTGGGCAATTTGAAAATATCTGGCTTGTACAACACTCTGCACGTAATATTGACCATTTGCAAATCCTTGGTTCCTGTCAACGATGCAATTTCTTTTGGCTTTGCACGAACATCATATATGATAGGTCTTTGTAACCATGGAATCACAAAATGGGTACCCTCGGGGTAAATCTTCTCCTGAATTCCTCCAATTCTCGAGTACAAAATTCCTCTCTGTCCACCTTCCACATTAAACAATGCATTCTGGGCAAAAAGAACAACACCACCAAGAGCTAATAGCCCTCCAATACCACCAAAGAGTGCAAGCGGACTTTTGGGACTTCTGTTTCCACCTGCTTGTTGAGCCCTACGTCTCAACTCATTGGATAAACTCTTCCAGTTAGGATTGTTCATTTGGATATAAAGCTGATACTATAAATGTAATGAAGATATCCCTTGGCTTGGAAAGACAAATATAATGGGAAAGAGAGTGAAAAAAAAAAACCCATAGAACCTCATTCCAGCCTTTAATGAAAGATTGCGGTAGCTGTCGCGATTTTAGGTTTATTCGTCTTTTTTTTTTTTTTTTGCTCCAGCTGAGATTCGAAGTGGAATTGCATTCTCTATGAAATAATTGCCAAAGAGAAAGAAGAAACCTTACCAAATCTATGTAATTGTCTATAATTTATGAAAGAGAATATATATATATATATAAGGAGAACCTGTTTTCTATGACGGCACTCCTTCATATTCATGTTTCAGATAATGTTCTGCTATTACTTTCTTCCAATACTTTTTTCGATTAGTTTGAAGGGTGTTCTTGCGGAGAATCTTCTCTAAAAATATCAAGATTAATATCACTAAGCTGACTATCGAACTCGGTGCAATCATTCTTGCAAACTTTGTAGTGGTGACTGTTCTTTGGTAAGGACACTGAGCATAGGGTCCACCAGAAACAAAACATGATGAAACTGTAATGTCATTCAAGTCAATCCACACTGGTATAGTCGCATCGTGATCCAAAATCGCACTGTACAAAGCTGCCATTTCAAAGCTCAGCCTCGGGACGCCGAGGGAATAGCCCGGGGGACAATCATCTTTGTCTATTTCAAAATAGTTCTTTCTATTGTGAGGCGGAATATACCAATCGTTGGGTCCTGTTTGATTTTGGCATGCTATCTGATACTCAGTGTAGCAATCTGCAACATCCCAACCTTCTACGTTCAAAACGACACACTTATACGCCACATTGCTTCCATCACTTGACAGTCTGCTTAAGTCAGTAGATTCCAGCAGGATTCTTGGCTCGCCTGATTTCCATGACCAAAAGAAGTACGAAGCGAAATCTCGATATACATGTTCAACATCCAACAACGTCTCCTCTGTTGTGTGGTATGATTTGGCATTCAAAATTGGCGACAACCCACACCTCACATAACGGCTCAAATCTTCCAAAGCAAACGGTTTTGCATCACTGTCAATCACATAACGAAAGTGTGTAGATAATGAGATGTTGTTGTAAAAGGAAATCGTGTCGTTGAATGGGATTACACTCCTGCTATTGTGGTCCGGTAAAACTTTAGCACAGAATGCGTCCGCTTCTGCAGAACTGAAAACTGTAGAAGGCAAGGTGCCTTTTAGAAAAATTGTTTTTTCATCTTGACTATTTGTCTTGTATACTCTGCGCGAATCGACCAATTCGTTTGATAAAACATTCACCAAAAGTCGTTTGTATTCTCCAAATAGCACAGTGTTCAATGATGGCATTGTAAAGTTCGATTGAGCATAAAATACTTGGGATTCTGAATTGTCTACCTCTGCCAGCTTGCGCTCTCTATAAGATGCGAGGACTTCCGGGGTGAAAATGTAGGAAGAAATTGGCGCTAATATATCACCAAGTGTAGAATTACCCATTAGATTGATTTCGGAATTAGGGAAATAGATGTTCTCTAGGGCCATAGTTCTGTTTGATTTTTCATAGTGAATCGACTTTAAGTTCAATATCAAGTGGAAAAAGTTGGCATCAAATTTTGTGTTTGTTGATGAGATAAAGTTGTATAGACTGGACATGATATTGTTCGTCGTGAGACCTACTTGGCATGTGTATGTCTTATTCTCCCAAGTCAAGTTCATCACATTGTTCATATCATATGTCATATTTTTGGGGAACGGCGCTGGACAGAGCTGCCATATTGAAGTAAACTCATTCCAGTATAGATCGATTGAGATAGTCCTTGCACCCAACTGAAGCAACTCTGTTAAATTAGAAACGCTTTCCATCGTATAGCCTTTATTTTCAAATAATGAATTTAATGAAAACCCGGGAGATGATTGCTGATCTATGGGTATTGGACGCGAGACATCTCTTTGTGCTCTATATGCAATATCCAACGATCGATTTGTTGTACTTGTTTCCTGTGGTGATAAATCACAAAAAGCCAAATTCAAGGCAAAGCTCAATATAAGTAAAAACTTAATGTACACTTGCATCTAGCATCTCTCTTTATCTCTTTGTCTCTCTTTGTCTCTTCTTGTCTGAGAAAATAAGTCTGGTGTAGACAAAATTATCAAAACCACTGATATAAAGGAATATAATATGGGTAGAAAAAGTAGTTTTGTTAAAGTTTACAAAAAGAAAAAAAGAAAAGCTAAGTTAAAAATTGACGTGAATAATTACAATAGGAAACATGGTATAAAGAGAGAAGAAAGATAGGGCTTGGGAGAAAGGGGGGGTATTTGAGGTGAATAGGGAGAAGAGGATAAGTAGAGAAAGTATGGATTTCTAGTTGTAAATATCTTCTTCTACTCTTTAAAAAAGACCGATGCGTAGTACACACCGATTTGAAATCTTAGGCCTGAAAATGAGAGTCAAACTTAGTGACTAAATTTTTCGGTCGATACGAATTTAGGATGCTGGTTGCCTCTAGTGCGATACTATCGAACAATACTATCGAGCAATACTATCGAGCAATACTATAGAGCAATACTATCGAGCAGAGCGAGATAGTATTGCTAGTGTCGATGTAGTTAGTACTGCTCCACTATCTCGCTTCGCTCGATAGTGTTGATGTAGTTAGTACTGCTCCACTATCTCGCTTCGCTCGATAGTGTCGATGTAGTTAGTACTGCTCCACTATCTCGCTTCGCCAGATAGTGTCAATGTAGTTAGTACTGCTCCACTATCTCGCTTCGCTCGATAGTGTTGGTGGCAGCTCCATAGTGAGCACGTTTGGTAGCGATATATGTTGCAAATTTTTTTTTTTTTTTCGCAACTTTTCGTGTTTTTTTTATTGTTGGCCTAGGCGACCCGTGCTTTTCGGTTAATTTGTTCAATAAACCTCCTTACAGGATTAAACTTTTGAAAGAAAAATCGTTCGCTAAAATATATCATCGGAGCTCTTGACCTTCTGCGGAATAACTTAGAACGACCGACTGGCAATCTGACCCATTTGTCTGTGGTTCTCTACGTCACTTTATCTCTTTTTTTTGGTAAAGAGAATGCCAATTTGGAATTTTTGAACGTGGTTCAGAAATCAAATATATGGCTACTCCTCGTACTTAGATGCAAGAGAAGACCGTAAAGAGAAGAATAGGATGGTTTTTTACCAATAGTAAACCTATTCTTTACCAAATGTCCCGATGGTGTTTTCAGAATTTCCTCTTCTTTTTTTTTTTTTTTTTTTTTTTCTTGTTTAACTTTTGAAATTATTGCAAAAAACTTGAAATTATAGATTCAAATCCGCCCATTCTCCTCTCTTACCCAATGAATGATTATCACCAAACACGCGCGTTTACTTTCCTCTGCTATTAGAAAACAATTGATGTCAATTTCTGCTTTGAATACAGAGTTAATATTGCGAGGTCTCAATGAGAACCAATGCAAAGCAGTCACATTTCCTGGTAATGGCCGATTGCAAATTATTGCAGGTCCAGGTACTGGCAAAACAAAAGTACTTGTATCGCGAGTAGCTTACTTGCTAGTACACGAAAAGATAAAGCCAGAGAATATCATAGTCACCACGTTCACTAAAAAGGCGGCTCAGGAGATGTATAAAAGGTTGGAACAATTACTAGGTACTTCTGAGATCGCGGTAAATCGATTATTAATTGGAACATTTCATAGCATATGTTATAGAATTATAAAAAAATACGGCAGTAAAGTTGGACTAGAAGGATACACCATTGCAGATGAAAGGTATAAGGATCAATTGATAAAAGAGATGGTTGATAAGGATTTATCTAAAGAAGTTATCGACAAGCTTTGGAAATCATCATCTAAAGAACAAGACACGTCCCTTTTCAAAGAGAATAGCCCTGGTTGTGACAAAAACCACGGAATCAACGTTAAGAACTTTAAACGGCAAATAGGCAAACTTAAGGCACAGGGCATACTTCCCGAGGATTATTTGCGACAACCTAATCATAATGCGTGTTTGGGCTATTTGTACCGTGCATATCAGAAAAAGCTTGCAGATGAACAGAAACTCGATTTTGATGATTGCTTGTTGTTGTGCTACGATTTAATCACAAAAGTACCCATTCTACACCACATGAGACACGTCCTAGTGGATGAGTTTCAAGATACCAATGAGATTCAATTGCAATTGATGTACATGTTTGCAAAGGGCCACATCTCCTATCCTGAGTACCAACATAATGTCACTATTGTTGGAGATCCCGACCAAAGCATATACGCCTTTAGAGAAGCACAATCCAAAAACTTTCAGAAAATGCATGATTACTATACAAAGATTGGGGTTGGGTGTACAATAGTTCCTCTCACAGAGAACTACCGGTCAACAACGGACATTTTGGAATTTTCAGAGAGGCTCATGAAGCAACAGAGTGACCGGCTTGCAAAAAACTTAACGTCTCAATACAAGGAATCTTTTGCACCAATTTATAAGAATTTAGAATCAGCGGGACAGGAGGCCAAATGGATTGCTTATCAAATTGAGTTTCTATTAAATTTGCCTAATTCGCCGGTAGAGCTTGAGGATATAGCTATCCTAGTAAGAGCCGGCTTTCAGACCAGAGTAATTGAAACGGAATTGGTTAGGAGGAAAATTGCATACCATATGGTTCGCGGTAGAGCGTTTTGGGAACGTAAAGAAGTCGTGGCCATAATGGATTACTTGAAAGTTTGTGGTGATAAAAATGATAGGATTTCAATACTTCGAACCTTGAATTATCCTAAACGTGGATTGGGACCAAAAACGGTGCAAGCAATTGAAGAGCAGATTCTTCGAGGGAAAAGTGATGGCCTTAGCGCGCATGGCGTTCTTCGGTCGTTGGCAACGGGTTCGTGTAACCACCTAAAATTGGCCTCCAAAGCGCAAGCAAGTGTTTCTGCGTATGTAAGTATTATCGATAATGCCGAAAAGTTTTTATCACAGATAGCAGATAGCGATACCAATACAAAGAATAGTCCTATCGTGCGAACCTTGTTTGACCAAGTATATTCTGACTCTGGCCTCAAGAAAGAGTTTGAAAATGAGGAGGAGATGAGGCTCAACGTTGAAGAAGTTGGAGGTCAATTTTGCCAATTCCAACCACTGGAAGATTTGTTTATGGCGGATGAGGAAGCAAATGAAGAAGAAAAAGAAGAAGAAGAAAAAGAAGAAGAAGAAGAAAAAGAAGAAGAAGAAGATAAAGTAGCAGAGGAAGGAGAAGAAGAAGAAGTGGCAGAAAGAGACAACTTTATAATCAAATTTGTTGAGTCGGTTGGTTTATACGACGCAGATGATAAAAGCGAAGACGATAACGAGAAAAAAAAACTGGCAGTAGCTATAAGTACCATTCATGGCTCTAAGGGATTGGAATGGCCCGTTGTTTTCATTCCAGGGTTGTCAGAAGGCTTGCTTCCTGCTGGGTTTGCATTAGGCAATAAGGAGGATACCAATGCAATAGATGAAGAGCGAAGGTGTTTTTATGTTGCTAGTACTCGGGCAAAGACATTGTTACTTATATCATCCTTTGTGGAGCTGAAATCCACCGATTTTTGGAAGAGAGATATAGATAGCGTTTCCAGATTCTTGCAAGTTTTCAATGACAATGAGGGGTCATTATCAAGCTGTTCCAAATTTGATTTCAGACAGGTTGAGAAATTGGAAAGTTTGTACAAACAATTAGACAAGAACCCTGGTGATTTGAGTACTTTTAATATAGATGAGTACTTTGATGCCTATGAGAAAAACTGGCCATCCTATGAACGCGGCGGACCATATACAACAACTACAACATCAAAGAGCCAAAGCGGGACATTTTCACGGGCTCTGGATATCAACAATACTTTAAGTGTTCAAAATAACAAACTAAATAGAATACATTTCCGTGCACCACTAGGGGATTCGCCAAAGGCGAATATTGGGAAATTTCACAAGGTGGGAAAAGAAGAAGTTAAAAAGTTTGCTGCAGTACCAAATCTCAACCACCGAAACTCTAATAAAGCACCAGCATATTTTCCAGAAAGGAAGCACGCTCTGAAAAGGTTTAAGCCTCTACACAAGAGTCTACATAAGCATCCATACAATAAAAACCTACAAGAGCCATAATAAAAACCTACAAGAGCCATAATAAAAATTAACAAAAGCCATAATAAAAATTGACAAAAGCCATAATAAAAATCCACAAGAGTCATAATTACCTTACCTTACCTTACACCTTAATAAAAGATTATATCGTGGGCTTTCTTACCCCATATTTCTTTAAAAGGGGGGAAAAAAAACAAAGAAAAAAAAAAGAAACTGTTATATATATATATATATATATATTTTGTTTAATATTTACTTATAGATCACGATTGTATATTATTATTTGACAATCGAAAAACTCCAAGGAACAGTCAAGTGGACCGTTTTATCGTCATCGATGAATTTTGAGAGAGCAGAATAAGTGCCTCGAGCAAGAATTCCAGAAGGAGCTTCTACTTCGGTAAATCTCCTTTCATAAAATGGGGTTTCTATTGTATTTGGAGCATAACTGCCCAATGGTTCTTCGACTTTGTCGACTCTCAAACCGCCTCTTTTAACCGAGTGCAAATACTTCAAACCAGTGATTATCTCATGTTGAACTCTGAATTTGACCACGAGCTGGTAAATGCTTTTCTCCTTTATACTAAACTTGACTTCCTTATCGACAATCGTATTACCGTGCGCGTCTTCTAATTTTATTCTTATAGGTTCCAATTCTGGCTGTTCTGGGAATTCCAATGCAAGTTCGGTAACAACTACTTTACGTTTGTCCCCTGGCTTCACCGGGTATGGGGTCGAATCCGTGGCTAAACCCAACGATGCTTTCCATTTCGCTAAACTTTCATCCTCAGCGTCTAATTTGTTGTATTCTTCAATTGTCTTCTTCTCTCCCACATTGTATCCTTCTACTTCTTCTGGCACTAAGTCATCATCAACTTGGTTTGACATTTTTATCTTGATTTGAAAAAAAATTCGAGGTACGTAACAAAAGCAAGGGGGGGAAAGGGTGAAGATCTGTGTGGGTTAATATGTTACATGGCAAAATGGAAGAAAAAAAAAAAAAAAAAAAAGGAAAAATTAATGAATATAATAGAAAAATTGCAATTTGTTCCCTGTGATATACTCGGTTCGTTTAACCAACTAGTTGTAAGAGACTTGTTCTAATGAGCGAGAGAACGTTTTAGCGAAAGAGGGAAAAAAAATAGGGTCATGGTTGACGAAAGAGAAACTAAGAAATTAGACAAGGATTAAGCCACAAATCTCTATTATGCATCTTCATTTTTCCAATTTATAACAAATGTTAATTTGAACCCCTCTCCTTCTTGTGAAACTTTTATAAAACTTTTTAGTCTTAGGACTACAGATTTGTTTGACTCTTTGACATTTCCATTCAGAGGCGATGCACCTCTCAGGTTGAAACTCTTTAGCCTTAGGGCTACAGTTTGTTTGACTCTTTGACATTTCCATTCAGAGGCGATGCACCTCTCAGGTTGAAACTCTTTAGCCTTAGGGCTACAGTTTGTTTGACTCTTTGACATTTCCATTCAGAGGCGATGCACCTCTCAAGTTATTAGTATTATTGTTGTTACTGTTACTGTTACTGTTGTTACTGTTGTTGTTACTGTTGTTGTAGTTGTTGTTACTGTTGTTGTAGTTGTTGTTACTGTTGTTGTAGTTGTTGTTACTGTTGTTGTAGTTGTTGTTACTGTTGTTGTAGTTGTTGTAGTTGCTGCTGTTGTTGTTGTAGTTGTTGTTGTTGTTGTTGTTGTTGTTATACTGCCTCTTGTTCCTCTGCAGCTTTACTGGTTTATACCTCTCATTATACCCATTGTCTCTAGGAAGAATAATATATGGATTATTCAAAATTCTTCTCTCGGTCTCCTTATCGTATATGGGAATTCCGGGATACGTGGAGTACCCATAAGTTTGAGGAATGAGAGGTTGGCTTGGGTAGTAAGGATTGTACAACACAGGAACCGGGCCAGTTTGTGGAATCGTTGGGGATAAACCACCTGGAGGGTACATTTGCTGATAAGAAAATTGCATTGGCACTTGCTGGGGAAGACCATATTGCTGAAATTGTTGCATATTCTGTTGTTGATGATGATGATGATGTGGTAGTTGTGGTTGTGGTTGTAATTGTTGTTGTTGCTGCTGCTGCTGTTGATGATAATAGTAATGATTACGGGGCTTATACTTCATTCTGTAATCTCTATCGTAACCTTTAAGTTTCAGTGACCAATTATGCCTGTACATATCTGCACTTTCTATTGTTCCATTCTCCAATTTTTCTTTTTCTTTTTCTTCTTTTTCTTCTTCTTCCTCCCCTTCCTTTCCCTCCTCTGCTTCTTCTTCTGCCTCTTCTTCTTCTTCTTCTTCTTCTTCCTCTTTTTCACCTTCTTCTACTTGATCTTCATCCTCCTTAAGAAATATCTCTTCTCTCAATTTCTTATACAAAGCTTCTTTAGAGGCTCGTTGGCTCTCAATTGATGACGAAACAGTTGTGCTTGTCGATTCGGATGCCTCTGCCTCCGATGCTGGCAGCTCGGTTGTTATCTCCTCAAGTTTTAGCTTTGAAAAATTCTCTTTGCCTAGTTGCTCGTCGATGTCGCTTTCAGGCGTTGACAGTTTATTAATGATTTTCTTTACAATGAGTTTTGGCTTTATTATTTGTCGAGTATTTTCCGTGTGAACATACTCTGAACAGTTGTTATCTCGAGAATGGAGTTGCTGATGTTGCTGCTGTAGCCGTTGTTGAAGGGGAGCAGAATGTGGTTGTGCTTGTGGTGGTGGTGGTGGGGAATGCTCAGCTTGATATTGAGGGGCTATATCAATAATTTTGACAAAGCCACTAGACTCATCGTCAATTTCTCTTCTCAAAGATTCGTAATCAAAGTTATCGTTTGGGGTTACAACTATTTCGTTTGACTGGTTGTTCCAATGCTGTAGACTATAATATTGACATAATTGATGACTTAAAAGCCTATAATATGAGTTTTTCAAGTATTGAGCCTGAATGACATACTCTGGTTGTTTGATATTGCCCAATATCGAGTTTTTGATAAACTTGATCAAGTCTTTTTCAAGGTACAAGATGAATGGTCGATCTTGATATTTTTTCAAAGCCGTGATTATCGATTGAGGAATTTCCGTCATTATGCTTTAGATGGTATAGATGGGCGACAGTCAATGGAATAGATGGGCGACAGTCTCAATGGTATAGATGGGCGACAGTCTCAATTCACTTCCCTCAATAATTAAGGGGTCCTCTTTTGTATCTCTTCTTGCTTTTTCAGGATTATGTTTTAATCCTGATATTAAAATTTTTTGGTATATAAATAAAATATGAAACTCGAAAAACAAATCAATATCAATAAACCAAAAACCACCAATAAGCACGGGACTAGGAAACACACCAACTGGAAACTAAAACCGAAAACTCTTTAGAATATGAAATTCCCACCGTGACTCTTTCCTTTTATGTGTTCCTTTCCTCTTATAACAAGTATATAATCCTAATCGCCAGTAGTGGATTTTTTTTTTTTAATGTGAAATAAAAAATTAAAGGTGAAGGAAATTTTGTTAACACGAAATTTGTATACTATGGAAAGTTAATCGGTTTCGATTTACCTTGTTTCTTTGATTTACCTTTTCTTAGTGTTTGTTTTCTCACAGTAAAAGTTTTTTCTCACAGTTGTAGTCAAAAACTGATGGGCTTGGCTTATCGCTTGCTTTCTTTTCTCACAAATGTAGTCTTTTCTAACAAATGTAGTCTTTTCCAACAGTTGTAGTCTTTTCCAACAGGTGTAGTTTTTTCTATGACACTTGTACTATTTCTATGACACTTAATCTGACATTTACTCACACACTCTCGCACTCTTTTCTCGCACTAACACTTCTCGCACTCACACTTTTCTCACACTTTTCTTACTCTCGTTTTGTCGTTTTGCCGTTTTGTCGTCTTGTCGCTTTGTCGTCTTGTCGTCTTGTCGCTTTACCGTTTTGCCGTTTTGTCGCTTTCGTTTTCTTTTTCTCTTGACCTTTTTCTTTTCCTATTTTATTCCCTCTAGTAGTCTCGAGGAAATGGGATGTGTATCAATATCTCGCTTTGCTCGATAGTGTCGCCTTTTTCTTTTCCTCTCAACCTTTTTAGTCTCGAGGAAATGGGATATATATCAATGATAGCTCCACTATCGAGCAAAGCGAGACTAGAAACTGTCGAGAAAGAGAGTAGAGGAGAGACTAGAAACTGTCGAGAAAGAGAGTAGAGGAGAGACTAGAAACTGTCGAGAAAGAGAGTAGAGGAGAGACTAGAAACTGTCGAGAAAGAGAGTAGAGTAGAGACTAGAAACTGTCGAGAACGAGAGTAGAGTAGAGACTAGAAACTGTCGAGCAGAGCGAAATCGAAAGAGAGTAGAGTAGAGACTAGAAACTGTCGAGCAGAGCGAAATCGAAAGAGAGTAGAGTAGAGACTAGAAACTGTCGAGCTGTCGAGTAGAGACTATCTTGCACTGGTCGATAGTCTGTGTCTTTTTCTCGCACACACACATTTTTTTTCTTTGCTTTTGCTTTCTCGTATTGAGAGAAAAGATAATAAGTAAACTTGATTCAACTATAACAACAAAGAGTATTCTTGCCACTGTACTATACCAGTGCATTACAAGTAGTTCTAAAGGGTGTAAAATAACTGGCAATTAGGACATAAACACAATATATAGGCTCAAGTCTTGTATAACACCATGTCCAGTGCAGATGAAGTATGTATAGTCATCTCTTCACTCAAATAAAGCTTGTCCTTTTATGCTTTTAAGCACCTTTTTTCCTTTGATGAATACTAATGGAATTTATTAGATTAGGTCCAAAAGGCTAGCAAAGTTAGCCGCGTTAAGTTCTAGTAATGCAACTGAGAAACTGTCGTCAACAGAGAAAGAAACAAATAAAGGGGAAGCTACAAATAAAGGGGCAGCTGCACATACAGAGGCAGCTCCATCCCCCACTCCTAGGCCCAAACCAAATGAAGAACATTTCGATTGGGCGGCAAATAAAGTATCAAGTATCTTCAATCTCCCACCATCAAGTGATATTGTCACTACTGCTCACCAAGTTGCTGAAAATGAAATAGGCAAACTTGATGAAAACTACCTTGACGAGGTGTTCATGGAGCTCTTGAACTCAGACTACACTCAGCCAGACCCACTAAGCTATATATATCCCATCTATCAACGTGCATATTATGAAAAACGTGAATTGCCGGTAAAGTCACATTTTTACAATGAAAAGATTGCATTCCTATCAACAATACTAAAGCATGCTGTAAGATACGCAAATATGGCCTTACAGTTCCCCGATATGTTTGCAAAGTCCAATTTGAAGGAATCAGTCAATTTCCTCATTGAAAAATTCTCTGAAATATCGCCGTTTTTAATGCAAATTATTCAGGAGGCAATAGAAGACGATGGCGTGTTAACCTTGTTGAACTTGATTTTTCCAACACTTAGCGTTAAGTTGATACGAAAAGAGTCTATCACTAGTGGGAAACACCTTGGCTATATGAGGATGTTTGAAGCTTTGGTCCTGTTGAAACCAGTTGCGGCTATTTTTTCACAAGTTGATGGATTTTTCCCAAGCCTGAAGCAAACGGGACTAGAGTTTGAGTGGCACTCATTATTGGGGCCGGTATTAAGACTTTCTCCTTTAGATGCCTCTTCCGAACAGTACTTTGGTACAAATCCAAAGGAAATGTCACAACCGCAACTTAATAGTGCATTCGAGTTAGCACAAAGCGAGTACAGGATAATAATTGACCATTTGTTCACCATTGTTGATAAATTAATTCGTGGCTCAACAAAAACCAGAGAGGATGTCTTAAAGTGGCTCGCTGACCTAGTAAACCTAAGCCATTTGAGGAGAGGAAGTCATGCTGATTTTACAAAGCTTCCAAGTGATGGTCTAATGTTGAATATTACCGTGATATTAATAAAATTAAGCCAGCCGTTTTTGGATTATCCAGTTTATGCCAAAATCAACAAAATTGACGTTGATTATTTTGCAAAAAGTAAATTATTGGATATCCTGGAAGAAGCAAGAGTCAATTCGCTGATAGATGAAGCCAATACCTATAGTAAACAGAAACAGGAAGAAAACGGTTCCGGTACCATTTCTAAGCCAAATTTCATTTCCGACTGTTTCAACTTAACTTTAGCTTATGTACATTATGGTATGGGTGGGATATATATAAAATTTGATAGGCTCAAACAAAACATTAAACAAAGTGAGCAAAGGATAGCAATGATAGAGTCCGGAGAGCTACCGGGAACGACCCCATTACAAGCAAATGCATTGAGAGCAGGGTTGCCGAGAATGAAAAAGGCAGTAGGAGAATTTATTTCTGAAAAATACGCCATTCAAGCAATTTTCAGTCTCCGGGGATTACAGTTGGAAATTTTTGATTTCGTTATTGGCGCAACTGTTTTTATAACCAGAATGATTGATCCAAACCACGCATATCCTCAAAAGAAGTTGTCCATTCCAATTTTTAGAATCACAGATGTTTCACAATTGGACGATCATGATTTCCTAAAGACAAAGACACCAGAACCGTGGAAATATTACCCCGAGTTTCTACTTGAAGGGCTTATCAACTATTGTAAGTTTTCCGTTAATTTCAGAGGATGTCCATTAGTTGGAAATGAGGAGAAGTTGATTCATTTTGTTGAATTCACCACTATATTGCTCAGGTGTCCAGAGCTAATAGGAAATCCCCACATGAAAGCAAATTTGGTTGAAATTTTGTTTATTGGATCATTACCAGGACCAAATGGTCAAGAAGGTTTCAGTGCATCCATATTCCGTAGTGATGAGCTAATTTTGAGCAATTTGTTGTATTCATTACTCGATTTCTACGTTATGGTTGAGAAAACAGGTGCATCATCTCAATTTTATGATAAGTTTAATAGCAGGTATTATATCTCAGTAATTCTTGAGGAATTATGGAAAACGCCACACTATAGATTTCAACTAAAAGATTACTCAGAGAATAATGTTGAGTTTTTCATTCGATTTATTGCGAGAATGCTCAACGATACAACTTACTTATTAGATGAATCGTTCAACTTGTTGAATTCGATTCATGACTACCAAGTTGAAATGAAGCGTCGTTTAGTTGGAGAACCAACTAACGAAGAGATGGGGAGCACAGAGGAATTGAGTAATAATTTGGAATCTGCGGAGAAAAGAGCCAAATCATTAATGAGCTTATCAAACAAAACAATTGAGTTGTTTAAATTGTTTACTAGAGAAGTACCCCAAGGTTTTGTATTGCCAGAACTCGTAGATAGACTAGCAGGTATGTTGGACTTTAATTTGTCCGTTTTGGTTGGTCCCAAATGTTCAAATTTAAAAGTTGAAGCTCCTGAGAAGTACGATTTTGAACCAAAAAAGGTTCTTAGTGACATTTGTGAAGTTTATGTGAATCTTTCATCGCAAAAGGAGTTTGTTGTTGCTGTATCTAGAGATGGAAGATCTTTTAATATCTCATATTTTGAAAAAGCAGAAAACATTTTAACAACAAGAACGTTTGTTGATAATAAGATAATCGACCGATTAAGGAAATTCTCTCAAAAGGCAGAGGAAAACCGAAAAGTTGAAGAGAATGAAGAATTGGAATTAGGAGAAGTACCCGACGAATTCCTTGACCCGTTGATGTTTACATTAATGGAAGATCCTGTCATCTTGCCTTCATCAAAGATTAGTATTGATAGGTCAACCATAAAAGCCCATTTGTTGAGTGATGCAACTGATCCTTTCAACAGGATGCCTTTGAAATTGGAAAATGTAATTGATGATGTTGAATTAAAGGAGAAGATAAATGCATTCAAAAAGCAAAAGAAAGAAGCGAAACAGAATAATGGGGATGTAACAATGTCTAGTTAAAGGTAAAAGTAAGTATGTGAAAATGTCATGGTATATTCTTTCTTTCCATCATATTACTTTTTGTTTCCTTAAGAACTTGTTTCAATCCTCTTCATCGAAAAAGTACAAAGTATATATATATATATATGTATGATATCGAAATAAAAAAACATTATATTTTATTATACAAAAATTACACCACTAAACTTTTCATGCTGACTTTCATGTTTCAAACAACTCGAAGATATTACTTTTAAGCTTTGATGGTGAATTTTCTTTGTGGGAAACTGATTCTTTGTTTTCTGGCCTTATCAGTTTCCTGTGATCTTTCATATTTTGTCAATCTTCTTCTCAATGCTCTGGTCTTTTTAGCTCTCAAGTCCTTTGGTTGGTATTTCTTACCCTCGTAGAAAGCTTTAACATTGTCTCTTTGGTTCAAGTTTATAACGGTCAACACTCTAGCAATATTTTTTCTAACAATGTGGATTCTTGGTAAACTTGGTCTTTGTATTTTTTGAACTTTCAAGTTGGCCAACTCTTTTTTCAATTCAACCAATTGGTTTTCCAACTCTTCCTTGGATTTAGTTCTCAATTCGTATGTTTTGATAGCGACCTAAAAAGAAAAAGTTGATTGTTAGTATTCAGGAAGGGGGGGGGGGAAGTAGATGTGGTATTCAAGCCGGTTTGTCTGATCCATGAGTATGAGCACAAGTTTGAGTAGCTCATAAAGTATAGGGGTATGAGCTAGTCACAAATGAACTGAACTACTTTTTTAGCACTAAAATATAAGGTTTGGCAGCGGGCATTCCCAGAGACATTTTTTATTCTGGGTATGACTCGCTAGCGATACTGACTCCCTGGACGTATATCTTGGAACTCTGCACCCCAGTTCGTGTCTCATAAAGGAAATGGCTTTTTTTTATAGCCTTGATCGTCCCTGTCTTCTATAATGCATTTTCTTGCGCCTCTATTCTTTCTGATGCTACTAAAATGATCATATTGGCAAACCGTTGACATATATCTATAGAGCAAACATACCATTGTGTATGTATATGTAATGAACTGAGCGTTGATAAGAGACTAGTTTTACAATCTTAGACTGAAAAATTTGAATTTTTGTTTGGTTCCATAGTTTGGTGTGAAGAGGTGCGCAATTGATTGAGATGTGCGTGTAGGGCATACCCCCAATGCAACTTATATACACGTGACTTTGAGTTTACATAACTTCTTTTTTTATTTTATTTTCTTTTTATTTTACTTTATTTTTTTTTCTTTTCTCTTTAGTGAGTTGCATTTTCTTTTTTACAGCCGCATAAAGAATGGAATCTATTTCCCGAGGATAGTAAGAGAGGATTGTAGTTTAATAGGGTGCAGATTGCTTTCATATGAGGAAATCTCGAGAAAAATGAAGGGCCTTTAATTTAACTCTATTAAGCATTTTTCGAGAGAAGCTTGACACACGGGTTTGAAGAATGTTGTGAGAGGGTTGTAGTAAATTGCAAAGCAAGAATATCAAAATTTTGTTCTACCTCTTTCTTTGGTATTGTAGTTTTCCAAAAATGTGCCGACACCATTGAGCAAAGCGAGATAGTGGAGTACACTAGCTGCCAGTACACTACTATGTATGTACTACGTATACACTCCTTTTTCTGGAACAAAAGTGTTTTGTAGTGGAAAGATTTCTGGGGTAATGTATTGTACTTCGACACTATCGACACTATCGACACTATCGACACTATCGACACTATCGACACTATCGAGCGAAGCGAGATAGTGGAGCATACTGACTACATCGACACTATCGAGCGAAGCGAGATAGTGAAGCAGTTCTAACTACATCGACACTAGCAACACTATCTCGCTCTGCTCGATAGTGTTGTCTCGATAGTGTTGTCTCGATAGTGTTGTCTCGATAGTGTTGTCTCGATAGTGTTGTCTCGATAGTGTTGTCTCGATAGTGTTGTCTCGATAGTGTTGTCTCGATAGTGGAGCAGTTCTAACTACATCGACACTAGCAACACGGGTTTGATTGCATCCTCTCCATTCTTTTCCTCGCCTCCTTTCTTACTCCCCTCCCCCGTAATTAGAGTACAAGTTTGCAATTACTAAAAGAAAAGTATTTCATTTATTAATTTATGTTCATCTTTTCACAAGTTTAAAAAAAACCCTCCAATTCTTATCTTCTTAAGATGAATTTTTCAAATTGGTAGATAACCATTCTAAACCTTCGTATAAACCATCACCAGTAGTAGCACAAGTAGCTTGAATATACCATGGTCTTTGTCTAATAGAATGTAAACCTAATTTTTCGGTGATTTCAGCAGCATTCATAGCATTTGGCAAATCTTGTTTATTAGCAAAAACCAACAATAAAGCGTCTCTCAACTCGTCTTCATTAAGCATTTGTTGTAATTCTTCTCTTGCTTCAGCAATACGGTCTCTATCATTTGAGTCAACCACGAAAATGATACCTTGAGTATTTTGGAAATAATAACGCCATAATGGTCTAATCTTGTCTTGTCCACCAACATCCCAGACTGTGAATGAAATATTCTTATATTCAACTGTTTCGACGTTGAAACCAATTGTTGGGATGGTTGTAACGATTTCACCCAATTTCAACTTATATAAAATTGTAGTTTTACCGGCGGCATCTAAACCAACCATTAAGATTCTCATCTCTTTATTACCAAAGAGATTGGCGAATAGTTTTGAAAATGATAAACCCATGATATATACTTTGTATGAACTGTGAAAGTTAAAGGATATGAGGTATAGCTATGGTAATTTTACCTGGTTAGTGTTGTTGTTGTAGTAGTAGTAGTAATTTTGTTGATAAAGGAAAAAAAAAAATATCGAACTTAAATATTTAATTGACAAATAAATTAAGTTACCAAAGACTTTTTTTTTTATTTGGGGGGGGGGGGGGGGAAGTCTAATGCAAATTAAGTGTCAGGTTCTAATGCCTAATTGATCAGCCTTACTTGAATGTAGATATATAGACTCTGATTGAAGATATACCCACTCTAGATCAAAATTATATAATGACAGTGAAATTTAAAAGTGGAAGAAAAAAAAACACGAGTTTTTTCTTTAAACTATCCAATGGATCAGGATCAGTTCTTTTTTGTTACTTCTTCTCTCTTGGTGCTTTTTTTTCAGTAAAAAAGCAATTTCAAGTAATAAGTGATAAGACTGATATATATACGATTAACGTTGCTCGAACTTATGTACTCTAGGCTCTTGAGGTGTGAAATCAAATAGGAGAAAATAACAACAAATCAGTTTTTTTTTCCTTCTCTTTCTTTTCAATCTTTTGATTCACTTGACGCTGTTGGATGATAATTTTTATTCGCCTTAACGCCGCTGTCTATTGTCTTTTTTTACCTGAAATTTATGACACTGCTCCACTATCGAACAACACTATCGAACAACACTATCGAACAACACTATCGAGCAACACTATCGAGCAACACTAGCTGTATTGTATCGCTCTGCTTGATACCAATCGAGTCTCAGCAATCGAGCCTCAGCAATACCACTCTAGTCTCTCTCGGCAATAACAACCAAGTAATCTAGTCTTTACTATACCAATCGAGTCTCAGCAATACTACTATAATCTCAGTAATCTCGCTCTGCTCAATAGTGGAGCACATTGACTAGTTTATTACAACACTATCTCGCTCTTCTTAATAGGCTAGTTAGCCATAGGAGTAGATGTATATAGGTAAAGCTTAATAATTCAATAGCACTAGCCATGGGAGTAGACCTATAGGAGTAGAGCTTAGTAACTCAATGGCACTAGCGTTAGCACTAGAGCTTAATGCTCCACTATCGACCAGAGCGAGATGGTGTTGTAAAAGGCTACAAAGTCTTGCTCAACTATTGAGCAGAGCGAGATAGCGGGCAGCTAGTCAGTGTAAGCTATATTAACTATATATTATTAATATTTAATTGTGCACCGCTATCGAGCAAAGGGAGGTAGTGATCTCGAGCAGAACGATAGTGTCGATAGTGTCGATAGTGTCATTCAGCGTGCTCCACTATCTGACTCTGCTTGATAGTGTTGGTACTAGGGCTAGGAGTAAAGCTTAATAACTCAGTGGCACTAGCAATAGGACTATACCTGTATAAGTAAAGCTACAGCACTAGAGCCATAGGAGTAGAGCTTAGTAACTCAATGGCACTAGCGTTAGCACTAGAGCTTAATGCTCCACTATCGAGCAGAGCGAGATGGAGTTGTAATAAGCTGGTCAGCGCGCCCCACTATCGAGCAGAGCGAGATGGTGTCGATAGTGTCGATAATGTCGCGCCCCACTATCTCGCTCTGCTTGATAGTGTTGATAATGTCGATAATGTCGATAATGTCGATAGTGTCAATCAGCGTGCTCCTATCTCGCTCTGCTGGATAGTGTGAGAGACATTTTATACAACTTAATATGCAATCACATCTCTAAAAAGCTAGCAAACCCGTGTGTAGTTTCTCTACTTTATATATGCTCTCTCTTCTTCTTCTTCTTCTTCTTCTCTAAATCATTCTATTGGATAAGTTATCACCTACCAACATTAACTTTACTGTTTGAAAATTGCTTCAATGCCCGAATAAAAACAGCATAACTGACATCCTTATTTTCAGGTTCATAGAATATCTCAGTTAGTCGAATGTGCCACGGAGGATAATCCTCTAAATTCAAAGATGGCGCAAAACAAATCAACAAATCAGGTTCGGGTCCTACTAACTCAATCAACTCTTCATTGATCAAATCTATCGTAATATCATCAACTGATAACTCTCCATTACACGCCAATTCACTCATTGTCTTGGTTAATTCAATTATTGTTGGCTTACCATCGACTCTACTCAACAAATCAATCTCCAAGTTGATCTCGTCTCTTGTACCGTTTTCCTCACCAACCGAATTGTCATCGTGACTATACAAGATCAAGTTCTTGTGAGGCACCTTGATGGAAAATTTCGGTATTGTTTCAGTACCAAAATAGGAAATTAGGTTCTTAATTATAGATTTGTTGAGGTCAATCAAAATCTCATGGCTTTGGTTTAATGCACCAGTATATTCGTAAATAATCAATTTGCCAATGCCTGCACTAACAGTCCATGCAGCCAACTCACTAATTTGGTTGATAAATCCATCTTTACCACCATTCTCATCATCATCATCCTTCAAATCTAAAATGCACGACACAGACTTGGGAATCTTGCTCAATTTGTTAACGTCATCTCTAATAACCTGGGGCGATTTATTGGGATAATAAGTTAAGGAAAGAAACTTTAAATAACTTTTGCGATAAATGAATAGAAAGTTTTTGTAAATAGCAATCACAAAGAACAAGTTGAGCAATATTAGATGGTTCATAAAGAAGAATAGCATTTCCGGTATAGAAGTGGTACCAGGTTGGACCTTTGTGGTAAATAACCTTTGTGATAATTGTAGCAGTATTCTCAAGATGTTGAGAGTACGAGTAGAGTGTGGTGGTGAGCTAGTTGGCTTATTATCATAAGCTCTTTGTCTCTGATGAACCTCATGCGTTATATTCTTTAGCTTAGCTTCTCCATCGTTGTTTATTCTCACGTCCTCAACAATCCTAGGTGATTTCAATATATCCGTCATTGGGGCCCCCCTCTATTTGGTTGTAAAAAAGAGAAAATGATTGCGTGTGGTAATTTGTTTTTTAGTGTGCTTTATGAGCAGGGTGCTTTATGAGCAAGTGCGACTGAGATGGTAGGTGGCGTAAATTGTAAGTGGGCGACACTATCGAGAAGAGCGAGATAGTGGAGCACACTAGCTGCCACCGACAATCAACTTTCCCGTGCGTTGCTGCTCCATTAATGAGCAGAGCGAGACTGAATTAGCGTGGCGAGACCAATGTAAAGGGGTGAAATGTAGAGTCGTGTAGTGAAATGTAGAAGGGTGAGATGTAGAAGGGTGAGATGTAGAAGGGTGAGATGTAGAAGGGTGAGATGTAGAAGGGTGAGAGTGATGTAGGTAGGCTGGTGATGTAGGGTAGTAAGAGCAGTACAGAAATGGTCAGAGCGATGTAAGTGGTTAGATGTAAAGCTAGATATAGAGTGGTTTAAGACAGTGGGATGTAGAGGGATGAGCTGCAAAGGGATGTGATGTAGAGGGATGTGATGTAGAGGAATAAGCTGCAAAAGGATGAGCTGCAAAGGGATGGGATGTAGACTGGTGGTGACGTAGACTAGAAAGAGTAAGATGGAATTGGTCAATGTGATGTACGCGGTGAGATGTAGACCGGCTCGAGCAGAGTGATAGTATAGGAATGAGTGATAGCATAGAAATGAGTGATAGCATAGGAATAAAGTGAGAGCAGAGCGAGATAGTGTTGTAACTAGTGTGCTCCACTATCTCGCTTCGCTCGCTAGTGTCGATAGTGTTGTAACTAGTGTGCTCCACTATCTCGCTTCGCTCGCTAGTGTCGATAGTGTTGTAACTAGTGTGCTCCACTATCTCGCTTCGCTCGCTAGTGTCGATAGTGTTGTAACTAGTGTGCTCCACTATCTCGCTTCGCTCGCTAGTGTCGATAGTGTTGTAACAGGCTAATCAGTATAGATTATAGCAGATTATAACAGAATAGAGTAGAAACTAGTGAAAGAGAGTAACCGAGTGGAATCTAATCGAGTGGAATCTAATCGAGTGGAATCTAATCGAGTAGAATCTAATCGAGTAGAATCCAATGGAGTAGAATCCAATGAAGTAGAGTCTAGTAGAATATAGTAGAGATTAGAGTAGAGTAGAGGAGAGTAGAGAAAGAGACCAGCAGATAATAGTAAAAAGTAGTTAGTGCTGCTCCACTATCTCGCTCTGCTCGATAGTGTTGCTCGATAGTGTTGCTCGATAGTGTTGCTCGATAGTGTTGCTCGATAGTGTTGCTCGATAGTGTTGCTCGATAGTGGTGCTCAATAGTGTCGATGAATGAGTATCGTAATTACAACGAACAAAACAAACGAAAACAAAATTATAAAATGTGATTGGAAATTGAGTAAATAAGCACCATAATCAAAAGATTCAGATTTGTTTTACATCTAAAGAATATAGACCATTTCGATGTGCTCGATAGGAACAATATAGACCATCTTGCTGTGCTCAATAGGAACAATATAGACTATCTCGCTGTGCTCGATAGTCTAACATTGTCAGCTAATGCAAAGCATATTTCATTTAACAATAGCGTTTCTTTTTCCATTGTACTGTTGAGTCTTTTTAAAAAAAAAAATTCCATTTCTGGGGCAAGGCGATAACCAACAAAAAGAACAACTAAATCCGAGAATAGGATATCCTTGATGGGGTATTTCCAATCCCCCCCCCCTTCAGCAGATAGTAGTTTCTCTACAAAAGGAGCTTGGACTCAGCGATCTTACTTCTAGGCTGTAGCGTGTAAAACCCGTGTGTAGATCCACTTTTCTTGAAAAACGCCCCGTATAAAGTGGCTTGACCAAGTGAAAATTTTATTATGCATTTGATAAAGGACTAAAGAGGAGAAGGAAAAACCCACGCATCATAAAATTTACCAAACCCCAAATATACATCTTCTTTGGGGATAGGAAGTCGCTATATAAAGGGGAATCTTGCATTTTATCTAACATCTACCACGCCTGCACATTCCCGAGCCCTAGATCTGATGCTATCTAGAAGAAACCAGTAATATTTTTCACACACACAGAGACAAATAAAAGAGAGAGAAAGAGAGAGAGAGAGAGAGAGAGAGAGAGAGAGAGAGAGAAACATCATGGGACTCTGGTCGTATATAGATCAACTATTTTATGACAATACAATAGAGGAAGAGTACTATCGCAAGATGCGACAAAAGAGCTCTTCCAACTCAGCTATTGTTGTCGGTTTGGTTGCAGCCGTTGGTGGGTTCATGTACGGGTACGATACGGGGCTCATCAATGATTTATTAGAAATGAAGTATGTCTATACGAATTTCCCACGCAATGGTTACAGTTTCACGACACACGAGAGAGCCATCACAGTTGCCTCGCTATCGCTAGGCACGTTCATAGGTGCACTAATAGCGCCCTTGACCTCAGATAATTATGGGCGTAAATTCTCGATTATTATTAGTGGAGGAATAATTTTCAATATTGGTTGTATTTTACAGATATGTTCGAGTGAGATTACCTTGTTATGTGTGGGGAGATTTGTTGTCGGTATTGCTGTTGGTATACTATCTGCTATTGTCCCGTTGTATCAAGCAGAGGCATCGCCGAAATGGGTTAGAGGTTCAGTTGTTTTCACATACCAGTGGGCTATTACTTGGGGTTTTTTAATTGCAAGTGCTATTTGTCAGGGAACTAGGAAAATGACAAACTCGGGGTCATATAGGATACCTATTGGTGTACAATTTCTATGGTCTTCAACTTTGATTATTGGTATGCTGTTTTTACCAGAAAGTCCTCGATATTTTGCACAAAAAAATAATATACCAAAAGCGTTAGAGTCATTGAGCAAACTACGACGATTACCCGAAGACGATGATGATTTGATCGAAGAGTTAGTTGAGATCAAGGCAAACTATGATTATGAACTATCCTTTGGTAAGACTACAATTTGGGACTGTTTCCGAAACGGAGGTGGGCGACATAAACAACAGTTGCGAATGTTGACGGGAATGGGAGTACAGTTCTTCCAGCAATGTTCAGGAGTTAATTTTATTTTTTATTACGGTGTCAACTTCTTTAGTTCAACGGGGATTCTGAACTATTATATCATGTCGTTGATTACTTATGTTGTAAATGTGATTTTCACGATTCCCGGTATTATACTAATTGATACAGTAGGTCGACGGCCTTTATTGTTTTGGGGTGGTATAGGAATGGCAGTCTCAAACTTCATAATTGCCATTGCTGGAGTAAGTGTCGAAAATAAACACGTTAATGGTGCATTGTGTGTTTCATTTTCATGTGTCTTTATATTATTTTTTGCCAGCACTTGGGGTGGTTGTACATGGGCCTTGTGTTCGGATATTTACAGTATTTCCATTAGACAAAAAGCCGTCTCCATTACAGCTGCCACGAACTGGTTGGTCAACTTTGTTTTTGCATATATTACTCCCTATTTGATTGATACAGGAGCACATACTGCTGCATTGGGAAGCAAGATATTTTTCATGTGGGGAGGCTTGAATATCTTTGGTACTTTATTTGTTTATTTAACAGTTTACGAAACAAAGGGCTTGAAATTGGAGGAGGTGGATTACATGTATGCACATTGTAATAATCCAAGAACATCATCAAAGTTCAAATCAACAAAGATAAATTATAACCAATTAGATGCTGACTACAATCCAATTATCCCTGTCCCAGTTCCTCCTCCAGCTCCTGCACCCATGTCCGCTTCGTCAAATGACTTATCGCCGAATGAAAAAGACCAGGATCATGAAGAAAGTAACCCATCAATCCATAATGAAAGAATCAATTTCCAAGACAATAATACCAATGATTTAATGATAATACCATATAATAATAATATCTCACCAACATCAAGCACAACGTATTCACTGGATGATGATGATGACGACGAAGAGCGCAGAGGAGGTATGGGTATATCGAGGCGCAAACTGTCGCTCAACTCCAATATCACATCCATCAACTCATCAAATGCAACAAAACAAGCTACGTCTCAAGTAAGTAATGATTACCAGATCTATCTTGAGTCACTTAAGCAGCAGTACTTTCAGAATTACAATAAATCACAATGTATGAATGAGCATATATTGTCGAATGGATCACTGGAGAATAATATTTTAGGCGACTGTCAAATACCGATGGAGGAGTACAAGCCAGGTTTGGAATATGTTGATGAGATTCAGCAGAATAATCTACAGCAGCAACAACAACAACAACAACAGCAACAGCAACAGCAGCAGCAGCGGCAGCAACAGGAGAAGGTGTATGTGGGTGAAGATGGTCTTGATAAGATCCCTACCACAATTATTGCGGCTCCATTTTTTAACGAACCACCTTCTGATTCCGATTCTGATTCTGGGTCTGGTATAACCGAGAATGAATGAGAAAGGAAAAGAAGGAAGGAAAAAGACTATTAAGGAGGAAAAAGACTATTTTCAAACCCGTGTGTCTTCATTTGAGAGGCATAGAAATGAGTGATGAGACATTAGTTGTTCAACCGAGTTTTCAATTCTTCGTAAACAATAAGAGAAAGAAAATGAAAAAAAAAAGACTAAGACAAGATTGGTCGATTTCTTTTTTCTTTTCCCTTTTTTTTAGAAAAATAAATATACATTACAATTAGTGAAGTTAGGTGGTTGGTGAAAGTGGTCTCCTTTTTTGATGGTGGTTTAGATTCTCTTTGTCCAGTAGAGATTTAATCTAATTTCGTAAAAGTTTATTGCGTCATCAAAAAAAATAAAATATATATATACCAATTAGGACAAGGAACTAGCGAGAACCAACTAGAACCTAAAACGATAAGTTTTATATAACTGTAATAACATTGTCATGAGCACCGAGTCAGTTCGTGATGAGAAACTACAAGTGATAAACGATGCCATCAAAGAAAACAAGTCAAATTTAGCCGAACAACTCCTAACAGAGTCACCCAACCTCCTTTATGCTAAGGATGAAGATGAACGAAGTCCATTGCATTGGGCCTGTTCGATGAACAACATTGCCCTTGTTGAATATATACTCTCGCATACGCCATCGAATATTGATCTCGATGACGTTAGAGATTCTAGTGGCTGGACACCAATACATATTGCTTCTTCAATAGGGAATGTTGAGATTTTGAATTTATTAATGCATCGTGATCCAATACCTGATGTGAACCAAACTACTAATCTGGGGACAACGGCATTACATTTGTCGATTTCAAAAGACCATTTGCCATTTGTACGTGTGTTGATTGAAGAGTTTGGTGCAAATTGCAGAAAGAAGGATAAATTAGGGTATACGCCGCTTCATCGTGCTGCAGCTATGGGGTCGATGGGACTGTGCAGGGAGATAATCACCAAGGGCAAACTAGTCAATGTTAATGCCAAGGATAATGAAGGGTGGACTGCGTTGCATCACGCATTGGCCGAGGGGAATGGAGATGTGGCTGTTTTACTAGTCAAGGTGGGCAAAGCAGATCCATTGGTTGTTAATAATGAAGGGTTGAAGCCTATTCAAGTAAGTGTTGATGAGAAAGTTGCAAGGTTCTTCAAACAACTGATTGAGCAGTAAGAAGAAGAAGAAGAAGAAAAAAAAGAGACACCTCTTTAGATCTTAAGAGATAGATTACATATGTGTAATTGAATGTTACAAAAGAAGATAAACTTTGAAGTGTTTCAACGAGGCTTTCTCTTTGAAAAGTAAGCCCTTCCTTGTAAAAGAAAGTTTGCGTGAGATCTTTATGTGATAAGAGCTAAATGTATAAAGAAGGGGGGGGGGGGAGGGAGAGGAATTCTGTTTCCAAGAACCTTTCTAAAATGAAAAGTGGAAAAAGTATTCCCGATAAGAGAGGAGTTGTCAAACTTGATTAATTAATTGCATCGAATAAGCGACATACGCCCCCTTATAATACACTTGTTTGTGATGTGCAGACAGAGAATATTTTTTTTGTTTTGTTTTGGAACTGGCCCCATTTGGAGGGGGTGTAAAATGTATATGTTTCGAGAAGATCTCTCTGGTGGGAGTGATAAGAGAGAATAGTGAGCTTCAAGATTAGGATCGCGGCCGCTCTGGTCGATAGTGGAGCAACACTTAGTAGCTCAGTAGCTTGTTACAACACTATCTCGCTCTGCTCGATAGTGTTCTAAAGGAAAGGAAAGGAAGAAAAAAAAATTAATTTAGATAGGAAGAGCACAAAATGGGGCAGAACGGTTTTATTAGCAAAATTCATGAGATTGTTCATTGCTGTTGCTGTTGCTATTGTTGATATAGTTAAAGTTGCTACTGCTCTTGCCGTGGATGAAAAGTGCAGTCACTAGATGAAAAATAGAATTTACGAATAAAAACGCAATTGAAACTAGTTTGGCTAACATGCGATATGGCATTGTGACAAACTGTGGTACCGATTGTGTCGGGTCTCTCCCCCCATATCATGTCACAAACGCTACCAATAGACGACATAGTTGATGATTATTTCAGTTTTTCTATAGTCGGAAATTCTGGGGATCATTTATTTCTATTGGTTAAGAAAAATTAAGCAAGTTTAGAAAAAAAAGATGACGCAAAAAATGTGGTCTCAGACAAGAGCTGTTTGAATGGAAACAACTTTTAGATTGCGAGCGGACATGTTGAACCTCGTAGATTGGGAAATGGTTCAGGCATCAAATCAACGGGAGTTTTGAATAACAAGAACCTCTTAAGCCGTGTGTATTTTGTTGTGAAGGTGGCATTACTAAGATGTCTTTTCTGTCTAGCGACATTTTACGTAGTTAATGTAGGACATTTGTTGTGTCGTGAAATTTTTCCATTCCCAATTTGGTCTATTTCATCCCAACTAGGTAATTAAGTAAATACAATTTTTGAGAGAAAACTAAATAGACTTACAAGGAGTAAAGTAGATAAAAACAAAAGTGACCTAGACACGGGTTTGACGTTGGTGTTTGGTGACACAAAGTATCCTATTCACAGCTATAACTGACAAATACCAACCATGCACAGTTTTTAGACCCCAATGACTTTCAAGAAATATTCCTATGGAGATGATTAGATAATGAACAGAGCAAATATAAAAGGAAAAAATAGTGAGGAAGTAAAGGTAAAAATAGTGGAAGCAAAGGTAAAAGGATAACAAGATGAGCTTTGATAACAAGATGAGCTTTGATAACGAGTATTGAAGCTAGATCCCCAATTAGAGCTGATATAGCAGATTCAAGTGACGTGACGGACATTTTTCCCCTTTCTCGCTAGAGACGTGACTACAATATCAATTGAGGGATGATTACAAACGGCGGGAATATGAGTGTTTTTAATTTATTCTATTTTTTCGATCGTTTTCCCTGGATTAACACGGCAATAAAAAAAAAAGATAAAAAAAAAAAAAAAAAAAAAAAAAAAAAAAAAAAAAAAAAAAAAAAAAAACCGACTCATTTCTTATGGAAAGAAATCCCTGTGTTGATTCACCGAGCTAAGACCTAAGTTCGGAAGTATCACGTCTGCCAATAGCGGAAAGAGAAGAAAAAAGGTGACAATTGGAGGGAATCTGTCTCTAGTCGCATTCCACACCTATCTTGCACACCTCCTTTGGCACCTTTCTTGACACTTTTCCATCTTCCTTATCCCTGCAGCTCTACGGGAAAAGTATTGCCATGTATGGTGTAATCTGATGTATGTCGATATTATTAGACATTTTCCCGCCTTCCTCTCTAGCTCGCTTTGCTCGCTAGACTACAGTTGATTACAGATAATCCGTTGCTCTTTCTTCTACCCTTTCTGTCCCTCTATTATTGTCGACTCTTCCATTGTCCTGCTTTTCCTCTTGAAATGCTTTACTTTCCCTTTTGGCTTTCAACCAAAACAAAGATGGAACGGAAAAGTTTGGCCATTGTGCACGTTCCCTTATTCTATTGCGTTTTGAAAATGTTCCACAAAAAAAAACCAATACACCAATACTAAAAATCGACATCACTTATAGTACCCGATTTCATTTAGCCTTAATCAATATAATTGCTACTGGGCATAATGCCACCCCTCTTACCTTCCTTTCCTTCAGTCATTTCTTCTCTCTATAAAATAGATGACTTTAATTTTCATTACTTTTTTTCTCTCACTATTAAGACTAGCTATAAAAGACAAAGTATATAACCTATATAAAATCCTTTAAAGCTCTCTTCTTCTTTTCTATACTGCTTCTTTTCTATTTATTTTTATATAAATATATATATATATATATAAGAGAGAAAAAAGTTGAATTGATATTGACTCAATTGTTTGTTTTGAGGAGTATATATTCAAAAAGTGACCTATAATCTAAAATACCCTCAGTATCTGTTACTACTACAACCCTATAATTAAATAATCTACTATTTTCAATGTTGGCTATTGGAGACGTTATTTTAAGAGCTTTCAATTTTGTATTTTTGGCTGTTGCCTTGGGTTTGACAGGCTCTCTAGCAGCAACCACTATTCGTCAACACAACCCACAGGTGAACTTTGCCGTTTTTGCAGCCGCTTTCGGTTTGTTAACTTCATCAATTTACGGTATCTTTGCCTTTTTCATTGAAGCTTTGGCATGGCCGCTCATTTTGTTCACTTTTGATTTCTTGAATTTCGTATTCACATTTGCCGGTGCAACTGCTATAGCCGCAGCTATCAGAGTTCACTCATGTGGTAACCATGAATACCTTGAGAGAAACAAGGTTAACCAAGGCTCAGGAGCAAGATGTAGAAAAGCTCAAGCTTCAACTGCATTCTTGTACTTTTCAGCTTTTATTTTCATCTTTTCAGGTATCTTTAGTGCGGTTAGTTTGGTTAGAGGTGGATTGTTTGGTGGATCGGCAAGAAGATCTGCTCCAAGAACAGGTGTTCCATCAATGTCTCAAGCTTAAACCCATTAGGTTTTTTTTTGAATACCCCTAGCATTATTGGTTTAACCGAAGGAAATTGAAGAAGAAGAAAAAAAAATAAAAATAAAAATAAAAAACAAGTTTTTACATTCATACCTAATTACTCGAGTTCTTCATCATTTAATCACACTAATGAGAATCCATATGAAACCAACAATGGGGAAATGCTCTTCACTTACCCCTGTTGTTGACCGCACACGATGAAAGTTAAACTACATTTGACACGTCTTTTTTTTATTTTTTATTTCAGGTCAAGTATACTATACCCAGAATAATAACCATCTAATTTTTAACCATCTATGAATAGGGCTGCCATTGCTGCCATTCCCGATACCCCAATTACTTGCAACGAGAGAGAGAGAGAGAGAGAGGGTGGATGAGTATATGTGTGTGTTTTCATGTACAAAAGTTTGTGATGCTTGTGATGTTGGCATATGTGTTGTTACTTTATAATTTATTATTAGTATTATCTATTTAACCGTTTTTTTAATTCTTGTTTTTGAAGCTTTTTTTGACGATTTTATCACTTTGTAACTATCACTCTATAAGTTGATACTTTAACAAATTCTTCAAGTGCCTTACTTAGCATCATTATCACCATCAACACCACTTGCAAATTATCAAGTGGTGTATATTCTGCCCATGTACTTCAGTTCCGAGTTTTCCAGTTTTGTGTAAGGGTTGGTAAAAAAACCTCTTTATTTGCTTGCAACATGAACTCCGGAATTTTTAAAACCGGGGGGTGCTTTGAATCGACACCTCTCTAAATGATTTTACCTCTCAAAACAGGAAAGCAATGTTCACTTGGTACAAGAGATAAAATCAGGCAGACAAATGCAGACAAACAGATAAATAGACAGGGCAGACAAAAAAAAAAAAAAAAAAAAAAAAAAAAAAAAAAAAAAAAAAAAAAAAAANACTCTAGTTTCCTCCTTCTGTATTCACCCCCTACTTCTCTCAAAAACAAAACAAAAAAAAAAAAAAAAAAAAAAAAAAAAGAGAAAAAAAAAAAAAAAAAAAAAAAAAAAAGAAAAAGAAAAATAAAAACACAGACAGAAAGAGATACTGACATTACCATCACCTACAATGTCTTTCTTCAAGCTGTGGCTATTAAAAAAAAACTTACATACTCCAGATATACCAGTACCAATATCAAGTGTGGTACAGAAACGAAAAGATACTGGTTGTTTTCACTGGCCATGACAAATTTACTTTTTATTCTTCCTCTGTTTCTTTTCTCTTTCATATTGGTTTCTTTCTGCTCCTTCTTCAGATTGAATAGAATTAACAATCTTGGCCATTTTCCGATGATATTCATCATACATTGATTTTTTCTCTTCAATTTGTTCTCTTGCAAGAAACCTGTTCTCGTATCGTATATCCTTAAGTGCTGCTTTCTGTTCCTTCTTCAATTGTGACTTAACTTTGGCGAGTTGTTGGCGTTCGATATTAGTATCATAAGATTTCTTGTCGGGGTTGAAATTCTCTTCGAATTTAGGCGCATAAGTTGCAATACCTAAAGATCTATGGTGTTGTAATTCAAGTGGACGTCTTGAGTCAAGAGCTGCTTTGAGGAGCTTAGATGACTTCACGAGGAATGGCGATGTTAGTGAAGTATATCTTGAAAAATGTTTAAGAAGCTGTATGAATGATTCAAGAAGTTCAATCGAGGAACTCTTGTCTCGCCACAATGATATGCATTTATCAATTATTGTGACAAGTTTAACAATGAGCTTGGATTTTAGTTGAAGCGAGTCGCAATTGTTAAAGATTTCCGAAAGTGAAATTTGGTGGTCTTCTCCTTCTCCTTCTCCTACTTGATATTTATGTGATTTGGCAATATTCAATTTCCCCGTGGATTTTTGCAATGATAAAGAGTCTTCAAAATTGAATAATTCTGGTTCTGGAATTAAATTAACCATGGAAAATTCAATATAGTTGACAACTTCAGGATCAAATCTCTTACTAAACCTTTGGTACGTGAGTAGTACGTCGACTAAAAATACTCCCTTTGCCAAGTCCTCTAAACGAATGTCCAGATTATACATGATGTGACTCAAGATTTGATTCATCAAGATAAGACAAGGCGTAACTATCAAATGGTAATGATCGGATGTCGAGAACAAGTAAGCAACAATTAAGAAAAATACCAAATCTGATGGCCTCAACGCATCCAAATCGCTTTTGGTTCTCAATTCAATCTCCAGTATATATTGTCTCATTGTTTCTACCAATTGCTCATTATATGACAAACTCAATTTTTTCAAAATTTTCAAAATCGGTTGAAATGGCTGGAATTGGTTAGATAAATGAAGCACATATTCAAATAATATACTAACAAATTGATTCATTTTCTCCTTGTTGCCAATAGCCAAATTTGGTTTATACGTATCACAAATCCCTTTGATGTAGGTTAATTGTTGTTCAAATGGGAGAGTAGACATATGACCTATGAACTCCTCACTGGATGTTGGCATAATCATAGGAGGTGTTTTTTTAGATCCTGGCCTAGCTTGGCCTTCCGTATCCACCTTTCCTCCCTCTTCTAGTTCCTTCTTTGCACCATCCTCTTCAATAGTAAATCCTTCGCCTTCGTCTTCTCCTTCTCCTTCTCCTTCTCCTTCATCCTCACTATCACCACTACCCCAGAACACCTTCTCAACATCATCCAAATCATCCCCTTCAGCGTCTCGGTCGGTAACAAACCCTTCCATTCTCTTTAGTCTATCCTGTTCTAATTTCTTTTTCTTTTCTTCATGTTCCTTGAGTAGTTCCTCCTCGGTCTTGGTCCTATCAGCGGGCACGGCTCTTCTATCATAAACCAACTCCCTCACCTTGCTATCATATTCGATATTTTCGGGTGTTTTTGTAGAAAACTGCAGTTTCTTAGGCTGGGATTCCCTTAGATCATCCATGATACTATCAAAATCCTCATTCAATTCGTCTATTTGTTCATGTGTTTTTGCAAGATTTTGTTGTCTCTGTTGTTTATAATACTTGGACTTTGCAATAATTTCCTTCATTACTTCATTTTTACTCTTCTTCCTCTTGGGCTCTTCTATAGCTTGATCCTCGTCAACGTACCTAACAATATTATCACTGTCATCGTCCAATGACAATGCCTGTCCACTATGTGTTAGTTGAAATCCAGAATCTTGCCCATTGTCCTCACCTTCATCATTATCATCATCACTTTCTAATGAGTATAAACCGCGTTTTTTGCCCAACGCAGCTTGTCTCTCCCGCGTAAACCGAGCCAACATTTTCTCCTCCTGCGACAAATGAGAATCATTCTCACCAAATCGTCTATCCAATACCCCACCAGTCTTGTTCCGTTTCTTTTTTTCCAAATCATATTGCATCTTCATTTGCCTTTGCATCGCACCATTTTTCGCCGTATAAGCATTGTGCTGCTTCGAACCAACAGTGACAAATTCACCACCTTGTGTAATAGTTATATCATGCTTAGTCCTATTGATTTTCAGGTCAAAGGTATTAAACTGCAGCCTAATATCCGAAAGATTAGCTTGCCGCTCATCTCTATCTACTTCATTCCTTCTACTCGTTTTAGATTTCTTGGCCTTTTTGGAAGCAGAGTTGGTTTGCCCTATCAAACCTTTCTCCTTAAGAGCTAACTTCAACCGTTTCAACTGCGACCCGGCCATCCCATATGAAAATAGAGCTCAAAAGAATCCTTCTTGTTCAACTTCAAATGGGTGGAAATCTCTGCAATCTTTAATTTTTTTTTTCATTTTTTTCAGCCATCGCTTGAATTTCCTAAAGGGGTATATTGTGCGGCTGTGTCATCGAAGAGCCAACTTTGGCCTTTTTCAAGCGGCTGCAAAACATTGAGGACACTAGCGAGCGAAGCGAGCTACTGCTCCACTATCTCGCTCTGCTCGATAGTGGAGCAACATTAGCTGCTAACGCTCTACTATCGAGCAGAGCGAGATAGTGGAGCAACACTAGCTGCCAACGAAACTGTGTCGCACTGCTTGATAGGTAGAGAGGTGGTAGGTAAACGGTCAGGTCCAGCTTGGTAGAGTGGAGGTGGGTGAATTGTCAGGTCCGACACTGTCGAGCAGAGCGAGATAGTGGAGCAAAACTAGCTGCTAACGCTCTACTATCGAGCAGAGCGAGATAGTGGAGCAACACTAACTGTCAACGAAGCTGTGTCGCACTGCTTGATAGGTAGAGAAGAGGTGAGTGAACCGTCAGGTCCAGCTGGTATCTTGGTAGAGAGGAGGTGGGTGAACCGTCAGGTCCAGCTTGGTAGAGAGGAGGTGGGTGAATTGTCAGGTCCAGCTAGTATCTTGGTAGAGAGGAGGTGTGTGAATTGTCAGGTCCGACACTGTCGAGCAGAGCGAGATAGTGGAGCAACACTAGCTGCCAACGAAACTGTGTCGCACTGCTTGATAGGTAGAGAGGTGGTGGGTGAATTGTCAGGTCCAGCTTGGTAGAGAGGAGGTGGGTGAATTGTCAGATCCAGCTAGTATCTTGGTAGAGAGGAGGTAGGTGAATTGTCACGTCCAGCTTGGTAAAGAGGAGGTAAATGAATTGTCAGGTCCGACACTATCGAGCAGAACAGAACGAGATAGTGTCGCTAGTATCGATAGTGTCGACAGTGTTGCTACTAAGTGTTGCTACTAAGTGCTGCTCCACTATCTCGCTCCGCTCGATAGTGTCGATAGTGTCGATAGTGTCGATAGTGTCGATAGTGTCGATAGTGCCGCCCCAAGGACCAATTTTAGTTTTGTTTGATTCAGCTAATTTCAAAGTTGACAACAAAAATAGTCCAGACCATCCCCATCATCTTCTCCGCAACTAAATATGTTTCACAAAACTAGGCACCCAAACTATTAAGAAACGAGCCAATTCACCATTCGTGGCTAACCGCTATTTTGAAAATTTATTGTTTTAGTCTACGCCTACACAAAAGCTCAGCGCCTTACACCAAATACCAAATCTGGGCCTTCAAAATGCTTAGTTCATCCCTGCCCTCCCCGCCCTAGTTGAACTTTTGTTCTATTTTTTTTAATTATTATTATAATTTTTATTTTTTGACAAGGGTTAAGTTTCCAATCTGTGATTGATTAACTGAGATCTGAGATCTAAAAAGAAAAGAAATTCGAGGGAGAGGAAAAGAGAAATGCAGAGAGATTACCAAAAAAGAGTGGATATATGTGAGTTTCTATGGGATGTGTGAATGAGAAAATTTGACGTATGAAACAATAGCCAAACATAACAATAAGAACAATAGTAAAAGATACCAGCAATTTAAAATCTAAGGAAGGAAGGCACAACTCTTCTTTCGGTTATTTTTTTTTTTTTCAACTATAATTTCATAACCATATACATATCAGTCTTTAAAGGATTTTCGTTCCTACAGGATTCTTTTATTGAATAATATTCCTATACCGAAGCTCAGGCTTTACACATACACTAAAAAGTTCATATGGCTAACAAAACATTTTCTTGAAGACTTTTAATAATTATTGAAACTGTGTTATCCTCCCCTCATCCCCATTTTAGCCGTTCAAATTTGTGAGATTTGGGATCGTACAATTGTGGTATCTAGCTATTCAACTACTTTACCCGTTGTTTCCCTTCTCCCCCTCCCCCCCGTCAAAGAATAAACAAATACAGCTTGTTCTGAAATGAAAAGATTAAAAATTGGAATTCGACCGCAATTGATATTCTTGGTGGGGTTTGCATGTCTAGTATCCCTTTTGATATTGGGCTTGGTAACAGGTATCTACTTTAGTGATAACTTAAAGAGTCTACGATCGGAAAGGTTACTGGTGATTTCACAATTGAAAATAGTTCAAGTACAGCAAGCAATGGCTTTTCTAGATATAACAGTAGACTCATTATCGCAAGTGGATACAATAATATCGCCATTGAAAAGTGACTTGAATGGGAACACCCTGTCCCTCTTATACAAGGATGTCGAAAGTTTGTTTCAACAGTATTTATCAACAGATATCTTTTTATCTGCAAGGCTATATAACCGTCAACTAGAAATAGTCATGTCCACTAAAAACGAACCAATAATTTTATCACAAGGTTTGAAAGATAGATTGTACCCGATTCCGTCAGGAGGACCACTCCCATTCGTAGTACAGGAATACACATCTGATTCATTTTATTATACCGGGCCCTACCCCAATAATACCGATAGCTATAATCTGTCCTACTTTGCAGGAACCACTGCGGCCATTTACGATCAAAATGACCCAAGTTCCAACAGGACTTTAATCGGATACATATCTGTTATATCCTCAGCTAACTCAATCTACCAGGCATTGAATACTACAACAACAGACTATTGGACATTGGCCATTAGACCCTTTTATGAAGGAAACGCAATAGATCATTTGAAAAATGAGACGCTGAACATAACAGCATTCCAAACAGTGTTTTTCAACAATAGAGGCGTTATTAGACCTGGTGTAGTCTACCAAATTAACCGAAATAGTTTTGTTAAAAAAGCATTCAACTCCAAAGCATCAAATGGCGTTCTGACTAATGTAAGGTCGGTAAATGGTGATAAATTGGCGGTTGGGTATAGAAAAGCAACATTTAGTAATTGGAATTGGTTAATCGTAACGGTACAAAAAAAGTCAACTTTTAATGCCCCTGTAACAAAACTAAAAAAGATCATTATTGGTGTTGTCATTGGAGTTGGAGCTTTTATGTGTATGTTGACGTTTTCCCTTGCCTTTTGGTTTATTCGACCGATTACTAGGTTGAAGGAGGCAACCATATCAATAACGCGATTCAAAAAGGGAAGAACTATGGAGAGCGGTACTAGTCCTTCACCCTCGAACGATACGCCAACTATGGAAAAGTTTGACAAACGCAATAGTGTACATTCTATCTCGACAGGATCAGGATCTGTTTATTCAACTGGGTTTCGGGTGCCACCACGGATACCGCCATCGAAGATGCTTTTCAAGGATGAATTAACAGAATTGACAGAAGCGTTCAACATAATGACTGAAGAATTGGAGAAGCAGTACACCCACTTGGAAGATAGAGTTCGCTTAAGAACTAAAGAACTTGAAGCTTCAAAAATTGAAGCAGAGTCGGCAAATGAAGCGAAAACAGTATTTATTGCAAACATATCTCATGAATTGCGAACACCACTCAATGGTATTTTGGGAATGGCGTCTATAGCAATAGAGGAAAACGACCGGGATAGAATGAAGGATTCCTTGAAATTAATTTATCGGTCAGGGGAATTGTTGTTACAAATTTTGACCGAATTATTGACATATTCAAAAAACACATTAAATAGATCAAAATTGGAAAAATCGAATTTCCAAATTCTCGAAATCACATACCAAATACAATCAATATTCAGCAAATTGGCACAAGACCAAAGAGTAAATTTCAAGATCCTGGTAAGACCAAATATCTTTAGAAAGTTGATTCTATATGGCGATTCCAATAGGATCATACAAATCATAATGAATCTCGTTTCAAATGCACTTAAATTCACCCCGGTTGATGGATTTGTTGATGTATCGTTTAGACTATTGGGTGATTATGATTCTGTGAGATCTGAAAAAAGTAAATTTGAACAAGTTTATGCGATGCCATCGACCAACAACAACAAAGTCATAACAAAAACAGAACCACTCTCACCTGTTTTGGAGTCTGACCGACGAACAGATTATTTTGCACCTAACATTACACCAACATCCAAACAACAAGAGAACATTGACGACTTAACGAACAACAAGAAAAACAACAAAGACAGTGACAATAAGAATAAGAATAACAATAGCAATAACAATAACAATAACAATAACGATTACGATTCACAAAGTATGACGACCATTTCATCTGCACAATACGAAAAGAAAATACAGGAATCTCAATTTAAAAAACCAAATTCCAATACACTTAGTGCGTGTTACAGGACTTTACTGGAGGGGGTTTCACTTAAAGTTAGCAGAACATCATCGGTGACTACGATAAATAACGATCAATCAAGCGTGAATAGACTCACGTTAACTCCATCTACGAGTGAATACAAAGGGTACCCCAATTTAGACAAAAAGTTAGATCTTAACTCTAGCTTAGCCAATAATGAAATCATCAAAAATGATAAAGTTTTTAAGGTTAGAAACATGTATGAGCCAAAAACATGGGTTATACAAGTAGAAGTTAAGGACACGGGTTCCGGAATAGAACCTCTGTTACAAGAGAAAGTATTTGAACCGTTTATACAGGGAGACCAAACCTTGAGTCGAAGTTATGGAGGTACTGGATTGGGATTGAGTATATGTAGACAACTTGCGAAGATGATGAATGGAACACTAGTACTAAAATCGGAACTCGGACAAGGATCTACATTTACGTTGACTTTGCCATTACCACAGACTGGAGAAATTGTGGTTCCTCCTCAAGACTTTGAAGAGTTTTGTAATGACGAATTTAACCCCAATTCCAAGGTAAATAGAAAAGTTGCTTTTGATGATAATGCTGTGGTTGTTCTTGGTGAAACTAATACCGAAACAGACAAGATAAAAGTGAAAAATATGGTCAACCTGGGTGATGACAATAAAAAGACCATACCAACTCTGGGAGCATCTTTATTCTCATCTGATTCCAATGGCTCTGTGAATAAGAGTTTTAAGAAATCGTCATTCATTGATAAGCCGGAACTATTGCATCAAACCTCAACAGGTACTGCGGATCCTGGACTAATAGCCAACCAAAACACAACAGTTTCATCAGACGAGAATTCTTTTTGCTTGACAAGTGCAAGGATACTAGTTGCAGAAGACAACAAGGTGAATCAAGAAGTCATCAAAAGAATGCTACGACTCGAAGGATTCACCGATACCACCATGGCATGTAATGGAGCTGAAGCAATTGAGCTCCTTAAAAAGGCTCAATCGGAAGAACAACCATTTGATATGATATTTATGGATGTTCAAATGCCACAGATTGATGGACTATTAGCAACAAAGATAATAAGGCAGGATTTGCAATACACTAGACCGATAATTGCTCTCACGGCTTTTGCAGATGAAAGTAATGTTAAAGAGTGCTATAATTCAGGTATGAATGGATTTTTAGCAAAGCCAATCAAGAGGAATGGTTTGAAAAAGGTTTTCCAGGAATTTGGGCCTATTTTATTGGATGAGATATTAAAGCATAAAAAGGAGGAGACGATAACTGACAAGGGGAAAGACGTCGAATGGATACAATAACGGGAGTAGCATTAACAAGAAAGCAAAAGAATCACCAAATAACGTAAACAACCAAGCTTCCACAGTTTGACTTGACTCCTTTCGTATTTGTACTATAAAAATTCAAGATTTTTATTTCAAAAATCAAATGGAAGAATAAAAAAAAATAAACAAAAAGACTAAATGGGGGGGTATCATTATAGACATAATTTAATTTGATAGAAAAACTACATCTCTCTTTAGCCCTCTAAGGTTGTTCTCTAAACACGAGCGTTTTGGCCAATTTCTTGTTTGTAAAATTGATTCAACATTCCCAAAACACCACCTTTCCTTTTAGATTTATCCTTAAAGTTGGGATCCACAGTATTGAATATTTCTGAATCATCGATTTTGTAATCGGCTTTATATATTGAATCACTTAAACTTGCTGCATCTTGAGATAAAAGTAGATCGGTAGTTTGCTGTTGGTTCACCTTGGATAATTGTTGATATATAGCAGGCTGTGTTTGAGGTGTACGACGATGATGATGGATACGGTGATGATGTGAGGAAGACGCAGTTGGTTGTTCGGCACTTCCACCATATGATTTAAGAAAGTACATGTACGACTTTATCATCTTGTCATCGTTTTGCAAGTATGCCAATGCGTCATCTGAATCGGAATCTGAATCGGAATCGGAATCGGAATCGCAATTAGAATCTTCTGATAAAGAATGTATTGTATTGTTGAACTTTCCCCCAATATCACCATGCTCCTCTTCTTCGTCGTCACTCTTGGAGACCTTACTCTTTGGTTTACTAGATATTTTATTTAATGTTTTCTTGCTCTTTTTATTCTTCTTCTTCTTTTGACGACGACGTCTCTGTTTACCCAGCATCATATTCTTATCTTTCTCTTCGAAATTGAACATTGCAAAATAACAAACATAACCTAGTCCGTCAACATGTATGCTGTACTCCCTAAAAAAATCAATAATGGCCCCGCTGTTTTTGGATACTTTAAACCAAAGTATGAACGGAGTCAAGATGAGACTCAATATTTCATTCATGATAATGATTATTTTGAGTGAGTACAATTGGCAAAACTCATTCTTGACTTGAATAGTATGAAGCTTTTTATTCCATGAACTTGGTAAATAATGAGTGAATTGAGAAACATATCGAATGTTAGCTTCAGGGTCATATATGTATGTATTTTGATTATAATTTTGGCCCAGTTGTATCTGTTCTGGACTTGATGATGCCGAAGTCATAGCCCACAAAGTACCAAATATACTAATATAAAATAAAGTTGACCTTCCGTCGGTGATTTCAAATGACCAAAATGAGTGCAGTTCGTTTTCCAATAATAATCCCAAGATAACCAAAATGGCTAATATGGACCCAGATATGAAATTGGCTAATTTCATTGCATTAATGACAAAGAATCCCTTGGGGAACTGGTCAATATACGTATTTGCAGCAGCTTGTGACATTTGTAGCCTTTTGTTGAAAAAATGTGGCAATTCATTGAACTCTCTTAATTTCCATCTTGCAAAAGGCGTATATTGTCTCAACCCAATAAGTGAACTTGGATTTGATTTATACTCGTTAAAGTATCTAAAGAAGGATAAAAGGACAAAGTAGATGACAATAAAGGGACATAACACGACATTTATCATTGCTGCTAGTTTGAGTCGAGATGTGAGTTCTCTAGCTAGCTGATTTCGATTGTAATCTTTTAAAATACTGCCGTTGATTTGTCCCTGTTTGTTGAAGACAAAATTATCAATACACAATTTCAAGTTCCACTCAAGTGTTCTAGTTAATACCGATTTCTCATTCATAAATAACACTGACAAGTCTAAAATATCCTTGTTTATTAATGAAATCATATAATTTTCTCTTCTCATTATCCTATTCGCAATGTCATGTGCATTCAATCTAACTTTGGACGACAAATCATTAATGTAGTGATTTTCTATAGGATGAGTTGATGTTAGGCTATTGTAATCTTTCAATAGCATGAGTCTCTCAACAATTGTTTTCCAACTAATTGTCATTAATTCAGTATCACCAACATTCAACAAATAATGGTAGAAATTCTTGATCTCTTTTAATTTGTAGTTGTAATCAAAATATAATTGGACTGATCGTAGCACAACGTATATGGAGAACCCAAATACCAAAAACTTGACCAAAAATGGAACAGTATGGTAATATCGTGGGATAATTAAATCTGATAATACAAGGTGATGTTCTTCATGATAATTTTCAACAAATTTGGAATAATCAATACCCCATTTGAGGAAAATGGTGAAAGTGATAATGAATATAAGAATCAATAAATCAACTACTCTAGTCAATACAATATTCAACAATCCTCGACCACGGTAATAGTAATAAACATCACATAAGAATTCATCCATATTTGTTATATTTGCCCAAAGGTATAATGCTCGTTCCTTTGGCGGAATAACCACTCTTACGGATCTTGGGGTTGTAGATGGTTTATAATTTGTATTCACGTATGGCTTCTGTTGTGGTTTTCTGTACAGTTCTGTTTTGTTGTACAAGGGTAAACCCGGATCTTTGAATTTGTGCATTATAGATTTTGCCCGTTGAGGGATTTGAAACTTTATACTCGGTCGCAGCTCTAATGGCTCTGGATCCAAGTGCAGTTGGGGTTGCTTTGTTACAAGCTGTGGCTTATCACGAAGCTTAGCTCTTGTTACCAACGACTCTGAGCTAGATGATAGATCTGAGTCTGACTCCGAGTCAAGGAGACTGGTTGAGTTGGTATCCATTTTTCTTTTAGACTCGTCATTATTTACCAAATTCTCCAAGGGAAAAGTTTCCTTTGGTGATGAAGACAACAACCCTTCTTTTTGGTCATTAACCATTGGCATCAACATTCCCAATCTTTGCTCCTCTTCCTCCTCCTGTTGATTTATACTCCTAGAAAGACCCTGTTGATAAGCACTATCATACTCAGGGTCGTAATATTGATAATTATCCTGTAGTTGGTTATATATCGAGTTTAAGCCAAATATGCGAGATAAAAATGTATCTTGATTATGAATATTGTCATTAGCTTCATTGTCATAAGGTGCACCAATACCAGCACCAGCACCAGCATCAGCATCAGAACCTTCATATGGATTCGAAGACATGACAACTACTCATTGGCCTTAGCAGCTATACCTCGTTTGCTTCCAATGCCTGTTGAATAATGGAAATCCTTAGTCGAGCAGCTATACCTGTTGAGTAATGGGATCCTTTGTCGAGCAGCTATACCTCTTTTGCTTCCAATGCCTGTTGAATAATGGAGATTCTTTGTCGAGCAGCTATACCTCTTTTGCTTCCAATGCCTGTTGAGTAATGGGATCCTTGGTCGAGCAGCTATGCCTGTTGAGTAATGGGATCCTTGATCGAGCAGCTATACCTCTTTTGCTTCCAATGTCTGTTGAGTGATGTGATCCTTAGTCGAGCAGCTATACCTCTTTTGCTTCCAATGCCTGTCGAGTAATGGGATCCTTGGTCGAGCAGCTATACCTCTTTTGCTTCCAATGCCTGTTGAGTAATGGGATCCTTTGTCGAGCAGCTATGCCTGTTGAGTAATGGAGATCCTTAGTCGAGCAGCTATACCTGTTGAGTAATGGGATCCTTTGTCGAGGAGCTATACCTCTTTTGCTTCCAATGCCTGTTGAATAATGGAGATC